TTATGACCACGATATACAGAGCTGCTGCTTATTTAATTTTATTCTCATATTCGTGAAAAATATTGAGATTTTAATAATGTGAAACACAGCCGACTGTATAAATAACAGAATTAACAGCGAAACGAAGATTTGATATGCGATTGATATGCAATTTACTATTTGCATATCGCGGTTAATTCGTCGCGTGACCGAACAGATTAATAATTCGCGATCGACCGATCGATCGAACGTGTAAACATCGTTTCGTGCTTTCGAAATTAAGCGTCCGGCAATACATACATTCTGTTAGCGATATCCTTCCGTGTATTTAATATTCGCGCGATTGCAAATAAGTCGACGTTTACGTTTGATAAATCCATTTTATGCCGGGCTTAGAACGGAACCGGCGAAAGCAATAAAAACCAGATTTCTAGCATCGGGGCACAGGGGAGTGATTTTATATTATGATGTGTCGCTTGGGAAAAACTCGTGGCATAAATTCGCCCGACCTTCTTCTTTAGTATAGCCTGATGATAAAAAAGGCGCATTCAGACGGGAACAATCGTCGTAAAACTATCCGGCGAAAGAAATAATAAATTGATAAGTGTACACATTGCCGCGAAAAAAAATTATACAAACGAAAATTGTCAAAGGAGATAGATACGATTAACAAAGAAAGGGAGCGTGAATATCGAATCGATTTACCGTGGACTGATGGTAAACGCGGATAAAGGTTTCGTTAACGAGTAAACTTGGAGAGTCATTAGTCACATTGATCCATAAGCCCGCGGTTATCACGGTTATCGTAAAACGTCGTTCCGCTCTGTTTATTCTAGTAATTTGATAGCGTTCGCTGATGAATGCAAAACCACTCGCACCGCGAGCACATCCGCAAATCTATATTACAGGAGAGAGAAAGAGAGAGAGAGTAACGTAAAGATACTTTATGTATCGATGGCGTGCTCAACGTAATTAAATGGTGTCGTCGATTAGCAATGTACTATACACAAACATTTGTTTTGTGCGAATAAATGTGAGCTACACACGCTTAAAATGCAAAAATTCAAAAAATACATGTATACATGTACATATATATGTACCTAGTATAATTTATAAAAACTTTTTGCCAGAACTTTTTCAAGCGAATTGCAACGAAGAGCTGACATGTAGAGCTATTTTTCTTTTCTGTATATCTTATTTGGTTAAAGGTTAAATTACTAATTATTGAATAATAAGGAAGAATCTCGGAGAAATATATGAGTTGATGAATGGAAATGTATGCATGAAGTTTGTGCATTAATATCCATAATTTTGTGCAGCAAATGTTGGTGTAATTACTAACCGGACTGTTATCGTAATAAGGAAATAATATCATTTATGACGCGGGCATCTCTTAATCACGCAACGCATAATTGCTCTTTCATCGCGTGTCGGTGAAAAGTTACACGGGTATAACGATCGCGAGATCGATATTACATTTGCATCTTTACAGTTTCGTATTTCATAGAAAGGTGTGATTTGCTTTCTTCGCATTCTGCTCTGCATACAACATCGACCTGCCTCTCGTATACCTATCCATCTGATAAATCAGTCAGATATAGCATTTCGATATGTCGATGAATAATACACACGATAAAGAACGCTTGTTTTCATTCGCGGACTAGAGAGATAAAAACAGGGATGTCAATCTCTCGTTTTGATGTCCCGATGGCTCGATGCATCTTGTCCCGGTGAATCATAGAAAGTGTACTCCTGGGACACACGCTTCTACGCTTCGCGTATTCGAGCAATCTCTCCAATTGCAATCCTCCGAATGCACCGGGATACCAATATCGGGATAAGTGACGTGTATGTACCGCGATACGCTCAAAATGTGTGTGCGCTTCGTACTCGAAAATATCTCACCGATAACAAGTGGAGATTCCCTTAGCGAATTGTGTAAATTCCGTCCGCAATATAGGTACTGCACTTACTTGAGATTCCTCCTTATAATAATTCTTGTAGTAATTAAGTGAGAGAGAAAAAAAATGTAAAATTATTGCAGAAAAATGGCTCTTGTTTTTATTATATATTATATGCTTCTCACATATTCAGAGGTGTTTTCTATATAACACAAAATTATTTATTTTCTTAATTATAGCAGGCGTCAGCTTCGTACCCTCATTATCGCTAGAGAAATGTTATATAAAATAAAAAATGTCTCACTCACCGATAGGTGCAATCGCGCAGATGTAGTAGAAAGCACATTGATCTGAGAACAAAAAATTCAAATATTCTAATTATGTATACACATGTGTGTGTATATGTATATATATTTTTTTAATTTTTAGTTTGCATACCTCACAGTTGTCCCACTGTCACCCGATGCCTCCCCGGGCCTTCTCCTCCTCTCTCGGTTCGTAGCACTCACGACACTCGCGAAAACACGAATAATTACAATCGCCCGACACTTTACACGGCACTCCCGACGCGCGAACTTTACACGGCACTCCCGACGCGCGAAACTTTACACGGCACTCCCGACGCGTGAATCGCACGCGTATTTTGCACGCGTTAAAAAAAAAAACGAAAACTATAAAATATAATCGCACGAAACAACGTCTGTTCGACACTCGAAAATCTCGCAAACTCGCGCGTAGCTTATCAGCAGTGCCACCTGTAACAAATAAAAAATATATATATATTAGAACAAGCTTATTATTTTTTGCATTATAACATACATGATATATGTAAATATGTAAGCTAGAATAAAAAATGGATATATCTACGAGTCGTAACGCACGCGCGAAAACATATCAAAGGTTAGATTGGATTATGTTAATTCTTGATATGGTATTTACATCGAATTTCTCGCGAAATATGCGTTTCGAACAATTACAATGATGTATTAACGAAATTATGATATGCGATTGATAAATATTACATTACAACAATTAGAAATGATTATGCTTACTAAAAATTAAAATTAATTAAAATTTAAAGGAGATTCAAAAGATATACGTAGCTTTAGAATGAGTATAATTCTTAATTAATTTTGTGTTTCGTTTCTAGAAAACAAAATTTTTTTTAGAACTCATGTAGAACTATATTTTTTTCATTCCTGATAATTATAATTACTGATAAGGCAAAGTAAAACGCTGCGTGAATGTGACGTCTCGGTTTATCCCAAGGCATTTTCGTTGCTTTAATAGCCAGAACTATTTATTTAAATTAAATATCAAAAACTCTGGAACTACTGAAATTAAAACCAGAACTTTTAATTATTTATAAATTTCCACGAAATCAAACGCCGGCTTTATACATACAATTTCTGTATGAATGTGGAATATATATTTTATCAAAATATGGAAAATTTAATTGGCTGTCCGGATATAAACGAACATGTATATAAAATATGTGTATTTTTTAACTATTTTTAAATTAGGTCAAAATCTCTGCACACAGTCTTATACGTAACAGTTAATCTATATAAAGCGTTATAAGACTTCCTTTATCAAACTGACTGATCTCACAACACTTGCACTGCTATATTAATCGATTTGAGAGAAGAACAGAGGGCAATATTTGTCTGTAAAAAAATAAATTTACAGTATTTATATCTTTAATTTGTACATTATGATTAATTCTTATCGGAGAAATTTTGCGATGGATCGTAGTAAATATCCGAGTTATATACAGCACAATATATGTATAAGTATCATTTTGAAACTCACAATATGCGATTTATTAGAACGTAAAGAATGAGGCAGAATGCTTTTCTCGTTGACTAATGAGAAAAGTATCCGTCAAGAGTAGAATGAAAAACTCCGCCGAGAGATATAATTGGCAGTGGCCTATGAGAAAAGTTTACATGAACATCGAGTTGATGAAGAAAACTGTCCGAGGAAAACAAATTGATGTACAGTATTTAACGGAAACACCTACGATATAAACGATGGAATTGATTGAGAACATTTCTGAAGCAAAGATGAGTTTTATCTGCCTCGATAAATATTGAATCAATATTTTCCCATAATTACACGACGTCGAGGCGCAGATGTTATTCATGATAATCTATTGTTCTCTTCGTGAATTCTCCCCATAGCAATTTACGTTTAGGATATCGTTTAACGACGATGAACAATTAGTACATATAGTAATAGCCGGCGGTGATATTGCATTTCGTACTAACTCTGGCTCTCTAATTCAGGAAATAACTGCTTAATGGTACAGCAATCCTCGCATCTCATGCTCCAGGTGATTTTCGATCGATAACGATATTATTAGAAAACGTAACGTGCACGTAACTGCGCCTTGAAAAAGAGATACTCCGTGATGTCAATTTCTCCATTAATTTTTACACGATATCGTGTTGTTCTTCCAAAAAAACGCCAAACAATTTTTGTACCATTATTGACAGATGAAATTACCAATTAATGAAATTACTCTTCAATCAATTTTTTTCTCTCTTCAATTTTTTTTTACATTATACTATTGAAAAGTATTAAATTCGAAAATTACTAATAAATTACTTATAAATTAATTAGCAATAATAGCTTTTTCCTTAAATGTATTATTTCGACAAGTTCAAAATGCAAACATGATAATGTTCCACATTAGACTATCATACACGCATAATCCTTTAATGATACACCTAATTTGGTGCACACACTGTTTAAATGAGGCAACGAACGAGTGGAGTAGCTAATTATGAGAGCTCGAGAGAGTATCCAATTAGTTTACCCGCACGTCGTACTTGAGTCGAGAGGCTCGATCATAATTAAATCAGTTACTCCGATTTTACGGTAACACACGGTAAAAAGTCTCGGGATGTTTAATTCATCAGTATTCCCTGTCCACACCACACGCGCTCGCACGAAATTCGTTCGATCTCTCTTTCGCGAGAAAAGTATATCCTTTGTGGAATTTCGCGGACGATTAAGTTTTACGCGTTATTTTCATTTCCGCAAAAATGTATACATAACATTAAATTAGAAAATGCAATCTCTCGAACGCAATCGATTAATGAATGTTACACTTAGGTTCGGCGATCGAGAAATTATGCGAATGTGCCTTGGAGGACAGTCTGGCCGACCGAGGTTCCGTCGTGAGAGCTGCCAGATGTCTCCTAGGCTCAGTGACGAAAGTCCTCCTCCTGGCAGACATCGTCGTGGTCAATCAATTGCTCCACGCCAAAGACAAAGTCGCCCGCAGTCTCGGACGTCTCGAGAGCGTTTCGAATTTTACCGAATTCGTCAAAGCTTTCAGCCAATTCGGAGGGGAGATGGTTGAGTTGGCGCATCTAACGGGCGATCGTCAGGTGAGAACTTATTTCTTTTTTTCTTTGCAAATTATCGTTCGCTATCAATGATGGGTAAGAGACATTTAAAATGTATCTCGATACAGATACAAATACGTAAAAAAATAGATACAGATACAGATACACAAATTAAAATGTATATAGATACAGATACTCGGATACTTTAAAAGTACCTCAGATACATATCAGATACTTTTAAATTATATGTATCATAATAATGGTAATATCCACATAATGTACTGAATCATTCTTTTATCTTTATTAATATTTTGTTTGAATTACGGCTTTATTCATTAGTCTTAACACGTGAAAAATCCCTCAAAGACATCGTCACTCAAACTATTGTATTTCGCCATGGTACTAAAATTTGACCAATACTTAATAATCGTTCAACTGGTGTTGATGGCGATATATTGATAACTTGCAGTCTTAATCTTCTAAAAATTTTAAAAATTGGGCTATTCGAAAAATATGTGAAAATGTATCTGCAAATGTATCTGAAAAAAAAAAAAAACAATTCAGATACCATGTTTTGTATCTAGATACAGATATAGATACTTCAATTTATATCTCAGATACAGACTCAGATACACACAAAGATATTGTATCCAAATACTGTATCTAGATACTACCCAACACTGTTCTCTATATGATTCTCTGTCACGTGCAGTGAATTATGACTATTTTTGTAATGCGGGTCTAAGATTTAATTAAACGTCGCATCTCATTCTGTCAGAATGATCTCAAAGACGAGAGGCGACGCGCGCAGATGGCAGCGGCTCGACAGGTGCTAGAAAGGAGCACGATGATGCTCCTCACGTCCAGCAAGACGTGCTTAAGGCATCCCGAATGCCCGTCCGCGAAGGAGAACAGAGACACCGTTTTTTGCCAAATGAGAAGAGCGATGGATCTGATACATTACGTCGTCAAGGACGGGGTATTGGACTGCAGCGAATCTCAATCCTATTCGAATTCACAGGTAAGCTGTTTATTTCGAACCCATTAAAATTATAATTAACAAATAAAATTAAAATAATTTATAATAAAATTTGGCAGCAGAATAATTAAATTGCAAAGAGATGTATCAGCTGTCATTTTTTTCGATATTATTTTATGTTTGCGATATTAATTTACGAAACAGCCGTGGAGTAGCGGGCAATTCCAGGTCATTTTAATATAGCATTAATAACGAGAAAATAATTACCAATGCAAACATTCATTAGAGAACACACGTTAGAGCTTGCCAAGAAATGCTATAATAATCACGGTTGCCAAATAACGTTGTGTGTGCTATGTTGACTTTCAAGCACTTATACACTCTTCATTATTCTGTTGCATCGAGCACGCATATTCACGCCATATTGTAAGGATCGGGAGGGGAGAGATCGTGTACGATAAAATGTTTCCGAAAGCGTGTTTGGAAGCATTCCAAGGAGTCTTTATCCGACAAATTGTGATTTACCGAACACTCCTCGATGTACGGTTTAAACGACCTTGAGCCGTGGTCTGCCCTACCCTTGCAGAAGTTGTAAACGAGATATCGAAACAATCCCACTATGACTCGAGAAACCATAAATAATAATCGCGGTATCTGCTTTGGCATGAAATCGATAAGCAAAACGGTCGAAGATCGCGTCATACAGAAGAGTCAACGAAATGTGTGTTTTACGAATATCAATTATAAGATACAATATATCTGGTACACAATCGATGAATCGATTATTGACCAAAACATTACGACTTCGATAAATTTACGCGATCGCGAATAATGATATATTTTAAATATTTTTCACGTCCTCATATACATTCATACTTTTTTGTAACATATTCTTTCCATCGACATATTGTTCATCGGTGCTGCCGGGCATCGCCGGAAATATGTACAATAAAATGGACGAGTCCGGATTAAATGGACGATAGTGAAAAAAAGATTAGCAGAATACTATAGGCTACAATGCAGAAAAAACGTATATAACGAGAAGTTGAAACCGAAATACGTGATAGAAAGTAGTGAAACGAACGATAAATGAAACTACGAATTTCACTTGAATTGAAATGGACTGCTTGATGCCAAAATCGTTACACACAGTATACATATCAGGTTATATCGCCGAATAAAACTTTATGCGAAAATAATTGTAAATCGTAAATCGTTCAAATTTTCTCTTAGAACCAACGTATACTTACATTGAAAATAGGAGATGCGCGACACCCGCGTATAAGAAATGGCGAATTAAATTCCTGGCAAATATCGTGATTTCATAACGAGAGTATATAAAAAAACCATCTCCAGCCACGGAAACCGTTATTCAACGATGGAAAGTTTTTATCGCGACGGTGAAATGGTCGCAACGTCGGAAACGACCGTCATAAAGAGATCGCGAAATGTGTTATCCGCGAATCGTGCCAAATTTTGCGCGCTCGCACATTTCCATATCGGCACTTCGGACGTGCGGTGCTTTAATTCCGTGCCAAATTTTTTTCTAGCATCTCGAATAAATGAGGGAAAATATTTTACAATATGTCTCACACATATGCACACACACACACACATTTCCGAAAATTCCTCTCGATTTCTCAGACGAGACAACGCGGTAGAGTTGGGTCACGATGAACGACCTTTAACCGTGCTAGAAAAATGTGTAGTCACCCTTGTATTTTACGCTTAAGTACTACCCACTTTCCGCGCGACATAATCGATTCTGGAGTGATTGTGTAGACAACCTAGCCAAAGTGGAACGCTCCGTAGAGCGTGACATCTCTCTAAAAGATTTAATACCATTTATTGTGGCTGTCTAATATTTTGTGTGCCATTTTCAACATTCAACGTGATTGTAAATTTCTTTCTTCGTTATACAATGTTTTAAAATACCTAAATAATGGAAGAAGAAAATTCTTTTGCAAAAAAAAAATTCTACGGCCTCGAAAAATTATGTCTTTTACGATCGCGCTACCTGCCATTACTTGCAGAGTCCGCAGCAGGAAGACTGGGACAGCAGTACCGTTTGCTCGGCATTGAAACACTTCGAGAGGCTCGTTGAAACAACAAGGATGACCCTGTTGGGACCGGGCTGCCGCGAGACACTTACGTCAGCGTTAGAAACAGTGGTGGAGAGAACGCAGGACTTCACCGATAGCGCCTACACGAGCCACGAACACAGAGAAAACATCCTCCTACTTTGCGATCGTGCGAAACTCGAACTCAATACTCTCCTACGAATTGGTAATAGTATGGTGAGTCGCAATTTTTTGCTTCAATTCTACTTCACACGAAAAAATATATACCCACGGGAATATAATTCCAATAACATAATCGTATAGGAATGCGGGAAAAAAGACACCATTTTTTTATACTCCGATGTTTTATAACAGACGTCAAAGTTGTAAAATAAAATTTAAAATTATATAAAACTTGTAAGATTACTGTCTTGGAAATTATTTGTGATAAAGTCTATTCGTTAAATGTAATCGAAAATGTTGACTAGCGCAATTCGAGGGTAAAAAAAAAAGATCTCCTAACGAGTAATAATTGATAATAATATGGTGAACCGCAATTTTTTACTTCAATTTTACTTCACACGAGAAAATATATATCCACAGGAGTATAATTCCAATAACATAATCGTATAGGAATGCGGGAAGAAGACACAATTTTTTTTATACTCCGATATTTTATAGACGTCAAAGTTGTAAAATAAAATTTAAAATTATACATAACTTGTAAGGTTACTGTCTTGAAAATTATTTGCAATAAAGCCTATTCGTTAAACGTAATCGACAATTTTGAGTAGCATAATTCGAGGGTTAAAAAAGCATCCCCTAACGAATTAAACGATGACATCGTGTTTCATCAGAATTACGAGGGCGGCGGGGGTTCACCGAGCTCCGAAATGGAACAGGCGGTGATGGGTGTGCTACGGGCAACCAGAGATCTCCGCCAGCAGCTCAGCGCGACGACGATGGAACAAGCCGGCGATCTTGGCCAAGTGACAAAAGCCGGCCAGGAGCTCGTGTCAACGATCAGAAATCTCGCATTGGCCAATGACATCGACCGTCTGCAAGAAAGCAGCGACAGGTTCCACGAGTACATCGAACACATTCTCGAAGTAAGCTCTCACCAGACGTGACGTCCACGTGTGCTTAACGTTCTGTCACGCGCGCTCTAAATTTGAAGTCAAAACGAAAATAATACAGAGTCTCCTTCCCGAGAAATATTATCGATTATTATTATCGTCACTAAATTGTTCTCAAAGCGTACGCTTCGTTTTACGCGCATCGAACGGATATGACTCTAGAACGCAAATATTGATTTAGTAGACGTGCGATGCCAGTGATTGCCATTCATCATTTCTGTAGATCGATTACGGCGCCTGATTGAATTTATTCCACGCCTAACTTTAAGTGAATTAGCTCGAGTGTTCATTAATCATCCGACGTTAACCGATAGATGTTGATGAGTTTACAGTCAATATTTTATAATAATACAACGTACGCAAAGAAAGTGATTATTTTTTTATCAATGTACTACAAATAGAATTCTTTATATTAGAATTACTATGTTATTTTTTTCTTTTTACAGGTGTGTAAGCTTCTAAGACACGTTGCACTCTCGGAATCGTTGCAAGTGTCAGCCAAATTTACGGAGATCAACTTGAGAATATATGGTCCTCAAGTTGTAACGGCCGCGCACACGCTGGCTAGGCATCCCACAAGTAAAATAGCCAAGGAAAATCTCGAAGGTAAGTTATTTAGACGCTCCGATATTTTAGTGAATTTGCGACGACGATCTATCACACTAATCCGTATTTGACATTTGTTTACGTTTTATAGTATTCGCCGACATGTGGCAGTGGCTCATGACTGACGTGACGACAGTAGCGAAAGACGTCCTGGAACTTAGTCAAAATCGGCCAGAGAAGCAAGTTTACATGTCCTTGCCGCGGCCAGGAGTACGTAAACAATTTACTTGAATGCAAACAATTTGCAGCATACATCTTGTGCACACAAATCGCTTTTTACAAAGAAAACATGTCGCTGGAATTATTTAACTCTAGCCGGCTGCGGATTTTTATGCTTTCGATAGTTTAGAAATATAATACAAAATACACGCACATATATGCACGAATTAATAATCGATGGTTTATTTCATAGAAACACGGCACGACGAGCAAACCGTTGAAGCCTGTGCGATTGGATAGCGAGGAACAGGCGAAGATAGCCAAGGCGGGTCTCGAGATGAAGCTAATCACTTCGGAGATGGATGCCGAGACGGAAAAGTGGCAGGAGAGCGGAAGTGCTCTGGAGGAGAACAACGATATTGTGAAGCGGGCAAAGAACATGTCGTCGATGGCATTTTCGATGTATCAGTTCACGCGAGGTGAAGGCGCGCTCAAAACCACCCAGGACCTGTTCACCCAAGCTGAGTATTTCGCCGAGGAGGCGAACAGATTGTACAAGGTTGTGAGACAATTCAGTTACCAGGTATGTGCCAATCGTCTAACACGGCCGACGTAGATCGAAAGAGAGATGACACACATTTTTTCTAATTGGACTGATGTTGATTATATATAAAGATATCTATATACATCACCCTTACTTCTATAATCATTCTTTTATACCATTGTTTATTATACGGACTCTATATTGGACTTGATTCCGAGTTTTCTTAATTATCCTCGCTATATTGGAAATCTTTTTACTTGTACATTACGCTATTGAGTTTCGTTTCTTCGTAAGTCGCAACGTCGAAGCTGCATCGAGTCTATGCCGATCGAAATTCTACTCGAAATTAAATTATCATATTAAATGTCATTAACACACCATTATCGCTAGATACTCATTTCGAAGATGCTATTAATAATTATTGCTACTTTAATGTTCGATAATAGAAATCTCATCGTATAGATATGTGCAAGTATTCGTGCATCGCTTATTTCACAATGAAAGTAGGCATACGTCAATATGTCGATATGACTGCGGGATTTTAGATGTTAAAGCTTAATTTCTAAAAGCTTTGAGAACGAAACGCGAGAGCATTATCGATAATATTTCACTATTTCTTCAGCAGTATAAATAACAACGGAGACTAGAAAATTTGGGATATTTCAAGAAGCGTTATGTAATATATATATATATTTGCATATATAAAAACGGAAAATGTCAATCATATGAAAAAGTGTTTTTTCGCGTCACTATTTTAAATACATGCTACTACAAATGTAGCCTCCCAGACCAGAAGTAGCTTCGACACGCGTTATTAGCATTAGACATGTTCGAATTAACACGTTTGCTGCCCACTTTTAAACCCCTCCTTCTTCCCCCCTCCTAGCTAGGCCAAATATATATAGTCACCTGAAACCACTTTGATCTTTCTATTACTCTTCTTAAGAGAAACAACAAAACGCTAACCTTGTAATATATTCTGTATTATACAACCCTTTTTTATAAACCCTCGCTCTTGAATGTCTCCATCCAGGTAACTTTTTCTCTCTTTACTTTAGACCCTTTTTGGACTAAATAGATATCACACTTTCGCCTTAAATCATTCTCGTTGCCATGTACATATGTATGTATATGTATATATGATATATGTATATATATATATATACATATATATTATATACATATATAATTGTCTCTCTGCGCCATTCACTGTTTCACACTGTTGTTGAATGTTTTGTCACTACATTTGTATATATTATTCTATATACGTACGTACATATATTGCTATGCAACATCACGCACGTAGGCTCTCCTACTGGTCATTACGAATAACGTAGAGAGTCATTTTATTTTATAAAAAATGTAAAAAGATAAAAAATATGTTGGGAAGACGAGTATAATAATTGAAAAACGATATAGTCTAATAATTAACAACAAAAGGACTATCATCTCATTGTCAAACTGTAACGTGACAACTCATTTAATATTCGTACGAAAATATTCATGTTTACGTGCTAAACTCTATTATATTTTTCATTGGTAATGTTTTACTCGGTATATGATTCAACGATCTTTCCGGAAATCGATGCAATTCTTGCGCGTATGTCATGTCATTTGAACTGTCACAATGAACGTTCATGATTATGTTAGCAAATCTATTTTGTGTACATTTCTACTTTTGTGTACGATTAGTAAGGTGTGTTTTAGATGCTACGGGAATGCTTCCGTCTATGGACGACGTCTATGTGCATTGTGGTCCCTCTCCTTCCACTATCTGGGGCATGAGTATTATGTCTCAAAATTTTTGCCAGTTTCCAGCATCGCACGTTCTATCGAACCAATAATATATATATATATATATATATGAATATATATATATTCATTAAAAAAGATCCATTTGATTAGAGATTCTAAAACATTTCATACATATTTCGAAATGTATTTTTTAAAAAATTAAAATCCAGAAAAATATTCATGTAAAGGAAGCTTGCAAAAATAATAAGGTCTGTACTATTTCACTGCCACTTCACACAAGTCACTCTGATATCTATCTTGAGCAACTTTTCACATTCTGTTGAAAGTCTTGCATTGTGTTCTACTAGAACCGATAGACAATCTTCTTTCTGTTAACTTTATAGATGCAAACTTCCAAGTATCTACGATACATATATACTACAAAGTATTTATTATTAGTCATACAAATAAACTGCAAACAATAGAATCAGTCATTGCTTTACAGAGTCTCTAAGAAATCCGTTAAATATGACCTGTAGTGATATCGCAAGGTAAATACATTCAGAAATTTTCAACGATTGTTAATCCGTGCTTTCATTTTATATATTATTCTCATTTTGTAATAATACCACGAATATCGAAAATAATTATTAAATGTATATAAATTTATATTATAGATTTATCTAAATATTTTAATATGGAAATTATGATCAAGGAGAAGAATAATAGTTTTTATATGTAAATATATAATATATCGACAATAAGTAAAATTAATCGAAATATTTGCTAATTTTATTCTTTTCGATTGATATACTATTGTTACAAAACTTGTATTATTAACTTATTATTATATTCCATATTAAAATTATATTTAATTAATGACAAATAATTAAATGTTAATAATTATTTATATATAGATATTACTAATCACTGATATTTTCGGATCGTTGAGAATTGAGCGCAAACAAGTTTGCCTTGCGACACGAACGAAGACATAAGTTTGTATACAATGTTACATGGGTGCAGGTACCAGGTGGACCGCACAAGAAAGATCTCCTGGAAAATCTGGATCGAGTACCGACTTACGTTCAGCAACTACAATTCACCGTGAAGAATCCTACCGTCGGCAAAGCCGCCACATTTACGAAAGTCGACAATGTCATACAAGAAACGAAAAATCTCATGAATGTGATCTCGAAGGTGGTCACAACGTGCTTCGTCTGCGCCACAAAGGTGAGCTACGGGAATATTCGATCGACTTGTTTCTTAAATAATAGGCAAAGATGTGTGATAATTTTCTTTATGACTGAGGTTGCCTGTATATTGAGAGAATTTGAACCGTCACGATATTTTCATTCATAATACTTTAAATATTCATTTTCCTTCAAAGAAACATTAATGAACACGCAAATTTACAGGTAGCTTTAGCCTTCCGGAAAATCATCTAACGATAATAGAGAGAAATGAGATGTCTAAAAATATTATATTATATGTTTATATGTGACACGAATATTTATATATACTTTTGAGAAATTATATATGAAATTCTCTCTCTATCGATTCTATGCGAATATTTATAACGAATTATCAGAATGTTAACTGTCATGCACATCGACACGAAATATTACATCTCTCGTCTCCATTTTTCCAGACTCGCATAGACTCCGTCTGCCAAATTGATATGCTCGTTTTCAAGTACATATTCGCACAGGATCTGTAGAATCGCAGAGTCCCCGCGTTCGCGATCGAAAAATCGAGTGTGTGTGTACATCTATTCTCCTTCCGTTCTCTATTCATCGCCTAGCACAATCTCGTGATGCCGCAATACATGGAGCTCAGCCCGACGACGGTGCCCGGCCAGGCCGAAGAGGATTGTTTGTACCCAATTAGCCCGCAGTTGTTGCCCTCCACGAGCCCTTACGTGCAACCCCATCCGCTCACGTCCGCGCAATTTCACAGTATCCTAAAACCATCCCCCGGTTTCGGTCCGTCATCCCTATCGTCGCTCTTCGGCCCGTCCATCAATCCCGGATCCTGTCGGAATTCCGGCACCTTCGTTCATCCATCCGTCCTATCTACTACGTTCACGACGCCTGGAACACAGCAGCCGCCCTACTGCCTGCAGAATATGCAGCTCCTGCAGCTGCAGCTGCACCACGCACAGCTGCAGCACTTAAGACACGCGACGCTACCGAGATAGTAGCAGTAACACGTCGTGCCGTAGCACGTCCGTGAAAACGCGCACGCACGCACGCAAACACGTCGAGAACACTATACGTCCTTCGTACAGGTTCGCCCTTGGTTTCCGTTTTGCTTTGTATTTCCTCATTTCGAGATTACGTCACACGGGAGATCGAATCGTCATCATTTCGGCACGGAACAAAAATTAACCAATTAAATTTTACCTGTCCTTATTGTATTTTACAACCTGAAATTTAGCTGTGGTAACGAATATTTTTAGTCATAGTTTAACGGAGAATTCTATGGTTGAAAAATATTAAAATTAAATATTGAAAGGCTCGTATAAATAAGTTATTCTTAAATAATTTTTAAAAAATATTAGCTATCGTAGCTAAAATTTAGGTCTAGTAGTTAATTTTTTTCCGTGTGACAAAATTATGTTTCTTTTTCAACAAATTTCAAAATTATTCTTTTCTTCAATCTTTTTTTTTTATTCGTTATAAAGTAATTTCACCGAAATTATGGCGGTACGATCTACTACATTTTAGTTTGTCGCTTCGCGGCTTATTAATTTTTTAGTTCTTATCTTATATTATAGTTAACATAGACCTTATTTGAAGTGTTTCCTCTGTTGCTATATAACAAGCGTGCTGTACCAATTTCATCTCGATCTAACAATACACAGCGCGACCCTTATGACACATTGTCTATCCACAACAACACGATGTAATAATAATCGATTTTAATTAATCCATTTCAGCTACCTTTACAGGAATGGCTACAATGTATCTCGTAATGAAATCTAATATTTTTTTCCAATAATTTCAGATACTCTGACAAATAAATGTCTTCAATAAGAAAAGAGATGAAAAAATCTCAGACTAATGTTCGATAGCAAAAAACTAAAATTATCAAATCAAGTTGAACAATCTGTTCCTTTGTCAGAGTATGCGACATACACTTTTTCTAACTAGATCGCAAACAAACTCGCCATGTATGACGGCAAGAGTGTAACAATGCCACAGCACGTGGCATCTCTCTCTCTCTCTCTCTCTCTCTATCTCTTCAAGAATGTACATATATCTCTCTAATAATCTCTCCAAACGCTATAACATCTCGAAGCGTAAAACTTAGCCTTCGATCGAAAGCTCGTCGAAAAATCGTCCCTTCTGATCGGACGTCTTCGACGAGCTTTCATCCATCAACCCCCTAAAAAAGAAAAAGCGCGAGTCCGCGAAGGCCCGCGTCGTCCACGGCACAATATAATAATCCCTCGCCTCTTGCTACTGTTCTTTTCAGTACAACCTGGATTTCCGAGGTCTGTCGGCGCGTGGGGCCGGCGGCTCGCCGTACAGGGGCGGAGAGGGTGGGGGAGCTGACGGCGACGGTGGCGGAGTTGGTGCCGACGGCAGCAAGACGGGCTCCGTCCCCGGCAGCGACCCGTCCGTCTGACAGTTTGGGATGGCCCGACGGGCCAAGGGGGACGCTCGCCGCACCCGGGTTTCCTTTCTACTTTTCTAGGGAGAACCTCCTCGCCTGCCCCATCAGCGGAGCGCGTACACGTCGACCGGAAGTCGCGGGACCGGAAGTCGCCGTCGCCGGCGACAACTAGGTCCCGCGTCAGCCGCGTGTCGGAATATCGTAGTATTTGATTCGGAGGTGCCTCGCCTGGCCGGGATATGCTCGTAGCCGCCAGTATATCATTATTGGCGACATCATGCGCGTATTGACGGTATTCGGAAGCTGCGGACGAAGAGTGGTTGGTAGCGTTCCTCTGGACGCCCTATGATTGATGATTTTTTGGATTGGGATTAAATCAAAATGCCTTTGCGATCGCGAAAGAAAGACGTTGCTGGTCCCGAAATGTTGGAACTCGCTCAGCCACACGCTGGCACCCTCGCGTTTCGCGATCGGGAAAATTAATCTCGGTGAATTCATGACCTGAAAACGAAATGGTAAACCTGTTTATTAAATTATTAATGCAACGGTTCGATGTGCTTGGACAATCGCTTGAAGATACAATATAGGAGGACGCTTAGCTGTGTCGACGTGTACGTTTCGCTAGATTCGTTATGTCGCGCGTACTTTCTGGATTTATAATGAATGAAAAACAAAACAAAACAAAAATTTGTGTCTCATCAGACTCGCGCGTTTTTACTCGAAAGCGGACGAGCTTGGCAACACTTATTTAGCACGGTCGAGTTCCGCCACGCGTGGCGACCGAGGCGTGGAAAAAGCGAAGAATTAAAGCCGAGCTGGCATCACATGGAGTCGAGTGCGAAAGTGGCGGATGAAAAATGTGCGCGTCTATATGATTTGCGAAATTGTTTGCTTTGATACTCCGATCGTCTGATCGCGCACTTTGAGATCCAGAAATTCGCTATACCGAAACGTAGCAAAAGCTGCTTGCGCGAACAATGCATTCTTATATTCATCTTAGCGTAACCGAATTACATCTCTTCGACGATAAAAAGTTTCTTAAAATGAGATTACGATTAATATCCGCGGCGGCGTTACATTTCACCGCTGCTGCGTCATTAACAGTGTTTCACTTTCGCGTTACCTTTCTTTGCTTTTAAACGTCAGATTCTACAAGTATTTCGTAACTCAGACGCGTTATTTTAATCAATCACAAAATTAAATATAAATCCATATGATATTCATGAACTGCGAATCGAGTGAGCGTGGCTTATTTAACACGTTTGTAATTGTAATTTTGTTACGATACACTTCCGGTGAATAAAGAACGCGAACATTCGGAGGCTGATTTCATTGTTCTGGAAACGAAAAAAAAAAACTTTTTCGCCAACACATATGGTTGCGCACAAAACAAATCGTTCTTCCATATCGAGAAGTTGGTGCAACGACAATAATTAACAAATGTCGATCGCAGTGCCTTTTTTTAGGTGTGAAAAACTTTGTCGAAACTTTGGCCGAGATCAACCTCGGCTTCCGTGTTACGCCAACTTCGGTGAACAGATTCCGCACAAGATCGCACATTATACAGTTAACAGGAGGGATAGTTTGCGCGTACATACATATATATACATAAAAATATGCATACATCTGCATGATAATTGTAGCGCGTAAGACTTTGACAATGAAACGTATTGTGCGAAAGCTTAAAAAGCTCTCCGCTCGAAAGCAGCGTTTGAAACTTTTGAAAAGTCCACGAACGGCTTTCCCCTCTTTTACGTTTGTACTCAATTCATCGACTAATTAGAGAAATTTGAACGATGGCAGTCGGTCTAAAAGCGTATACGAATCCATCCGTGCAAAAGACACTTTCCCTGCACATTCGTTAACGCATCCAAACACCTGTCATTCTTCAGATTTCTCGCATCACGCTACTGAATTTACAGATGACAAAAAAAAACAAAATACAATCTTTAAGCATTGACTTTGCAACCGAGAATCAAGTTTTAGGTGAAAAAAATCGCGGCAAGAGACTCCAGCAATATTTATGAAACGAAATATACATATATACTTGTAATCGACTAATCGAGCAGAGATTGTAGACAAAGAGACACTCGTGGGGCAGGAGGTGGTCTATCGAGGGTAACCTGGGGGCGGCAACAGGGCGTACAGGATGTACTTTGTGGCAAAGACACACCATTATTCCGTCACCACTCGAGATTGCGAATCAGCCTAATTCCCGCCGAAACTGTCCGATTTGACGACGTTTTCGTTGTCGCGAAAGATTTCTCTCTCGAAGAATCGTTCTCAAATCGGATATTTCCGATATTCCGTGCATATTGCGATTGTACGCATCAAATTATATGAAAAAAGCTTCTTCTCGATGCCACAAAAAGAGATGAGACGGCAATGACGATTTTCTCACGGAGAATCGTCTTTGAGATCGTTCAATACTTCGTCGAACACGACTTAGAATCTGAAAATCGCTCACGAAGAAGAACTCGAATTTTTTTTTAATATTCATGCGCGTTCAAAATGAATTTCTAGCAATATATGAATAGTAAAGCTCGATAGAAATCGGCGTAAGTAAAATCAGATTAATTGCAATCCAATTGCAATCGAGTTCTCTTCGTGCGCGCGGATAAGAAATTTCCAGGAGATGTTTGTTCGCGATTAAATTAAATACACGATTTCAAACTGACGAAATTGGTGCTACGTAATGAGGGATACTTTTCTTCACGATTTCTTCACGACGTTACGGCAAGATTCATTCAGGAGACGCGAAAAAATCTGTCGTATAAACGTATATTCCTATATGGTTTACTACGGAATATGTATATCTCGGCGCGACATCCCGTGACGATGATAACATCGGAATATGTTATCATTGTTACGTGCCTTCTCTCTCTCTCGAAAAAAAAATGATTTGATCGCACGTCGAACTCTGATCGCGAGAGAACTGAATCGCATCGCTGATAACGAGATAAAAACGATGTATAAGCGATTATATATGTATAATCTCTCTAGCGATAAACCTAGTATTATTAATGTTAAAAGCGGCAACATCTGTACATATAACAACGTTAAGCGTACGCAAGGAAAATTGCGTTGACCATTCGTGCATTTCACACACGTATGTAATCCATTACGTAATAGGGGTGCACGAAAGAAAAATACCGTTCTGCGTGTGTGTATTATACAGAGTTGGCACAAAAAAAAATATCATTTCATGATGCGAAAGCATCGTATTTGTCGCGATCATCGATTTAACGCTAGAACGCCTGCGCTTTCCTAACATTTCTCTCGAACTTTCCCAGAATTTATCCTCCGAATTACTATTCTATTGTCCAAAATAATACGTACTTTTTTTTTGTGAAACTCAGCGAGTTATACGGTGTATAACTCACAAGTGCTCATAAACTGTAACTACCGCAAATAATTGCGAGATTCGAGGTCGTCGATAATAGACCGCCTCTCTTTGGGCGTTTTAGCACTCAATTTTATCGAAGCGTCTGAAGAAAAAAAATAATGGCTAGAAAATGACCGCGGCACCTCGCATTTAAATCGACCGAGATGTCCTTACAAGTTCCTAGAGAGTATAGTGATATTAACGATCATGTTGCTGTGTCGCGATTAAAGGACACGAATGTGCGAATCGGAATCTCGCGGATCCAGCAATTATTTAAGAAAAATAATTGCAACCGTGAAAATACACGGATATATTGACGCGATACTTTTGTACAGACTCTGTATCATACGTGATCGCTCGGTCTTTGAATTACTTAGGATATTATTAAGATATAATAATAGTGCGGTAAGTTTGAATTTTTTTGTATAAAACGGCACAAAATATTTTCTATAGGGGAAACGGGGGCGAGTTCGATCGTAAGTGTTGAGTTTCTATGATTATTATTATTATTACGATTATGATTATTATTGCCCACCCAATTATGATCTCCGCTATCTCGCAGAGTAGATGATTGTCGCGCTAATTAATCGCGCTTTGTCTGCAGAAGAAAGAAATAAGCTCACGGAAATATATCGTTAAGTATATATGTACCTATGAACAATTTCTACGCAATAATATACAATGTGGTAGTACTTTATCACAATGTGAGTACTTTATAAACACACGAGAGAGACGAGGAATTAGCATTAGCAGTACATTCGTACAAACACATTCGCGGGAAAACAATGATACATTATTATTATACTTCCTTTCGTGCTAGTTTTCTCCCGTGTTCAGTCACGAGTTTCTCATTGTTTCCTGCGAAACGCGATTCCTTCTCCTCGTACACGTAAATCGATTGACACGACACCGAGATTGATTGCTGATCTTCGCATCGAGATAATTAGTAAGGTCATCCGCGTGAGATTGTGATATTCTCTGATTTGACGAATATAGGTAAAATTAAACGCGAAAAAGAGCGCGTATATATGGTATCGCGACCGAGATCTCATAAACGAAATCCCCCATGATCTCATCGCTCGATTACCTTTGCGCGAACATGTTAGAAACAAAAATCGCGGTGTTAAAAGGGATTCTTAATAGTCTATACGTGTATGTTGGTCCCCTGATCCTGAAACGGAGAACGGGCCTGTTTGACTGTGCAGATAATGGAAGACTCACTGTTGATCATTTTTTATCGAGATTTGATTGTCATAAAAATCTCTATTTATTTCTTTTAGCGGTGCAGTTCGAATTATCTGTATAGTCAATCAAGAATCCACCTTCTCCTATAATTCTACCTCAATTTTCGAGATTAGGTGCTTTAGATTTCTTCAAAAAAAAATTGTTCATGGCATTCGTACGCACATACTCGTCTCACGTGCGCCCCTAGATATCGAGGATATTCCAAAACTGTCACACTTTGTTTTACCTGTGATCAATTTGGAATCAGTCTTTTCTCGACGCAAGACTTTGAGAGAGTCTTGAGAAAAGATGACTTCTGAAATCTATGAAGAAGAGGCAACTTTAAATTAGTTAAAAGATTAAAGTACACGTCATTAAACAAAAACAGTGCAATAGTTTTGGAATAACCTGCATATAGCGAAGAAAAATGATAAAAAAGAGAAATTCGATAACACCAAGAAGAATCTTTGTTCTTCAAACGCGTACGTTTTACCGAAAAAAAAAAATATTTGCTGAAATACACATATGATAAACCCGTATTGCGTACTGTTTTCAACGATTAACGCGATACTTTTTCGAGAAAAGATTTTTATTTCTGTTAGTGCCTATCTCTTGTCTGCAAAAACATTTTTTTACGCAACTACACATTATAGAAAAAAATATAACTTTCGGCTTATGGTTCTTTATGCAAATAATATGATCTTGGACACCAGAAATATTGATAACTACAAATAATAAGATTAATAATGATAATTAATGATAATTAATAATAATATTAATATTAATAAGCCATAGTGCAAATCGTAATGATACACTTATACATAATATTGATAGTAACGACTGTTATATTGGTTGGACTATTTCGTGCCTGTGGTCGAGTATTACCGTATTACAGAAGTATACCTGTAATTCGTTCGTCAGCAAAGTCTTATTAGTTAATAACGTAAAAAGTAAAAATTCGTAATATATATTATATATATGCAAAGCCTTGCAAAATGTATTTGAATAGGAAAAAACGTAAGTGTAGGACGGTCGTGCAAATGTTTAAGAAAACATTTTACAACGGTGACTTTACCATTTTGTACAATCTAGTGGATTAAAGTACTTCGTACTCTTGTGTGCGCCTCGACGTACTTTTTCAAATTCAGCGCTCACTGCATCCTTGGCATCTCATTAATTAAAATCTCGTTAATAAGTTAGACAACACATCAATGACAATAATTTCAGCTAATTACTTGCACGTCGGTCCTTAAGCGCCGCTTCGTTTGCTTTGTTACTGATAACGTATATTACTGATAACGGGACACAATAACACAGTCATTTCGAGATTAAACTTTCAAATTAATTGGCATATTCTATTCATATCCATTCTAGGAATAACTAAGAATATGAATATTAATTAAGTGTAAACGGATTCTGCGTAATTCAGCATAACTATTTTTCTGAATTACAACTGTAAATATGATGAATGAGAATCACTTTCTTCGATATATACGTTCGATTGTTCTTTTTATTTTATTTTATTTTATTTTATTTTATTTTTTATATACCGACGTGTCGCGTCTCAGTAGCGAATCGGTGACCTCATTAAATGAAAAATGTATCGACATGAGCTTATAGTAATTTAATATTTTCCTAAAGACGCCAGACACACAATCGTACTACTATTAAAAAATAAAAAATAAATTACTATAAAAAATGCGAAATGTGTAAAATCACATATGGGGACATTCAAAGTCCAAACCTTTGACGGAGAAGTATAATAAAGTGCAAGGCCAGTGCAAATTATTGTCAAAGAAAATAAGATTCAAAGTCGCACTATATATATATATTTTACTATCGTGGCTACACACATACGCGATTAATCGACACTAATACGATCGCGCGTAATTAAAAAATTTACGTATACAATTCAGATACAATACTTTATAGAAAAAACAAAACAATCCATCACACTCTCGATACTCGTGATAATCTATTATCCACTAGATGGTCAATTCAATGCGATTTAAACGTACGTCGCTATCGATCTTTCCCCGTAGACTACAGCTAATATATAAAACTGTAATCTCTCTTCGATTTTTTCAAGCCAAATATTCTTTCATATTCAATGTCTATTTCGTAATTTGAACGTATGAAATCAATTAATACACATATAATTATATAATATATGGTAGCGCGCAGCTGCGACGAGATGTTAATGACGACGAGACGTTAAATAATCGCTCATTTCATAGGTATCTCGGTTCGATGGGAAAAAATGGATATAAATATGAAAGAGAGGAAAAAATTTTCTGGAAATCCGATTTTTCTAAATTTATTATTTACATATGCGAACTCATAATTCGCTACTAATATTTTTAAAAAATTATATTTCATATTATATTTAAAAAATACATTATTTTATATTGTATTAAAAATAATAATATATTATTATAGTAATGTAACGATATAAAAATTACACGCAAACATCATGTTGCGTTTTCGTTTCACCGCAAATAATTCCGATGGAAAACAATACCAAATTCAAAGATATCTATTCGATAAGCAAGCATGTGTGAAAAGTGGAAAACGCGCTTTCTCACGGCATCGACAGGTATCGTGCGGTGTACTTGGATAACCTTGATGCAACTAATCTTTTTGGTCGAGTGCAGCGATGTGTATGATACCGCGGACTTTTTCCTTCAAGTAAAAAAGAAAAGAAAAAGGCGCCTCGTCGTTATTTTCAACGTCGCGCGCGAGAACAAATCTTCCATTTCGAGAAACTTACATTTAGATGATTTTTCAATGAACGAGACAAAAAATACAGAAATCTCTTGATATGAATTTATATACATATTTAACAAAGTGTCCTAGTCTATATATCGCGCGAGGCTACAGCCTCGAGAAGAATGGAATCACGATTAAGGGGGTGGATAGATTAAAACGGCTAAATCATCACGACTGATACTATCGAAAAGAATTTTGATCGAGTAATAAGATATCATGTATCACATATGCCAGTGTATATTAAAATTTATCAAGGTTTATTAGACATACAATAGACGATGCTCTCATGCGTAATAATGGTGTCATATATATTTTATGAGAGTAGCGTACCTAGAGAACTGAGAGAGAATCCTGGAACACACGCGTTAATTGAAATCGATTAATCGAGAAAATCGTCAACGGTAATTAAAGAACAGAATTATCGTGTCAGCGGGATAAATTTGCATCGCAATAAATGACATTTTTACGACCGCGCGTGTGTTTAACTTCTAGGAATATAACCATAAACATAATCGATTGCAATATAAATTGGAAAAAAATTCCGTTACTTATCGATTATAATCTTAGACGTTGACCGATTCTAAAAGTTCCTTTTTTTCGATTCTAAAATAAACCTCATTTAGCAAAATTCTTAAAAGTTATTAAATATGAAATACACTTAATTCTATTGCTTCCGGTTAAATAATCCAAAAAAATATTTAATTTTAATGCAAAAATGGAAAAAAAAATAAATTTTTTAACTCCCCTGAATTTACAAAAATATTGCAAAATATTATCTCTGCTAATAATTAACGTGCGATATATATATTTTCCTCTACTATATAAATTTTGAATTTCTCTCGCTTTTCTCTCGCATTTATTAAAGAAAGAAAAAGATTATATCGATCCCGAGGAAAATTATTCCGACTATCACCCCTGTCCGAAAAGAAGCTACTCGAAATACAGTACGATACATATCTGCATGTCTTCTATCTGTTGATATCTGTCGAGACGAATATCAAATATCATTCACCCACCCAAAAATATAGGAGAGATTCCTAATTATAATTTATACATATATTCTTCCGATGTTGTACGCGTCTGGATCCATCTCTAAATCGTAAGCTCCGACGTAATTTCCGACTCTTATACACGCATCCTTGTACGAGCACACACAAACATTCTTATACGAAAATTTTAACAAATACAAGGAAAAAGCATAGCTGCAGACGACTCCTAGATTTCCTTACCTTTATCATCATTGTACAATCGTCGTGAGTGCCAAACGGCCAGGTCGCACAATATTTCGGATTACATCGGATATACATATAGGCAGATTCATTAATAAAGTGTAATATATTATTTCGCGCACATTCGTTGCTAAATAACGCATTCGCGGGCAAAGCGACGTCAAACAATCAAAATAATACTTCATTATCAAAAATTGCACGGTAGAGAGAATATATAATATCTAGATTATCGGCATAAAAAATTAACGGTAGCATATATTATATAATGTATTCGATATAAACTATATTGATTTATTTGATAATTTATTTATATCCGTATACACAATTATTGGCAAATTATATTTATGATTTTACCGAGTCTCTCTTGGTGGAGAAATTTTTTTTTTATTTTGGATTAATCTAAGAATCGAAGAATTCTCTGATTCGCGCTCAATTATACGCTCCGAAAAAAATACAATCGCATTGTCCGCGAACGCATCCGAGTGCGATGAAAACTTTGGTAAGAGATACTTACGCGGTCTTCCCATCAATATATGTGTGTGTGTGCTTGACGTTTCTACGAACTTTCTTAAATGCGACTTTAGCCGCGCACGTGCACGTGCATAAACGCGGTGCATCAGCAGCGGCAGATAATTTCTATGAAAATGTGTGTATTTCGGTATCCGCGATTTATCTCACACACATAAAGGTAGGTTCAGATGCTTCGCAGTGTTACGACAAAAATTGAAGAACAAAACGCTTACCTACCTACATATACATAAATATATATATATATATACATATATTATAATTGTCAATAATTGATCGATATCGAGCGTTTCATTTATAACGAAAGACGAAACAAACAGTACCGATCTAGCGAACAATTTAGCATTTAGATAGATTTCGTACTTCGTATTTAATGACATTATTGAATCATTATATATCGAGTATATTGTATGTATTTGGAAGCTCTGAAGACAACATGAAAATAAACTATTGTACTCGAAGCGTGTCAAAATAATTGTGTTGCTGCTCACTCACCGATATGTTGATCTTTCATGCATATCTGCTCCAGATGGATCGTTTCGTCGAGAGAAAAGTGCTGCTGTCTCTCTCCTCTTTGCGAGTCAATGTCTTTTATAAATATACGCGATATTAATTAATTCGGCACTCCCAATTCACTTTCGAGAAAAAAGAACGTGGCACAGTTGCAACTTTTGTTATTACATCGTGATGATGAATCTGTAAAAAAGGATTACTATGATCAACATGGTAACGAAATTTGAAATCAGGGTTATATCGTCGGTTTCCGCGTTCTTGGGAAAAGATGCTCTCGCGACTACAAAATTACTACTAGAAAAGAATGCAACACTCACCCGATATTACCTCATATACGCCCGACACTCGTTCTGTACTCGGAATTCACTTTCGGCGGGAAAAAGACGCGAGAAAATCAGGATCTACAATCGACCGAGACGATCACGACCGCGCAGTATAGAGAGGCGCGAAGAAAAGGCGCGGGAGCGACACGCTTACGGCGCATGCGCGTGTCGACGCGACATCAGCGCTAATCGCGGAGCGATCGAAAACGAATTATGTTTATGAAGTAAGCTACATATCTTTGTGCACGAAGCGCTGCACTTGGCGCTCGAGGGTACTTTTTTTCTTCGACCAAATCAATTCAACTGAATATAAGTATAATAATCATGATCTATATATAAATGCTCCATGCCTTTCATCACAGTTTTTTGCATGTCAACAAACTAATCAATGGTGTATGAGCCAAGCTCAAGCAGCCAAAAAAAAGAAGATGAACTGAATAATATCGAATGGAATATATCTATCCTTTTTTTCTAGAGCGAATTATTTCATAACCAACTTTCATGAGACTAATATTTCCGTCTTTAATATTAATTCGTTAGAAATCGAAACATTTGCATGAAAAATATATTGTATATACGTAATACAAAGTTACGCCAATTAATTCCTCAAAAATGCAAATAACTCACCATGGCGACGAAATTCGAAATCACTGCGATTATATATATATTGTCGATTTCTCCGTTCTTGCGACTGTGAAATTATCACTACGAAAGAATACGATATTAATTTCGATATTCCCGATATCTCGACACTCGCGATACTCACTTTCGGCAGGAAAAAGCCGCGAGAAAATCAGGATCCACGATCGACCGAAACGACCACAACCGCTCAACCGCGCGATATAAAAAGGCGCGAAGAAAAGGCGCGAGAGTGACACTTTTGGCGCATGCGCATGTCGAACCGATATCAGCGCTAATTGCGGAGTGATCGAAAAATAATTGTGCCCATGAAGTGCTGCACTTGACGTTTACGGAAACATCGGATATAATTTTATTAACCAATCACAGACTTTTTCCCTAGCTGGATTCAACCAATCAAAATCATTAAAAAAAATAAACTAATTTCCATCTTCAATATTATTTTGTTACAGATATTTTGCATGAAAAATATATTATACACGTAATAAAAAGTTACGTTGTGTGTTACGCCAATTAATTCCTTAAAATGCAATATAATTTACCGAATTTTTTTGCGCATTGCTCTTGATAAATGATTAAAATTAAATATGCAGAAACCGAGATCTTTCAAATATAGCGTCAATGAACTTTCACTTCTAAAAATATGTATATATATGCACAATTACTTTATATTATTTATTTACGTAATTAATTAATAAAAAAAATATATATATATATATATATATATATATATATATATAATAAATATATTATTGCAAGAAAATATAACAAATTAATAACAATAAGGCACAATTACATATATGTATTATTTTATTACCTTATGTGTGTGATGAGTCTACAAAATATGCAGATATATATATATGTAATTAAAAATATGCAGATATATGTAAAAAGCTAATGAAAATACCTCTTGACACGCAACTCTTTCTTCCGATTCCTTTTATTCCTCGCACAAACACCGTGCAAATGGATTATATAAACAAAGAGTTATATGTTCCATAAATATTATGGAGAGAAACAGCGCGGTCTCCATATGAACGCACATACGCACACACCCATAAATATAATACGCTCGACCGTACTCGGCGCACTTCGTAGCGCGCATGAGCAGAAGCAAGAGGAATCAGTGAAAGCATTCGCAGCCTACTTCGCAGACTAGTCGACGGTGAGGCATCATGGCGATCGGTTAGGTGCCTTTCGTATCCGGCGTGTTACTTAGGAAAATTTGCTGTGATCTGTGTGAATTACCTGTCATCGGAGTTTCTCGGATCGTCGTCGTATTTTTTTTTCCCCATCGCTTAACGAGACGTGAATGACACGATGGTGAAATTGACCGAAGAGATGGTCGTGGCTCGCACGCGAGTGTCGGACTTCTCCGCCGTGAAGAAGCTCAATTGCTGGTGAGTAATGTATAGTATTTACGTCGGTGTGTGTCTGTGTGTGTGCGTGCGTCGCTTTTTAACGGTATAACCTCCGTCGCGAATTAATTCGCGACGACTCGGCCGCTTCGTCTCTCGAGCGATTAATGCGTTCGCACTCACCCGTGCGAACGAAATCGTAAAAACGGGCTTATCAAATTCCCTCGTACGCCTACTACGTACTGTACTTTGTGAGAAAAAAAGAGGATTATATATGATATGATCAGCCGAGCGCGACTAATTACTATTTCCCCCCTGAGACACGTGAAAGAACAGGCGAAAAAAAATTCGCAGATTCTAGTGGCTAGACTAGTTTTCACACGCTCGAATGTATAAGGAGAAATATATATTTTAGGATCACTTTTATAGAAATAAATACATTATGACAAGAAGTATTTATAATTCGAAAAAGAAAGTTTTTTTAATCTATGTTTTATCTGTTTTCTTTTTCATCATAATGAATAAAATGTACATATAAAGTTTGAGCTTCTATTTTGGAGCCAATCTGCATAATAAATATATATATATATATATATATATATATATATATATATACACACACACATATATATACACACACACACACACACACACATATATATATATATATATATATATATATATATATATATATATATATATGTTGTAACAATATAATTTCTAGTCTGTTGTATCAATGTATATATTTTCTTTGTACAGGGGAACAGAATTAACAGATGTTAGCATTCTAAGAAAGATGATAAATGTAGAGGTTTTGTCATTAAGGTAAGTTAAAACACGTTAAAATTATAATATAAATAATTATCATTATTGGAGAAAAAATGTGACATCTATAAATTTGATTTATTATAATATTAGCACATGTAGCTCTTTGAATTAAGAGCATAATTTTTTACGTTTATTAGCAAGTAATCTATTACACAGGATTGAAATTATTCTGTTTGATCATTGCGATCTAAGCTATTTTTTATCTTACGAAAACATAGAAGCTGTAACGTATTCCTACTTTGGACATGATTGTATTAAACTCATGGTCACAACCTACAATCTCAAAAGTTGTTCTGCCCACACGTGCTTTGAATTCATTGTGATTCATCTGAGTCATTTAAAAACACAAATGTATATAAAGATATGAAGATCTGTCTGAGAGAGAAAAGCTATTTTTTTTTTATTTATAAGACAGTAAATACATTATTACAGAGGATATGCTATAAAGTTAGTTTTGAAAGTGCAATCAAAATTAATTTAAACAAAAAAGAGAAAAATAAATATGTATACATCTTCCTTTTTTATGAAAATGTATTTTTGAAAAAATATATATTGTGTGGAAACACTGCACAACTTTCTAATAAATTCTAATACTATTTCATTAATTTTTATAAAGAAGCTGTTTTACTTACATTTTTATCAATCTGAATTATCATAATTGCAAGAAGTACTTTTGATAAAAAGAATCATTATTTCTTTTTTATATAACATTAAAAATGAAAGGGGCATGTAAACATATACCAATATAGTTTTTTTATACCAAGAAACTTGATTAATTTACATATTTATGCTAAATATTACATATGATCTGTATAAAATAAAAATTGGTTGATAAAGAAGTTTTATAAACTTTGCTATGTCAAAATATACACATAAACTTGAAAAATTATAAATATTATATGTGTGAATTGTTACAAAGAGATATTACTAATGTTAGTATTTTGCATTGTTTAAAATAAAGTTTTATATAATCTGAAAATAATAATTCAAAATATATTTTTCTTATTTTCAGTATAAATAACATTAGCACTCTTGCTGATTTTCAATATTGCCGCAGACTTCAGGATTTATTTATACGAAGAAACAACATCAAAGATTTGAATGAAGTTTGTTACCTCCAAGAATTGCCTAGATTACGAAATTTGTGGCTCGGTGAAAATCCATGTGCAGAGAAAGAAGGGTAATATTTAATATAACATCTTTTTTTAAGAAATACTTCTGCATGTATATTGTATATAATCTATGTATAATTAACTTTTAATTAATTAATTATACAATGCTTATTTGTGTGGGAGAAAGCCCACTAATCTCCTAAGAGGACTGGAATCGATATTTGATTCTGACACCAGTCAATTACGAATCAGCTATTATTCCAATAAATTATTCTAAATAAAATTTCCGAATCTTTATTTTGACAGATATCGATTAGCTGTACTGCGAGCTTTGCCAAATCTGGAAAAATTAGATGACAAAGTAGTATCAGAAGAAGAAGTGCAAACTGCGATGACAATAGGTCAACCTTTAATACATCCTCTTGAAATGGATGCTTCTCCACAATCAGATGCAGTAACTCCAGAAGTAAGAACAAACTCTTTCTTTTTTTACTTTTTTTTTTTTAGAAACATTTTATAATATTGTAATAACAAAAAAAATTGGTGAATGGTAAAATGCTAAACTATATTTTCATATTTAATGCACTTTATGCATTTAATATTTATTATTTTATCAATTATTTACAATATTTTTTGTAAGCTTTACATTTTAAAATTAATAGCTGCATATTTAACCATAATAATTTAAGTTATTAAAATTTACATAAATTGCAAATTATATAAAATCAATAAAATTCATTTTAAATGCATTACATGTATCTTAAATGTACTTTTAACAATCATCGCAAAATGCTAAATGACATTTATACTAAATTAGGATATTACTATTGAATACATTGAAGAAATTGAATTGGAACGACCTAGGAGATACAGTTCTTCTAGTGATCAGGTAATGTTATAAACACTATATTAACGCATTTCTTTTCTGATTTTCCTTCTCATCATTCAATAAAGTGGATAATTTGATAACAAAATGTTTGTTATATAATTATTGTGTTAAAATAAAATAATATACATATGTAGAATTATTTTTTCAGAGAAGTTTTGACGAAACACAACATACTCATGAAGAATATGACCCTGATAGAAGAAACGCAAATTATAATGCGTCATCGTCCCATCATTACTCACAAAATAATCAATATGCATATGAGGTCAGTCATGCATATCGTTCATATAATAGGAATAGAAATAATATCCCTTTCAATTATCATTTTCAAGAACAACTACTTATTAACAGAAAGTATAATTATGATTTTGGGAAGTTTTTTTATAGTCGTAATCCAGTTTCTAATATTTTCATGTATTATACTGTAGCAAAAAGTAGTTGATTCATTTACTTGATATTATCATTGATTGTAATAATTAATTAGAATCAAAAAAGAGCAATTCAAACGCTATATCTTTTAAAGTCTATGTCATTGCCTGATTATTGACTAACAGCTACAAAATGGACAATCAAAGAATCAGAGCAAAGATGACACTATGTGTACAGAGTCACGCAGCAACAATGAGACTGTGGCTACTAACACTCTTGAAATATCCAAGGTACATTCGCTATAATCGCACATTGTCTCGATGCAAAGTAGTAGTTATTAGTTTTTCAAAAAAACTTAATGGTCAAGTACATGATATTTATGATTGCAGTTATCATTATTCATATTTATATCTACAACAATTTAGAATATATCAGTAGCACTGTCATTAATAAATACTGACATTATTAACATTGATTAAATAAAATCTGACATTGACATGCATAAAAATTTTTTGGCTACATATGACTTTGTATGGCTCTGGGGAATATATAATGTCAAATAATTTTGTAACTGTCTTTTTATTGTTGTCATCTAATCATATCATATCCTTGCATATGGCTTCAATAAAATAGATAACTAATATTATAATACTAATTAACTAATCAAATTCAAAAGACTTGTACATTTGTCCTAAATATTCAATGTTTTAAAAAATAGAATTAGATTAAAACTCATTTATAGTATATTAATTTGTTGTAATTATATCATAAGTAGAATATGAATAATTTTATCAAATAAGACATAATAAACTTTAAATATTTGGAAAATGGTTGTTTGGATTAACGATTTTGCGGCTAAACTATTACACTTTAGTATTACATTTATATGATGTTATTATATATATATATATTCAGGACAAATAGAAAATATAGTCTTTCTTATCTGCTAATATTTTATTCCAATAATGTGATGAAATTTTTATGAATTTAAAACCAATTTTCTCTTGAATACAATTTACATATAGCATTGTTTATACTTATAGAAAACAATGTTTTAGGATTATGATGACAGACCGGTAGTACAACGACATAATGGGGATGATGAAAGGCGAGCTTACTCCGAGTATGGTGGAAACGAAGTATCTCAACGTATCTATACACCAACATCACAGCGTGCACAGTATACTGTCAATGAACTTGCAGATGATAGACGTAATAATTACAGCTATGATGAGAGAACACGAGGAGAATACGAGGACTCATCGCAACCTCCAATGCCACAAGCAAGAAAAATGGCTGTTTATCATAATGAAAGGGTAACAAATAAACTATATATTATTTTTTCATCATACATTAAATTCAATGCAAATATAACAACTAAATATATAGTTATTGTAAGATAAAATATTGTATTTAAAAGTTTCCTTAAAATTAACGTTTTATTTTTATTTAATATTTGCAGGAAGATACAGGTCAAGTACCACCAGGTTGGGTAAGACACTCAGAAAAAGAGAAATGCAGAACACAATTTCATTATCACAGGCGGCCAGTAACGAGGGTATGCTTTATATCGTTGTTTTAAATTAAAGTACATATGTTATGAAATTTTACATATTTATAATATATATTTTTCTATTTAGAATTCAAATATATTATCTGCTGTGCTGTGTCTGGTCAAGGAGTTGGATTATCCTAGCTTAGAAGTGGTAGAAATGGCTGTTAGAAATCGAATGGACGAATTAGAAGAATGATGTTTCTGACACCGTCCCCAAAATCCACAGGGGACGGTTACTTTTTCCCAAATCGGCAACATGTCTTCTGCTCCGAGCCCAGAATTCTCCGACTCGCTTGATTCTACGATAACTAACCAATATACTGATAATGATGAGAATTACAACAATGACAAACATATTGATCGTCAGTTGGAAGAAAATAATGATAAATGTCAGGTTCGACGTAAATATGCCGAAAAAATTTGCTCAACAAACAATTCGAAAACAGTATCAATCGACCCAAATCCAAAGTTACTCGAAAATAATCAATCTGTTCATAAAATTAGAGACTCTGCATTAGATAATTTATCGTCGAAAGAAAAAAAGAGCAATGATGTAAGACGCGTAGCGAGCAGTGACAGCATTCCTCGTGGTGGTTACAATAATGTCATTTTAAACCAAGGATGCAGAGTTTTAAGTCAAGAGTGTGTGAGAAGATCAAAAAATCCGGATATTAGAAATACAATTACACCGCTTCGTTATATTCAATCAGCAAAAGGAACGTGGACCTACAATTTGTAAGTTGGATCGAAAATTTAATGAATTATAATCTCTCTGTCCTAAAATCAAGCTCTCTTATGAATATAAATAGAAATAATATTTCTGAAATAAAAGGAAAAAATGAGATAAATTTTAGTTAGTAATTGATAAAAAATTTATGATTACAAGATTAGTCTCATCATACTATTGGTCAGTGGAAAAAAGTATATGTAAAATTTATATATGATTGTGATATTTCTGCAAGGTATGAAGAGACAAATGTAATTATCTTTGTATATTATGCATACATACATTTAACAAGAAGTTGTAATTGCCATTTCTATTAATAAGAAATGTTTTAAAATCGAAACTAATGAAATCTTCGATTTCAAATGTCGTAAATCTGATGATTGATTTATGAATAATTTTACTTAACTGTTATTTTTTCACAATTTTATTCAATTTGTTAACATGAGCAATTTATATTTACAAATTTAAATAGTTTTATCTTGTGTATATATAAAATATAGAATCAAAAAGATAAATTACAAATATTAAATATTTTCTAAGCAAAGAATAATGTTTGATGTTTTTATTGAAGAAAATTATTGAAATTAAATTATTTGCCTAAAAAGATTGTTAAATCAATAATCTTGGAAGATTAATGTTTAAAAAGTGTAATAATTTTTACACTAAAATATGTGTGATGAGCGTATGTATATATGTAGAAAGCGATTTCGTATACAAAGGATATTCTATGAAAAGCTTTAAATGTATATTATTCACACATCTGTTATCAAAACCTCATTTGCATATATTAATACTTAAAAATATGTATATACTTAAACAAGAAATCCATTTCTATAGTATTATTATATATATATTCTATGGTATCTTAACTTTATTTGATTAGAGATATACAATTAATATGGTTTTAAATTGTTGTTTTAACAATATTACAAAGAGAAAAAAGATTGTATTATCATATATATAAAATTATGGAAGATTGTACTTAAAAAGACAATAGAATAATGAACAAAAAACAAGGGTAAGATAATTATAAGAACATTTATTATAACTTTAGACTGACAAACGCAAGTATAGGGCATATTTTTTGAGACAGACCCTTACATTATTTACTAGCTTACAAAAATACAGAAAGAAAACAAGATAATTTAATCTGCTACTGTTCCAATCAATGAAGCTAACAATATGATATTAGTAATTTAGTATTAAGATGTTTTATAACAATGTAAAACAATGATTTTATTATTCAGGACCGTCCACTCTTACATTATTTTACAACTGATATACATATATCATATTTACTTTTAATATAATTATAAATATATTATTATAAATATATTATTTAAACGTTATATAAAGAAAGACTAACACATTTTTGAATTATAGAACAAAAGGTGATACATTATAACTTGCATCATTGTGTTATACAAAATCAACTTTGAATTGTTACTCTTGTTAATGTTCTCTATATACATCACATAAACAACTTGTTAAATTATTTAAAAAATGAAAAATTGTATCTCCATGCTCTACTTATCTATATCTAATTCTTAATTTAATTTCAGATCTAATTTTATGTAAAAATGTCTGCTTCGATTGAAATATTAAACCCATATGTATGCTCAATTTCAAAAATAATTTTTTATTTTTTGTTTCCTAATTTTTACAAACAGTCTATCCTTTTTGTGGAAAATTATAAAGTCCATTTTGAATTTACATTCTGAAATTATATTCTGATAATATAAAAAAAAATCTTTAATTTTATATTGTCAAAACTGAGCAAATCTTAATTTTCCCCTTTTTCACTCATGAAGCAATATACATTTCTCTGTATCTATCAACAATTTTTATATAAAGTAATTTTTAATATAGTATTATATAAATAATATATCTTTCATCAAGACTTTAATATTAAACATATTTATGTGCATACTTTTTAGATATATATGTACATGTGAAAAATAACATTTATATATATTAAATAATTAAATCAACATATTGCATTGTTTTTTATATTTTATTTTTTAACGAATATATGCAAAAAAACTCATAAATATATCTTCTTTTCAAAACAATTATTCATTTGATAAGTCAATCGTATGTGTATGCTTGCTGAAAAACATAAGAAACGCAGTAATAGCTTATATATTATATTTGGATATTAATTACATTTATTTATTTATATCACGGTCTTACATATGTAAGACCGTGATTTATATTATTAATTTTTCTGCATATATATATATTATACATGTTTACGATAAATAGAAATAGGTTATTTACTAGAGAATTTTATGAAACTTAAGCTCCTTGCACAATGCAATACAACAGGCAATAGGAATAGAAAATATCCACCAATAGGAGCAAAAAATAATATCTATCTCCTTTTCCGATTGGTTGATATTTTTTATTTCTTATTCTTATTGTCTGTTGTCTAGCATTGTGCAAGGGGCTTTATGGTGAATGTCCTGGAGCGTGTCTAGCCCATCTGTCATTTACATATGTCAGTGTGATTCAAGCTCGTTAACCATAATGGAGCAGCTGTCAAATAGTATATTTTTTGTATTAATTTGGATTTTTACGGCCTTTTCACCGGTAATTTACACATTTTTGCTTTGCTAATAGTAATTAAGATTCTTGATTATAATGTTTCTTCGTATGTCATTTGTGAAAACAGTTTGAAAGAAAGGACAACACGCTTGTGGAGCAATGTTTACTATGATATTAGTGTTGATAGTTAATGTCACATTATATAATTTTATGGTTTTGACATTTTATAATTTATTATATCTAAAAATATATATCTATGCATATTTACATTAACATCTAATTGTTATAAATGATAAAAGTTTATATATACACGATTTTATAGTTTATATATGATTGTCTGACAGTTATCAATTATATTTCCAGACTGCTGCACATTACTGTGTGTGGGGATTGTGTGAATCATGGGAATTTTGTTGCGATGAAAATATATGCTGCAGTAGCAAAGATTACAATATATGGATCACTGTGTAAATATAGTATAGTCAATTTAAAAAATATGTCATCATATCATACACATAATTAAAGCTAATTCATTGAAATCTTAACAGGATGATCATAGCTGCAATTGTAATCGGAATGGTGCTGGCTGGTACATGCTTGACCTACAATCTCCGTCGTATCTATCTTTATTTGCAACAAAGATATTATGGTTTTAATTCTGTGTCTGTGCCATCAGAATTCGAGTCTGACGGAAAATCAATAAAGATTTCACTTCAGGAGTAAAATATGTAAATAATCTTTAATTGGACCAAATTTGTAATATATTATTGTTAAATGTAAGCATGATACATTAAGTCTCTTATATTTCTAATAATTTATGCTTATACATTAGAATGTGTTAAGTAAATTATAATTGTGTATTGTTATTAGATAATTGTTTTATTACATATCCTCTTTCAATTATTTAATTCTTATATTGCATGTTGTTCTAAATATCATCCATGTTATGTTTCCATTCAAGTATCTTATCACTTATTTTAAAAGCATTCCAATTTTCATCCATTTTTGGAGCTCGCGGTTTAATGTGCACAGCCTCGCAAATTTCCTTTGTAATTTCAGGTATAAAGAAATCTGAAAGTTTTGGTGTAATATCTTTTTGTCGTGGCTCTGGATCTTTACTTCGCATGATAGTAGATGGCAACTGTTTCTCGTCTATGCTTAAATCTACTAAATTTTTGAAAATTGCTTCATCCAGTGGAAAATCCAGTGCTGTAGAAATCTATTAAAAAAAGATTCTTTCAAATTTTGACCCATCTGGGGAAATATTAAAATGTTATTTTTTTATAAATAAAATCTTACCTTTCCATTTACAAAACTTTTTTGTGCAGATGGCAAATGATCAATATCTCTGACAATCTTCTGTTGCTTAAGTTCTCTCAGTTTATTAATAGTACATGCAATAGAATTATATCCTGGTCGTTCCAATTCTTCTGCAGTAACAATATCTAGTGTTTTTTTCTCATTTGTATCACTTACTTTAATATCATTTTTCTTTTGTGAAAAACTCCTGGGCCTACAGCAGTTTTTATTTTAAGACCTGATACATTATGTAATATAATCTTTTTAACTGGAGATGCTTTAGTTTTTGCAGCATTCTTGTAACATGGCATAACATTGGGTGTAACAGATTTTGTATTGATTGTTTCTTTTAGCATTTGTTTCTTTGATCTTTTCACAACGTTTGGTGCAGATAGTGATTTTTCATCTTTGGACTTTTTTTAGACTCCATAGTATTTATCTTCTGTGTATTTTTACTAGTAGAAAGTTTACAGTTTCCAGTTGATGTAACCGATTGCATATATTGAGAGCTTCCTTTTCTTGTTTTACTTACATCTTTACTAAATACAACTTTTTTCAGTGTTACATCTTTATTTTCTTTCCCTTTTTGTTGCAAACTTTCCTTGTTATCTTTTAAAATATTATCTCGTGGACTTTTATTAGATTGCAAAGTGTTATAATTTTCTTTTATATTCTGAATACCATTTGCATTATGTAAAATTCTTGAAGTCTCGATTTTTGGAACATTTTTATTAGATGGAAATGTATTTTTTTGAATGTTCTTAGATGCAATATTACTGGAATGTGTTGAAATCTCTGTGTTATGATCACCCTGCAGTACATTCTTGTTACGAACACTTGTTGACAATTTCTTAGGATCTACAATTCTAACAGGTTTCTTGAGAGATACGATGCTCTTAATTCTCGGACCGTTCGTTCGTGAAACAGTCTTCTTCTTGTTACAGCATTCAACGTCCTTCTCCTTGTTTTGTACATTGTCAGAAAATTGGGAGAATCTAACCTTTGGTCTCGAAATTACTCCAATACTTTCCAATGGCATAGCTTATAATTTTTATAAATACAATTGCAGCAATTGTTGCACGAGAAATTTTCGATTACATATAAAAATAAATGCCCCTCAACAACACTAAATTCAATGTTTTATCATAAAATGCGTTGTAGAACCATACATATGAGAGGGGCTCGAATCAGTTCAAATGTACATATGTGTTAAATCATAATGGATTTAACTGTGAATTTCGTCTACGTGTAACGATTCTTCAAAAACATTTTTTTGACGATGATATGTAAATACAATACACGACTCACTTTTGCAATCCCGCGCAAGATGTTACGCGCGATTTAAATTTCATAACAATTGTTTTGACTGCGTTGCGCGCCATCTGGTGGTAAAGTCTTGAATTAATTAACGTCATCGCAAGTGGACGTCGAATCTGATTGGTAGTTCCACACGTGAAACATCAATCGGAAGCAATATTCCTATGGACCAATCTTGTCTGTTTTGCTAAATTTCACTAGTTGAAGATTCAGAAGATTGGTAGCACTGAATAGTCTGATCATACACAAAGTTTCAATTTGAAAGATCGTAACGGTCTTCAAGTAAAACTGTGGCAAAGGGGAAGAAGTGTCTTTTTCACACGGGTGTTGTCATATATATTTCAGTCTAATTCAACGAAAGCTGTCAAATTATTTCCATATTCATAATTGTGTACATATCAAGCAGACTTGCGTAAAAATGAAGCCTGCGTAAGTATTATAAAGTTAACCATTGTATTCTCAGATAGGCAATGCTGATGAACAACATCGACGATGCACAAATACTCATGCATGTATTTTAGAAAATAAAACGCGACCAACATGCGCGAAATAAATATATTTTTCATCATTTTTCAGACGTTCAAGAACTCCAGCTCGTAAACCGATTATTCGACCGAAGGGATCGAATATGGTGTCCAAGGATCCTGTTCAAGTGTACTGTCGTTTACGACCAATGCAATTTTCCACAGATGTGTCATGCATGAGAATTGTCTCTGACACAACGTTAGTCATAACACCGCCAGAATCAGCAGTCAATTTTCGTACTATAACTAAAGAGATACAAACAACATTCAGTCATATATTTATGCCTGATGTTACACAAAGGGAGGTATTTAAAACAGTTGCGCTTCCTCTTGTGGAAAATCTCATTCATGGAAAAAATGGTCTGCTGTTTGCTTATGGCGTTACTGGCAGTGGGAAGACTTATACGATGACTGGAGAATCACAGGATGCTGGTATCATGCCTCGCTGCCTGGATGTTATTTTTAATACCATTACAAATTATCAAACAAAAAGTTTGTCTTTAAGCCAGATAAATTGAATGGTTTTGATGTACAAAGTGAGGCTGATGCTATGTTAGACAGGCAACATGAACTTCATGCAGGCATATCACAGAAAACAGGGAGAATTGGCAAGCAGTAAGTTTTTATACTTAAGATAAATATGAATACATTTATGTTAAAGATAATATTATATAATGATTTATTGTGAAATAATTTATGATAGTCGTAAAGTGGACAGTGATGGAGACAGTAATCCAACAGTAGCCCATGAACGTAATGAATCGCAAACTGTAATGATTGAATCTGACAATGCATATGCTATATTTATAACATATGTTGAAATATATAATAACGTTGTATATGATTTGTTAGATGAAGATGATATTAGAACTAAGTAAGTATATTGCAAGAAAGATGAAATTAATTAAAAAGTTTGATTGCTGTATTTAAACATTTTTTTATTTATTATAGGACACTACAGAGTAAAATTGTCAGAGAAGACGGTAATAAAAATATGTATGTACATGCTGTCACAGAGATTGAGGTAAAAAGTGCAGAGGAAGCTTTTGAACTATTTCAACGTGGGCAACGGAAGAGACGCGTTGCACACACAGCATTAAATGCAGAATCGAGTAGATCCCATAGTGTTTTTACTATTCGACTTGTACAGGTATTTTTTTTTTTTTTTTTTTTACTTTTACATCAGAATTATTTTGGTTTACAAATACTTATAATTTCTCTTGTATTTTAGGCACCTTTAGATTGTGAGGGTGAACATGTAATGCAGGATAAACGAGTCGTGTGTGTAAGTCAACTATCTTTAGTAGATTTAGCAGGTAGTGAACGCACAAATCGCACTAAAAATACTGGTCAACGTTTACGAGAAGCAGGTAAAATATTTTGCGTTTGTCGTGTTTATGAAATTTATGAAAGCATTTTAATGATAAATGTGTGTAATATTTAGGGAATATTAATAATTCACTGATGACTCTGCGCTCATGTCTGGAAATTTTGAGAGAAAATCAGAGCCAAGGTACAAACAAGATGGTACCATATCGGGATTCTAAACTAACTCATTTGTTCAAAAATTATTTTGATGGTGAAGGGCAAGTCAGAATGATAGTCTGTGTAAATCCAAGAACAGATGATTATGATGAGACAATTGTATGTAAATTAAATTATTGAATCTATCTTAAAAAAATGTAATTACCATAACAATAATTTTTAAATATTTATATGTAGCAAATCATGAAGTTCGCGGAAATGACTCAAGAAGTGCAAATTGCACGATCAAATCCTTTAAAATTAGATCTTGGTTTTACTCCTGGAAGGAGACAAGCAAATAAGGTAATATGAAATATGTAGTAAATATCTGTATAGCTCCAATAATACTTTATCACTCAAAAATATTAATTTTTTTCTTTTCAGATATTCAAAGAAGCAAGAAGTAAATTGGAAAAAGAGGGACGACCAGACGCTGCTGATCTAGATATTGATTTAGGTTTAGTGTACAGGTATTGCAATTTACTATATATAACTCTAATCAAGAAAAAATTTCTTTTAACTTTTATTCTATAAATTATTCTTTATAACATTGAATTACATGTTTAATTACATTTTAGTTTGGGTGGACCTTTTCCTCAATTGGAAATTATTAATTCAGACAATGATCAAATAATACATTCCTTAATGCAGTTCTTGGAACAACGTATCGACAAGCGCAATATTCTTCGTATGGATTTACAAAAGAAACGTGAGATGTTTTTTTCATTTAGTTTTAATAAATAATATTGCAATCTAATGTGCAATGTATTCTAATAAAATGTTTATTTTATTTATAGAAGAGGATTTCAGAAAAAAGATAATAGGAATGGAACAAGAAAATGTAAATTTGAAAGTCGAAGTTGCTTCATTGAAAGCTTCAAATACACAGCAAAAGAGAAAGGTACATTTTTAATAACTCTATCATGAACACGATTAGAATGTACTAATTGCATTTTTATTTTCAGATATCTGCATTTGAAGGACATCTCTGTAAAACGGAAACGCAAATTGATACTCTTTTATGTAAATTAAACTCTGCTAATGAAACAATACGCAATTTGCAGCAAGAAGTAGGTTTAATATTGTATTTATGTATGTTTGTGTCTATGTGTTGTGTTATAATTATTTAAATAATACAAATTTTATATTTAGATAAGGGATAGGGATTTGGCATTGAATCAACGTTTAATAGATAAACAAAGAGTAAAGCAGAGATATAATACAAAGATACAAGTTGAAACAGATAAAATGAACAGAGAATTAGAAATCAAATTGCGCCAACAGCGTGAGCATCTTCAGGTAATTATTTCAACCTTATATTTAACATTTGTTTTAACTTTATAAGATTTTACAATGTTTAATATATCCATAATTGTTTAGAATCAAATGAAAGAAAAGGAAGATAAATTGCGATTAGTGAAGAAAATTTTAGTTGACGACAATTCTATAATCCCATCAAAAGGACAAGCTCCAGAATCAACAGCAAAAATAATCAGTCCAGACAGAGAAACCAGAATATCACGAAAGGTTACATTTTATTCAATTTTTCGTTTAAATATCTTTAACAAGTTGTGTATAATACATAAAAAAATAAAAATTTGTTTATATACAGGATAGAGTACCCGTTTCAAATCCGAGGTACAGACGTTCGCAAAGTGCTGATCGATGGATCGATCATAGACCTCAGACTCTTGTACCGATCGGAACTGTATTACAACCGTTAATGCAAAGAAGGCGAAGTATAACGCGACTTACTTCCCCGAAGGAAATTACGGATGGTGCATCTAGATATTGTCTTGTCGCGCAAGAGCATGATACAGATGGAGAACTCGAAACAAAATTATTTAAGGTAGAAATAATGAAATTTTCTTCTATAATGCATGTTTATGATTTGATATATGGAAGTTTTCTAAAAAAAATGTTTTTTTTCCAATTTTTAAACAGGGTGACATACTACCGACAAGCGGCGGTGGAGCACAGGTAATATTTAATGATATGGAATGTTTAAAACAATCATCACCGAAAGCAAGAAAACGTACTGGACCTCGAGAAGAAAATGTCGACCAAACAGATACTATCACACAGATGGAAACAAAGAGAGCACGGGTATAATCTTTATAATTAAAAATATAAAGACTTATTTATGCACAAGGTAATAAATTCTCTGATATTAATTTATGAATTATTCTCTGATATTCCAACATTATTGCAAGTTGATATTACAAAATATGTGTGATATATTTTATTCTCATGATATTCTTAAGATTTAATCAGAAACGTACATAACTTTTACTAAATTTTTATTAATATTTTTATATTTTTACAAATCCATTTTACATTCTAAAACAAGAATTTATAAATAATATTCATATGATTATTGTTACAGAAATATATGATAACATATGAATATTATATATTGATATGTATATATATTACATTGCATTTATTGATTATTTAAACAAGACATTTCACTATAAAAATGAAAAAAATTTAATATAGATATAAAAATACACATAGTTTAAATATATATTTTGTAAATATACACCAGCATGTATGTATATGCGTATGCATACAAATATGTATATAGTTATGATTCTTTAAATTGTAAAGATGTATGTGGACGAAGAGATGGATCTGGTAGTGAGTTAGCACCTGAGGTATTTCTTTGTAAATTTAAAAGATGATTTTCTTGTTCCGAGCTATAAAAATAATATGTAATTACAATTTACCTTTTGCGTGATCTTTTTTTATATATATTTTCTTGTCTCCCTCCCCTCCCCTTTGCTTATTAGCATTGCTAATTTAACTTACCAATTCACCAAACTCTCATTATTACTATTTTCCTTCACAAATGTTACCAGTCCATATGAATTATGTTTATCTAAAGTTCCGTTGTAAACTAATAAATCATCTACCAATATCTGCATAATAATAAACGTTTTTGTATAAATGGCAAATTGGAAAATTATCGATAAACATAATGCAATTTATTTTTCTTACTGCAAATTCTTTAACTCTTCTTTGCGTCGTTTTCCCATAATTCCATATTTTAATCGTTGATACCATAACAGGATGGTAAAATATTAAATACACACGATTTGTCTGAAAAACAAAATATGAAAAAATTAAATATTGAATATACTTTTATAGTATACTATATTTTCACTTACTTGTCCAGGAAGTATAGGTGCTAACCAAGCATGACGTCCGTCTTTAGTATTATTTATTCCATCGATAAGTTTATCTGGAGTACGAATATCATTATCTATGCCTTCTATTATATTAACACTTTCAGGAAATGCAGCTATATCTGGTAAAAAAAACTAAAATTAGCAATATTAATATCATAAATATTAATGAAAATTATTGAATTTATTTATTTAGATTTATTCTCTTTTAAAAGATACATAAAAATAATTAAAAGTAATATAAATCAAATTAAAAGGGGGGATATAAATAATTTACAAATGCAAATTGAAAAAAAAAGAGTATTTTTTTCAGAGAATATTAGGAAGTCAAATTTTTAATTAAATTGCAGATTGTGAACATACTATCTGCAGTTAACTTGATTTCATTTCCATAATTATCATATATTTGTATTCCATTCAGGCCAACGTAGTAAGAGTCTCCCCATGTGGAGAAAATTATTATTTGATAAACAAATCCCTGCGGCATTGACGGAGCTTCATAGTTTGAATCCAAAGATGCAGGTTCTAAAATATTATAAATATGTATTTATTTTATATTATAAATATCTATATTATAAAGATATAAATATATTTTTTGTGTTGCGTGCGCGCACAGTTTATACATACATAAATGACTAACAATAAGATACCTTCGGATGATTTAACTAAATCAGCAGAATGATCTGAAAGATGTACTTGAGCAAGTGGATTATTAGCAAAGTTAATTTCCTGTGCAAAGTCATAATGGCAAGATCCCGGCGCGCGTCTTAATAAAAAGCCTTCAAGATTTTCGTCGTGTAATTGTTTACCATCCAATTTAACTAATAATCGTTTTACCTAAGTAAACGAGATTATTTTCTTAATCGATTGTTACAATAGCAAATCATATATTTGAATTTTATATATCTTACTCCACAATAAGACAGCTCCAGAGATGCATTGTAATTCCAAATTCGCATTCCTGTTAGATACACATCTGTATTAAATGTAATTGTTATTACAATTCTTTTATTCGATGTTACATCTGCTAGCCACATGTGATCCATTTCAGTTGTAACATTACATCCATCAATCAAATTCGTTAAATGCGTATTTTCTACATTACAGTGTAAATTAGCATTTGCTAATGGAACTGTTATACCTTGATCTCCAATTAATTCTATACCAGTAAGACCTATAAATTGATGCTAATTTCAACATCATCTATAAGAAACTTATTGAAATGAATTATATTCCCTCAAAAATTTCATTAAATTTTTCTCTGAAATATTTTTAACATCACTATAATAGTTTAAAAGATATTCGCGTGCATCATTTAAAATAGAATATTCTGTGTAATATATCTCATAGATAATAAGACATTTACTCACCAACCAAATGCTGTAAACCCCAATTAGAAATTATAATTAACTGAATTTCTCTACAGCATAAAATGGTAGAAGATGTATTGTAAATTTTACTATTGGTATACAAATTGGAAGAATTCTCAATAGGATTTTCATTAGTTATATGTCTTGCTGAAGTAATCTAAAACGAATACATTATACACAACATTATATATACTTATTCTCGAATGAATTATGTGTGTACAAAAGTCCTTACATCATTAATTGTTGCTGTTATCGGGCGAATTGTTTCTTTCTCCTCATAATCTGACATTCCATTATTGAATTCTATGAACGTATTATCATGTTTTGATATCAATTCCAGAATATTTTCATCCGTTGTAAATAATATAGTCTACATCACAGTCTCAATTATTTTTGTGCATTATAATGTATTAAAGTAATTTTTAAATATAACTATATATGTATACGACAAAAAAGAGAAAGTATGATACAGAGAATAAGCATATTATTGCTGTTTAATTTAATAATATATAGATTATTATATATGTAAAATATATTTTGTAATATTAAAACGAAACAATTTTTTATATAATTTAGAATTTATCATCGATAAAATTTCGTACATCACCAAAAGAGTCGAGGCTACCCATATCATCGCCCGATGCTCTAGCAATTTCCCCATAAAAAATAGTAATGTCATTCAATTTAATGATAATATCTTTAGCTCCCCTGAAGGAATGTATTCTAGATTTGTTGTAGTTCTGAAAAAGAGCAATGTTAAAAGTAAAAATATTTTTATATACATCTACATCTATATTAACTTATAATTATTGTAAAAATACTCTACCCATATTCTGATCATTGCTATAGTAATTGCGAATTCAAATATGATATGAACATAATGATGGTCACCACTTGAATAAGGCATTAACCATAAATTTGCGTCATCTCTCGTTTGATTAATACCATTAATCAAATTATTTACAATATGAGAATTATGACTGTTATCCAATGATTTATTAGAGCTCGTATCTGCATAGATATTTTTTATCTTAGCCGGTTCTCCGGTATTTGAAAAAATTTCGATGCCATTAAGCCCTACATAATATTTATCACCCCAGGTAGAAAGAATATTAATAATTAATGAGTCTCCTGATGGCAATTCCGGAATAATGAAGTTTTTGTAAATTTTATCTAAAAATTATATGAAATGATTACCAAATCATATTATATATATGAAAAAGATAGATTTAATATTGTATGCATCTCGAAAAAATATACATATATAAGATTTTAAGATAAATATAGACCTGTTCCTGGCAGATCAATATTTGATGCGTGATCATTACTTTTGACGAAATCGTTTTCAAGTACGCTAAAAGATTTAAGAGTCTCTTGGCTAGATAATTTTGATTTTTCTTCACTCTGTATACTAAAGGCGGAACTACTCGAATAATAATTGTCATCCAACAAATGTAATCGCTTATTTACATGATCTTGAACATTTGTAAAGCATTTGTACTCCAAATTAGATTCCTTATTATCGCAAATCCTTGCATTGTCATAATTTTCAACAGGCGCTAAATAATTATTGCTGTGCAATTCTAACTGCTTCTTTTCTAAATATGCATCTAAGTCACGAAAGTCATCTTTTATACGGTGTTTCGCATTTACAACTGCAGAACAGGCGCGTGTTTTTGTTTGTTCAACTTCGTTCTTTGGTGTATTTGGCAGTGATTTGCTTGCAGACGTTTGTAATTTAATATTATCATCAACATCGTAAAGCTCATTCAAACATGCGCCAGGTTGTATATTTCTAAATAAGGAAACAAAATTTATTCTTTATTATATATATATATATATATATATATATATATATATATAAGAACAAAATATACAATAAGATACATGTGGATCTTACGTATCATCAGCTTCCTTCTTAAGAAATATATTTTTGAAATGATCATCAATCAAAATTGCTTCCATTTGCAGTGATTTGGCATCGTTATCTGTATTCATTTTCCCTATATTGCTGATGAAAGAGTAACATAATAATAAAATGCAATTTATTCTTCCAGAAATAAACACGCATACATAAGTTATATGCCCACAATGTTTTATATTTATATACATATGAATAATACATACCAAGTCATTTCCAGCAACCACGATGGCATTTCAAGTGTGCTATCAGGCAAGGATGAAATCGTTCTTTCGGGCTTATCATGCGTAACATTATCCATACTTTACTTTTCTTATTTTATCACTGATATGCCACCGCGTGCAATGCGATCCAAATACTTTATTATGGCAATGACACGCTAAATTATTGTAGTTGTTCGTGTAAGCTCTGTCACTTCATCGAAAACTTGTCGGAGTTGCAATTTTTTTCATGTTGCGGAAAAGAGCGCGTAATAATTTTCATGACTTTATACAGAGATTCCAAAGTGTTTTTAACCATAATGTTTTTAACGATAATGACCGATCTCAGAAATATCCATTGTCGGCTGTTCTATTCTCGTTCTGTTTGCCATTATCACCATGGAAACCCTTCGGGGGTGTTGAAGTGTTGACGCGCCTACGCGCAATTTTTAAGCTATTAATGAGAAACTGTTATCGGTTCTGCGCCGATAACATATACGTCAGTTTTGCAGAATAAAAAACAATTTCCTTCGCCGATACATAATTCTTTATTTATAATTTGTTGAGAGAAGTACACTCATACCAAGAAAGCATACCACAATGACAGCGATGCTACATATTATTCTGTATATTATTCCACAATACTTTGGTCCACTGCACAAATTACAAGGACAAAAAGTAGACAGTGTGAATAAACTTATAACCATAACCGATAATCACTTTGTACTTTGTTTCTTACATCGCGATACATATATGTATATCGCAAATTAATTAACGTCATTATCTTAACAATGCTTTATAATGTCAATACTGTACATTGTTATATATGCAATTATATACATACATATAAGAGTATATAATGCATATTTAATTTTGATATATAATTAATGTATAAATAAGTAAATAGAAATAGAATGATAAAGTATATTTTTATAGAGATATATAATTGATAACTATTTTAATAATTTATAATATAAACCATATATATATATAAACATATTTTATAATATGTACAAAACTGTATATAATAATTATAATAATTATAATTATTAATATACAAACCAGTTAATAAAAGATTAAACTTTATAACAAATATTCTCATAGTCAAAATATCAAGAGTACAATTAAGGCCATTGTTGTAACATACTACATTATATGTGTGAAACGTTTGATAATTGTAATTATCTATAGAGATCCTCTTATTCATAACTACACATCAAAATACTTGCAAAATTACTGTACTTCAAGTAATATTCTGTCCCTTTTTTACACAAAGATTGTATCATACATAGTAACAATATAAATACAGTTATATTGTTATATCTATATATTATATCTATAGGTGTGTTGGAAACCTTTATATTAGATAGACACAAACATGATGTTAATTTTGGCACAATACATTTGTAAACATAAAGACGATTGACACTTCTGGTAGAAAGCAAAAAGATTGCATTTCAGTCAATTTGGTTTCCATTCACAGTTAAGCTAATGTTTAGTATCTACATTTTGTAGATCCTAATGTAAAGACTCTTATAAAACTCAGTGTAAAACAAAATATCGCATTTACTCCGAAAATAATAACCTGTACTATTTTCAATATGTAATTTTCAAATTTAATACACGTTTAATATAAGATAAATATCTTCTTTTTATACAATAATTTGGCATTCATAAATGGTTTTAAGACTAGCATACTCAATCATATGAAAGACACAATATTCACTGTATCATATTCGAACTTGTAATACAATTCACGTAACTGAGTCATATCATCATCTGCTAATAACTATTGTTTTATTTCAACATATAACCGTCAGGTACTCAACTTTTTTTAATACGTGCTTCGTCATTTTCTAAATAAAAACTTTTACACAATTGCACGACTTTTGCTTACTAACGTTTGGAATAATCGCAATAAGCCGACTGTCTAATACAGACAAGAGTCCACGAATGTATAAAAAATCAATTTTATCAAAAATTTCTCCAAATGAGTAGAAATAAAAGACATCTTTCTATCAGAATATATACAGGGTTTGGTTTATCCCTGAAATTACTAGAACGTTTTTTAGAATCCTTAGCATTTGGAAGAAATATTGTAGAAAATAGTATACAACTCCTACAATTCTATATGTGATTTTAGCACATTAGATAACGGTGGTATATTGCTGGATGCTCCAGGAACGTTCGTCAGGTCTGTCTCGGGAAATACGTGGCTTAGAATCGCGTAGTAATGAAATCCAGCTGCCGCGGCCACGAAAAGATGCCAGATTGCGTGCGCGCAAGGTATACGACCGTCCGATTTGAAAAATACTATACCAAGTACGTATATCAGTCCGCCTAGTTTTAATTCCGTAATATTGTAATAATTACACTGTAAAGATAACATTGGTATACGTCAGAATTATCCGAATAATTATTAAAATGTTAAATTGAGTTATTCGTGTTTGCCCGAAACAAAATTCAGTTTGAAGGATATTCAAATACTTTACTTACAACATTAAGGATTGCAACGCTAGGTCCAATACCCATAACTACATAGAAAATAGTTTCAAGCATCTTGTACTTCTCATGGAAGATTTGCTGGTAAAGGATGCCCATTATAGCCATGATCCAGACAACGTATCGCATTGCAAACAAGAGCTCATCGTCTGAGAAGTGTTCCACATTTAACCATGGAAAATAACTGGCTGCTATGAAGATATATATCATAGCACGATCACAGCGATGTAACGCATCCTTTAATTGTCTGAAATATTATATGTAATAAATATATACTTTGTTCACGCCTGATGATTGAAAAATTGAAAGTCAATGAAGAGCAAAATAAAGATATATGATTGAAGTAATCATACCTATTATGATTGCAATAGTGTACGCTATGGAAAAAGGTTGACACCGCGAAGACAAGAATCAAGGAAGTGCCGTATACACACGCGGACACAAGTTGGGCCCACGTCGTTGAGCGTCGTATAAGCTCGATGCCGCCAATCACTGATGGCACAACCCATATTCCATGAGTTGCCACATTTGCTACATGTTCTATTGGAGTAGGAATGTACGCCTCATTTGTGCATGCTCTGGGATTCATCCATTTGACCCTATAAATATATTATTTATTTTATTTCTCCACTTTTTTTCTCTCCTCTACTGTAGATTATTATACCTCATAAAGCTGACTAATTGGTCACTAATTAATAACAAATTAAGTAATTATAGAGCTCTATCCTTAAATATTATACACTAGCATTATATAATCATTTAACAAAACAACATTTATATCATCAAAGTTAATAATACATTCTGTACAAAGAAATTTATATGTCAAAGTGCAATAGGCGATTATTATGTAAGGAATTGTGATACATAAGAAGTTCTTATATAAGATGAAAGAAGATTAGTAGATTATATATGATAAAAGTTTTGTTAAATTCATATAAAGCAGATAATAAAATTAAGGGAGATTTTCTAATATATATATTATACAATTTCAGATTATACAATACTAATGTAGCAATTTAACAATCAAATAGTTGCACAATACATTCTTGGCATAAAACTTAATTTTACAAAAAGCATGATACATTACACACAAGTTATTATATCTATTAACAATACCTGTTTGCTCAACTACATTGAAGGAACCTATTCCAAAGTAGTAATCCAATATAACTGCGCGGGATATTTTTTGTGTATCCATGCTGATAGGATGATCCACAGAGAATTTGTTGTTCAAGGATATTGATCTTCTACAAGCGGTGCTGATGTATTCCATTAAAGATTTCAAACCCAACACATGCATGCATTTAATCTCTTTTAAGCTTAAGAAAGAGCACATTATTATAAAGTTAAGGGAAGAACTAAATGTCATATAAAATTGTCTCATAAATAATAAAACATGTATAAATATAATAAATAATAAAATATATTTAACGTAGAATTGTCTTTAATGAATTGTAAAATATAACTTGTTATATGATTATTTTATGCACATATAAAAAAAAAATTCAATTTTTAGTCACATATAACAGAACATGCATATGATACATATATATTTATTTATTATTGCTAATAATTGTAAGCAAAAAACTGGATAATTTAGCTAATAACTATTACATTTACACATAATTAATAGTAATAACTGTACATTATTAACACAACATTACTCAGTTCTTTTATAAATGATAAGCAGACTATATATTATAATTAGCTGTTAGATAATAGATCATCAAATCATGCATAAACATTTTGCATCTGATGTTACATGCCAAACGTTCAGAATAATTCTAGAAGTATAAAAAGTTGCAACAAGACATAAAATAATCAGGGAATTTAAGTCTAACAAGATAATGAGCCAAACTAATAAGCGATAAATAACTTTTTTAATAAATTACTGCAACCTTGCAACCATGTAACATTTTTTTTTAACAAATCACGTTTTGCAACTATGCAAAAATCCACATACACACACATTTTTTCCCTCTACATTTATTCTTTATTTTTATATACATTATCACATTAAAACTTATAGCATTGTAAGATTGAAAAGTTGCTACACTTTCAAAAAGTTATTGGCATTAATCAATGATAAAAAATCGATTATTAAAATTATATTATAAAAATTGCTAGACTCGCATCTTACTCTCTGATTCGTTGCAGGTGCAGGAAATTTTTAAGGGGAGCCATGACGAACTGATGAAGACAGGCACCGTCCATGATGATGTCAGGTCGACGGATTTTGGCGAGAAATTTGAGCCGAAGGCAGGAGGAATGATTATTCGATACCCTGACAGGTACTCAAATCTATTGGATAATGAAGCTAATGGCGCCGAACAAGACGCGTCGTCTTCCATCGCATCCTGCTTGACTCGTAATGATTTATTACGCTCGACATCGGAGGGAATGTATATATTAATACAAGTCGGACACCGTCACGCGAACACCTGGATTCTTATTCTCTTCTTTTTGCCGCGAGCGCACCGAGGAGCCGAACTCGTTTCGTCGTGTTCAGCCACCCTGAAGAAGCCGCCAAACACGTCTGAAACGCGTCGGCCTCGCGAGAACGAGAACGCAACTGCCCGCACTTTCTCCCGCCTTATAAATGCCTGCCAATCGAGCACCAGACCGGACGAATCTTCCCGTCACCGCTGTCAGTTCAGTCGAACGGTCAAAGTCTGATTCCAGATCCATTTATATCACGATCAGTACGGCATCTTCGATGCGAGACTCTAATCGCGCGTGCGCAACTTTATCTCGCTCGTGTATGTACATATATATATATGTACAATCAGAAATAGCAACTGTCAGAGCCACAGCTGATCGTTTCCGGTTACTAGAATCTCGTCTTTACAAAACTCGGCCGATACATCGATCCGACATTGAAATCAAACTGCTTCTATATATATATATATATATATATATATATATATATATATATATATATATATATATATCAAATCATGCATAAACATTTTGCATCTGATGTTACATGCCAAACGTTCAGAATAATTCTAGAAGTATAAAAAGTTGCAACAAGACATAAAATAATCAGGGAATTTAAGTCTAACAAGATAATGAGCCAAACTAATAAGCGATAAATAACTTTTTTAATAAATTACTGCAACCTTGCAACAATGTAACATTTTTTTTAACAAATCACGTTTTGCAACTATGCAAAAATCCACATACACACACATTTTTTCCCTCTACATTTATTCTTTATTTTTATATACATTATCACATTAAAACTTATAGCATTGTAAGATTGAAAAGTTGCTACACTTTCAAAAAGTTATTGGCATTAATCAATGATAAAAATCGATTATTAAAATTATATTATAAAAATTGCTAGACTCGCATCTTACTTTATATATATATAAAATAATATAATAGATGATAAAAATAAATTTCGTTTTATTTATTTTTATAATCAATTCTTATAATCAATGTTTGTGTATTGCTTATATAACTAATGTTTAACTTATTGTTTAAATTATTTTTGTTTCAAACAGATACATTCATATTTACATATATATTATGATGAACTGTGAAATATCAATAATGAATGTAGTGTCAACACTAGTAAAATTGATCAATTATCGTAATATAAAATTGTCTCTAGATTATTACATTATTGAAGCACTATTATTTAATATAAAACCTAAATGAAAACTATGAAAAACTAACAAACATCTAAAAGAAAGAAAACTATGAAAAATGAAATAAATGTGTGACATGACAGATTATATACAATATTTAAAAATTGAGCACACAACAAACTCCATTAGATAAAATTATACTTCTCATATAATTAAGAAAAAAAATTTTTTTTTGTTAAAATAATTAATATTTTAGGAAAATAATCCAGAATTTAGAAGTGCAATTTGAAGAATATAAGAAGCGGCAAAGAGAGCAAAACTGTATTTTTACAAAATACACTAAATGCATCTTTCCCTGCAACAAAACAATTAAATAAAAAAATAATTTATATATATTAAATGATTCTTCGGAGATATAACTTAAATTATATCTTTGGACAATCATTTAATATATATAAATTATTCTTTTATTTGTTTCGTTGAAGGGAAGATGCATTCGTTGTATTTTGTAAAAATACAGTTTTATACTTTATATAATCTGTTATGTGCTGATGTTCTTTTTTTTTTCTAATCAGATATTGATCCGTTTTCCAAAACATCCGAAAACAGAGTACTTCGCAACTGAAAAAAGAAGAAATTATTAACACATTAATATGTATATACATTAACATTAATATATTATATGTAGAGTAACTTACATTTTCTTTATTTTTATTCTGACATTTTTCTGGATCACAATTACAATTGTTGCAAGTAACGTTGTTCTTACGGCACGAACATACTCGCGTGGAACATTTTGTTTTACACGAACATTTTACTTCATTAGGGTCTATTTTATTAAAGGTCAATCGTTGAATCGACAGTTTGGATTTATTCTAAACAAATGAAATTGTGTAAAGATTTAATAATTTTTTATATAATTATACTTTTTATATAATTAAATAATATTTGTCTTGACAACAAAGAGTTTTCAGAATATCATAATAATAATTGTAATAAATATACAAATTTAATATAAAACAGATCCCTTAAATTTAAATAATTATATCAATAGCATAATAATTGTATTTAAAAATGTGCATTATTATTACCTGTAATTTCTGTATGCGATTATAAAGTGGTGTGTTCATCCAATCTGGATCTTTGCTAACATCATCTTCAATTGTAATACTATCATGTAAGTCAGCATTCTCATCAGCATCGATAAGTTCTATTTTAGATATTGCTTTTTCCTTTTTCAATGATCTTTTACTTTTATTACTAAAATTACTTTCGTCCAAAATCTAAAACACATAATAACAATAAAAAATAATCTTATCTCTCAGTAAAATACAAAATATTGTTCTCAAAATTATTTTTGATTTAATTACTTGTTTTATTGAAGTGTCAGTGGAAGATGCATTAGATGTATTTTGTGAAGCTACAATTTTGTTCTCTTTCTCCCGCTTCCTATATTCCTCGAATTGCGCTTCTAAATTCTGATTCTTTTCCTAAAATATCAATTATTTTAGCGACTTAAGTATATAATGCATATAAAATTATATAATGATTAATGATGTATATGTGTATATTTACTTTCAATTCATTATATTTGTAACATTGTTGCTTCCTATCTTGTTTAATTATGTCGAAAAGAGTTTTAAATGCCATCCTGGCATCTGCTATTGTATGTATCATATTCCATCTGCTATTTTCTCTAGTCTCTAAAACAAAAAAAATGGATTGGAGATTATATATATACATATAATCCTATTAGATTAAGATTAAATAATCTCAAATAACTTACCTTGATCTGATTCGAGAATTTTTTGTTGCAGGTCTTTAATTTGATCATTACGCAACTGTATAAATTCAGTGACAAGTTTCTCTTCGTTTAAGTTGCCATTTTTTTTTAATTGCTCTAATTGACGCACCAAAGAAGCTCTATCTTGCATTAATCTTTCAAGAGAGTGATTTGCTTCTACAGTGGCCACTAACACTTCAAATTCCTGAGCTATCCATGTTTCCATCTCATCTTTGCTGTTAGCAGCCTTCTTTTCTTGTCGATGCATTGCCTTTTTCTGCATTTCCAATGCACCCTATATATATATATATATATATATACATATATAAAGAAATAATTAACACAAGATATTAATATTTACAATAAAAAAATTGTTAAAATATATTCAAGTAAGATAAGTCCCTTAAATATTATCTAAAAAATATACCTTTAATCTTTTGTTAACTGCAAAAGCTTCCTCCATTTTTCTCTTGAAGACATTTTCCTGTTTATTATGTTGCATTTGCATGCGTACCATTTCACAAGCGCGCTTACGATCTTGAGCTTTCAATCTATTAATCTCCTTTTCTTTAGATTGCTTCCATTTTGTAAAATTATTCACATCATTACGCATTTGCCTGATAAGCTTGATTCGAGTCTCTTTTAGTGATTGTATCTCGCTGGAAAGAGTTTTGACTTTTTGTTCCTGCTTTTCCTTTGTCTTGATTATTTTGTTTTGTTCCATACATTTACGCGTTAATTCCGTTATCTTTTTTTCTAATTCTTGCACTTTTTTGCGACGTGTTTCAGCTAATCTGTATAAAGAATATTCATAAAATATTCACAAAATAAAATATTAATTATTATTTTTTAATTACTTACTTGGAACTAATATTGTGCGTATGTGCCACTTGTAAATATTCTTCTTTTTCCGCATGCAGTCGTTTAATTTCTTGTTCCATTTCCACAATATTTTTATGGCTCTCTGTAGTTTGTGTAACATTCTTTAAGAGCTCTGTTATAAGAGTTTCTTTAAGTGCCAACTCCTTATTGATATTTTGAACTTCGTTGTTTCGTTCCGCTTGCCGCAATGTGTGTTCTTCCTCCTTTTTATCAAAATAATCTAAACTGTCTTCAACATTATTTAATTCTTCTATACATTCTGGGCTTTCTTCTTCCACACGTGTCATACAATATTTAGAATTATATATTTCGTGATTTATAAGTTCTGCAGATGCTTTTTTTTCATCATTTTGGATATCTAGATGGAGTAAGTATAAAGTAAGGATCAAATTTTTATGTGACAAAAATCGTTTAAAACGATTTGTACAATATTTACACACAGCAAAACCTACCTAACATTTTTTCATATATTGCTTTTAATGTATTATACGTTTCGTTGTTAACTGCAGAACAATCATTAAGATTTTGTAAAATTTGATTAAATTCATCTAATATTGTTGCCATCGCAGATCTAATCTTTTCCCGAGCTTGTTCAGCCATTTCCGCTCGTTCATGCATAACAACGATTTCCCCTAAATTCAAATTTAATTTCTCTGTCATATCTCTGAATTTTTGCTGCAATATGCTATATTTCTCTTCGAGTTCTTCATGTTCTTTAGGACACGTAATACCAGATTCCTGATTTAAAATAGCCAATCGCAATTCCTGAACAATCTTATTCAATCGATTAATCTCGGCTACCTTCGAATCTTGATTTACGATCGGCTTATTTTTTATTTTACGTGCGCGATCCGCATATCTCAAGGTACTAAGAGTTTCGTCCAAGTTATAATCTGCAAATAGATTTATTAGATTTATTATATAGTAAGCAGCTTATGTTAAAATAAAATACAATATATATATATATATGAATATTTACCAGCGGGGCTAACACAGGCAACCATAAGAGTCATGGAATTACCACCTAGAGAATCCTGTAATAATCTTGTGAGTTTACTATCTCTATATCCAACGTATGTTCCAGGAGCACCATCACCGAGTTGTGAAATTACATTGCCCAAAGCTAACAGTCCCTTATTTATATTCACGCCTTCCTTAAAACGCTCTCCAGTGGCTAGAGTCTTTTTACTACGTTCCGAGCCCGCTAGATCAACTAGGTGAAATTTGGCCACTGTTGCTTTATTTCTGTATGAAGAGAATTTTTATTTTCACAAATTTAATTAGAAAATAATAAAAAATGCAATAGAGAAATCAGCAAGAAATTACTCACGGATCATTTATCTTTTGTTGATGTATACATATTGTGAATATTGCATGGCTACGACTACTATGTGCATTCATAGCAGTCGCCCCAGTTACACGACCCAAAGCACCCTGGGTCAAACATTCTAATGTTTCTTGGGCATTTGTAACTTCTTTTTCAGTTACACCAAAAATTTTTATACTTTTCCCATCTTCTCTGATATCTACAATAGACTGATTTCTCTGCTTATTGGATAAGAGATCATACAATTGTTCCTGATATAATTCCATAAATGATACAGAAACTTTAAAACTCCAATCTTCCTTAGATTTAATTATATCAAATATATCATGGGCGACTCTTGGTATTATGCCCATTTCTCCCATTCCTACGTAATGGGTGCCCATAGAATAAGTTTTGCCACTTCCAGTTTGTCCATACGCCAATATTGTCACATTGTAACCTGATTTAAAAAATTATTTATTTTAAATATAACAAAATATATATCTTTAAAATTATAAGAAATATAAAGAAATATTTACCCTGAAAAGTATTATCTAGCAACCGCCTAATAGCTGTATTATAAAAATCTTCCTGTTCCACTTCAGGAGGAAAAACATAATTATATGTAAACGCCTTGTCGGTATTACATATGCGAACTTGTGGTTCTCCAGGAACAACATCCAAGCATACTTGACATCCTTTTTCGATCTCACTTAACACTAATGGACGAATTCGTAGAGCAACACAAACTGTATCGTCAGTCATCTAGAAAAAGAACAACAGTTATATATATAATATAAATACTTATGTATTCATAAACAGTATATATATTTCACCAGTCAACATTAAAGTTAAAAAACGTTATTTTTAATATTGAAAATAAAAAAAGGAGGAACATTTGCATACAATTCAACATTCACCATTATAGTTTAACAAACTCAAATACTTTATTGCTTAATAATTTAACTACATTTTAAAATATTTTATCTTAAACATGAAAAAATATATATTTGCAGATCCATATTTATATATTTTATTATAAAGTACAATGCAGTGATAAAAAAGAACAAAGAAAGCTACAACAATTTCTTTCACAACGTAGACAAATATTATTAATAAATATTTCTAAAAGCAAAAAATGTTTTAATTAAACCAGGAATGGAAAATGCAGAATTTACTTTAATTTTTTTTATAAATAAAAAAATTATTTTTTAATAAATATTTTTGATCCTTGAAGTTTTGAAACTCCAGAAATAATTATCACAGCTTTTATCGTCATTTGCACGCAATGTGTCAAAGTATATCTATTTTTAGAGATATCGTTAGAAAAGTATTTGCACTTACTTTTAACACAATTCCTCAAAAGTTTATAAATTAGAAGCTACTCCGAAGAGATCCTATCAGCTGCGAAAAATTACAGAAAATGTACGAATTTCCTACTGTTCCGAACTGTCGCGAAAACAGAAAAGAGACGTTGAATTTCAACCGATTTAAAATTAGCCAACAGCAAAGGAAGAATGGTCACTATGGAAACCATCATTGATGACCAATTTCTAAAGAGAATTGGAACGAAAATCCCTAGAAAACTTCTGACAGTGATTCTCATTGACCAATTGGAACATAGAGAGCTTTATCCTGATTGGTCGCTTCGAATCGACGAATCGACGAACAAGCCATTTTCGCTCCTTTATTTTAATTGGTCAACCAAACGATTCAAGGATTTTCGATGAGTGCGTTCTCTAGTAGCAAACTCAACTACTAACGTATTCAACTTGTGCATTGAGCTCGAGGATTATTTTTTCAAGGAAGAATTTATCTTGTTATGAAAAAAATCGATTTTGACGATTATTTTATTCAATATCCTTATGAATAAAGGGTAAAGACATTTCGATACATTACATGAGGTAACATATAATATATAAAATATAACTGCAATGAGAATCTTTAATCGAAAAGTAAGAAACATTTTAGTAGGCGCGCTTGCTTTTGACAAACTTTGTTCTTGTTAGAAAATGTGTTTCTGTGTCCATTATTCGTTTTATATATAGTTTCCAACAATATAATATCAGCATTTTTATCTGACATATTCGTCGGCAATCGACGATTTTTCACTGTTGAGGTTGTGGTCAAGAATTCGCTACGAATGCTTCGAAACAATTACTTGTTTATATCATTATTCTATCTTTGTTATAAATTCAATGAGAATAAAGATATAGAATAATGTTTCAAAGCATTTTACATAATTAAATTAATCGTACGGTTACATATTTTTTACTATCGTATGTGTATATATATATATATATATATATATATATATATATATTTGCAATTTTTTCTTTCTGGTGAACCAAAGTTAACAATAATAACATTATAATTGTCCACTGAACAATGTAACTGCAATATAATATAATATGTATTGTTCGTAACAGTTACATTGTTGAGTGGAAAATTGTAACATTAATGTTATGTTACTATTACTTTGTGTTTATTGGATTCATGTTTAGATAACAATTATTTAGACTATTGTACGTAATTAATTGTATTTGATTTGAAATTTAATTAAAAGAAATAAATGAAATTTTTTATATCAATGAGAAGAATAAAAATTAAAATAATTTAATTAATATAATTATATATCGTACTAATAATATTTAATTCTTGCATGTTACTTAATTTTAGAATATAATTCATGAAAATTTATAACATATATATATATATATATATATATATATATATGTATGAAGAAATATTTATTGAAATTTATTATATACGCATTTGAATATTTGTTAAGTATGTATTATAATAATAATAAAGCGAAAAAAGAGATTGAGTATATGCAGATATAATTTCAGATCAGATCAGATAATATATAATATATAATGCATATAACGAATATAATTAATCTACTATAGAAATCACTTTTTCTGAAGTCAAAAAAAGCTTATTTGAGATAATAATATTATATGATATATTTCTTCTATTAATCTGAAAGTTAATAAATGATTACGACAGAGATTGTGATCTTTTTAAATTTTTATATAAGATATACTTAATTATTATATATATATATTATCATAATATTCTTCTCATCTATATACGTTTGCTTCTGAAAAATATCTTTTCACTGATGTGTAAATTGCAGATCTACAATTATACAAAAGTGTGAGCATTGTTTAATACAAAGGAGCAGTTGTGTTTAAAAATAATAAATAAGTATAAGTATACTAGAATATAAATAATATGATGAGAAAATAAAATATGATTTTATTTTTTTTATGTTCCAAATTTCGATACATCTGTATGATTTGACGAAAATGTTGAAATATTTCATCTTTATTATTACTCAATTATTTCACTTATTTTATCTTAACCACAAATTAAAATAAATTAAAATCTTAAAATATATAACAATGTGTTAAATTTAAGTTTAAAATTAATTAATAAAGTGCAGTAATTTTTTTATTAAAATGCCTATGAGAATTTAATTATTTTGTTTATAATTGATTATAATTATTTAATTTATAGTATTTTATTATATTAATTTATATACTATCGTATATATGTATACATATATGTATATGTATAAAACAATAATTTATTTGTAAATATATATAATAACTTGTGGGACAAAATATTCGTAAAAATATGAAACTTATTCTTCACCGAAATGAGGAAGAACGCATTTTATAGATAATATTTTAATCGACTCGATAAGATATATAGATATAATTTTTTCTTTAGCATTTTATTACGCTAAAGCAATCACATGTCAGATATTACAAAAATAAACATAAACTTCAAAAAACTTAATTATTATTATCGTGCAAAGTTATTATACATATGAAATTTGAAAAAATATACGCGTTTATAATTTTTGCAATAAATTTATTTTGAAAAAAATTATTATTTTAATTTATTTCTTGATCGAATAATCGAGAATTGTTTCCCAAATGCTTTATTAAATAATATTGAATATAAATAATATATATACACATATCTATATATTGAAGGTATTATTATTATTATTATTATTTAATATAATTTGTAATATTAAAGCACTGTGTGAAAAAGTTTTCTCTCAAGAATATTCCACTAAAGTGGATTGTTATAATCTCTAGACATCGCGATAATTTGTTGAAAAATGGTAGTATATATTACACTACTCAAGTATTACTGCTATCATTTTTCAACAAAAATTATCGCGATGTCTGGAGATTATAACAATCTACTTTAATGAAATATTCTTGAAAACTTTTTACAGTGCTTTAATATTACAAATTACATTAAATAATAATAATATCTTCAATATGTACATATATTTATATTTGATATTATTTAATATAAGACATTTAGAAAACAATTCTCGATTGTTTGATCAAGAAATAAATTAAAATAATGAATTTTTTTCAAAAGAAATTTATTGCAAACATTATATAAATGCGTATATTTTTTTCAAATTTCAAAGATCTCAATTTATATAAATATATATATATATATATATATATATATATATATATATATATGTAATGTAATTTGAATGAGTAAAAATATTCTATTTTATTATCGAGATATTTTTTAACAAGAATAAGTGAGGGAAGACTTTTTAGTATGAATACGATCACTTTACTAAACGTAGATCATCTCGATGAATTTTTTTTGTATATTCACAAACACTCACGATATTTTATACAGGTATATATTACCGACATAAGAAATAATTTTTTTATTTCATTTTTTATCTGTCTCATATATCCTTTCCGGAGGGAATCGCTATACGACTCGCTCGTCAGTGGAACTTCACTAGGGTCTTTACGTAGTACTTAATGTGTCAAAGCAATAAATGCTATTTCTGTAAGAACCGTATGACAATTTTTGAACGATGTAACACAAAATTATTCTTCAAGAAATTGATGTATAAAGCAGTTACAGAGTATATAACAGTTTTTTACTATAAGCGACATTCGAGAGTTGAAATTTGTTCTTGCTACCAAAAACGATCAGAAATTGTATGAAAATAAGTTATTGGAATTAGTTGGAATCGTGCTGTCAAAGACATCGTGTTTCTTTGAACGTATTATGGAAACCACTTGTGGTCATTATTACAACATTGTGTATAAAATCGCATCACTAACTGGTTTATGGCCGGATCTGAAACCAAAAACAAAATTATTTCGTTTTACATTTTTCATCATAATCTTATTAACGCTATTTGTCCCGCAAGTAAATTAATATTATAATATTATACATATAATCATCGACAAAGGAGAATTTAATATAGAAATCTCTTGATAATATTTTCAGATAGCTTATCAATATATGTGCAAGAAAAACGTGCAATGTACTTATCAGGCAATGACAGCGTATCTGTTGTCAATTGTGATTATGGTGAAGATGTGCACATTTTATTTTAACACTCCTACAGTACGTTTTTTTATCATTTATATAAATATGTTTTGAATAAAAAAAATATTTTAATATGTTCAATCTTAAAAGTTGTAGATTAATTAGAATAAAATTTATATAAAAGATATTTTAGATTGAATAGAAAAAAAATAATTTAATTTTTTTAAAAGGTATATTTTGTAAATAATATCTTTCTCATATATTTATGGATGCTATTACATGCATGCATTTTATCAAATCAAATGAGGAAAATTTATTACATATCCCTTACCAAATTTATTATTATTTAATTTTTTTCTTTTGCCAGATGAAAAATCTCACCCAACACTTGTTCTACGACTGGAAGATATTAGAAACGACCGAAGAGTACGAAATTATGAAGTCATATGCCGAAAATAGTCGACGATTCTCTTTACTGTATTCAGGTGAGGACTAATATCTAATTCTATTGTATATATATATTATTTACATATCTGAATCAGAGATTTGTGCTTATATCTTTTATTAAATGTGCATCCTACTTTGCAGTATACAGCGTCGTAGCAGTATTTGTGTTTATGTCAATGTCTCTTATACCGTATATACTCGATATTGTATTGCCTCTTAATGAATCCCGTCCTATACTGCCGCCGTATAGAGGCTACTACTTCGTGGACATTCAAGATTATTTCTTTCAAATTTACTGGCATTCCATCGTAAGCTGGGAAATTGTCGTGGCCGGTGTAATCGCCCATGACTGCATGTTCGTGTGTTATGTTGAGCATGTTTGCAGCTTGTTTGCTATAGCTGGGTTAGAAAATAATATATTTACAATATAAGCAAAAAGAATTAAAAAATAAACTTTGTAATTTATTTTTAAGTTCAACGGAAGCGTATATAATTTGCAGATTTCGTTACGAACATTTTCTTTATAATAATAAAGAAAAGGCAAAAATTGCTTTAAACGCTGATGGATCAAACATCGACTACTCGAATGACAAAAGGGTTGCGTTTCTTGTACACACACATCGAGAAGCTCTAGAGTGAGTGCGTAACATATTATCGAACGATAAAATTGAATAATTCATCGATTAAAGGATAGAGAAATAATAATCGGAAAAGATAAAATTCACAAAATCATGATGATTAATATCTAATCTCTTTTTTGCCTCACATCAGGTATGCGCAACTTATTGAAAATACATTTACTAAGCCTTTCGCTATACAAATGTTGATTGCAACAATAGGAATGAGCATTTGCTTGCTACAAGTATGTCTTTATTTATTATAAAATAATGCTCAAACAGCAAGATATTAAAATGCAATATAATTTTTTTTCAAAGATCACACAACAAGATGATATTTTAGAAGCAATAAGATACGTGTTCTATGTCGTTGGTCAATTGATTCATTTATTCTGTCTTAGCTTCGAGGGTCAAAAATTAATAGATCACAGTCTTCAGATGCGCGAAAAAATGTAAAAAGGCAATCGCTTTTAATTTCCCTTAAAAAATATCTGGATCTTTTGTGCGCGTTATTTTCAGTATTTTTTAATAATAGATATAACAGTTCCTGGTACAAAATGTCTGCAAAATTACAAAAGCTAATCATAGTGGTGATGATGAAAAGTCTTCATCCGAGTTTTTTAACTGCCGGCAAGATTTACATTTTCTCCCTGGAAAGTTTTACTACGGTAAAATGAAGATTATCGTAAACATTATTTTGATGGTACTGCTTTATCTTGAGAATAATTGCTTTTTGTTTCTAAGGTTCTACAAACTTCAATGTCATATCTTGCGGTACTCGGGTCAGTTTCATAATAAACTCACGTTATTCGACAATTACGTGATGACATTATCTCATCGAGAAAAAAGAAATATATGTGTGTTTAATATTTTTATTACAATAATGTACTGCTGTTAATCATTATACGTAATAATATTATTTAAAAAATTACCTACCTATGATTTTTATAAAGTTCTATCAAAAGCGTCAAAATTTATTTAGAATTCCAATAACTTATGTGTTATTTTTTCCCAGTTTTCCGTCGAGCAAGATGAAGCATATTTCGTTGATTGATACGTTCTGTCTAGAGAAAACTTGCAAAACGCAACACGTCCAATAATGGAGCTTCGTCTTTCTTTACGTTAAACTTTCTTTCTGTCAAGGGGATATATAAATAGTACACTATTGTAAATACTATTCTATTGTTCGTACGAGAACTGTACATGTATCATGCCATTGTTATATGCAGACACGCCTTGTGTAATTGTTAGACACGTCGCAATTGTCACGCAGTAACATTGTAGATATAGTATTATATATAGTGTATATATATGTCCAAGTACCTTGAATCACCCCTTGTACTAAGGGATAGCAATTTAACACTTAAAGAAAATAAAATTTTGAAATTAGTCGAGCCTGCGAAATAAAAAACGAGTTGTATATGGAATTATGAATTCCATTTAAAGCCATTATTATGGTACTACTTAAGAAAGTATCATCATTGTTCGTTAAATGACTTTATCAGAGAAAAAAAATAAGTATTCTCTGTGTGTACTTCGTAACTTTGTTTGATTGTGACCATATTTTCTATTATTATTCCGTAAGTAATTACAACAATTCTTAATAATCTATAAAATTATGAGCAAGATCTATAAGCCCGTTTAAACTTGCAGATATCCAAACTTATGCTATATGCAACGGAGACTTATTGCCATTGAAGCTATGACATCGTATATGTTGACTTTTGTAATATTGGTGAAACTTTATACATCTATTTTTAACCGGTTTAAGGTATGTTATTCATTATTTTGTGACACTCGTACATATTATGTTTTCTCAAATCTTAATATTTCATTGGTGATAAAAACAGTTTATTATTAATTGTAGAAAAATGCTAATTGATCGATTATTTATCGATTGGAAACGCCGGAACAGTATGAAACTCGAACGACACTTGCACAAGGCTCGCATTCTCGCGTTTCGAAAAGCTTTAAAGTGAATATCTATATAATCATCAACGCGAAAGAAATATTCCTTTTTTAAAAATAAAAGCTCTAATATATTAATTATTGCAAATATATAAAGAGGTAAAATTGAGAGAATAGCGCGGAAAATAATGGGCAAAAAATTTTTTCTTGATTTAATGTGATTTTATTAAAATATATATTTTGGTTCTTAATTCAAGAGATGCACATATTATAATTTTTATTAATTAATTGTTGAATTATTTGTTATTTAATGGTTCGAATTTAGGACCAAAATGTATATTTTAATAAATCACATTCAATCAAGAAATATGAATTCAATCATTAAATTATAATTATAAGACATAATGAGAATGAGAGAAACTTGATCTAATTAAAACCTATAATTTTCACGTAATAAAATACATATTTTGTCGATTCAGTATAAGATACTTATCACCAAAAAATAAGATAAAATTACTTCTGTCCGATGATAGATATCTGCAAACAAGTGATGTAAGATAGATTGTCACGTTAAATCGATAAAAGATAGATACATCGATAAATTTAAACAAGAATTTATAAGAATATAAATTGCAAATATTAAAGAAAAATTTTTTAAAAATATTTTTATACATCTAGAAAAAAAATGTTCTTTAAATGTTATCAACTATGTTTAATCTTTAATAAAAATATCTTTTTGAAACATTATAGAATATAATACCTCTTAGTGTACGATATTTTTTATCCAAATCACAAAAGCTGATCTTGATAAAGTTGCAAACCTCTATTATACAGACTGTTAAGACTGTAGGATTATTGCAAACATTGGTTTAAAATATTTTTTGACTGCTATAAATCAATATTTTCTTTTAAAGATTCTACAAATTTAAATATTATTCTAATATCATACTATATATAACATTCACATTTTTTCGATAACTATTATTTTTAAATGCAGCGAAAAACCGCGGTAATATAAATTGCACTAATATCAAAAGCAATGCATGCATATCTTTAATTCAGTTGTTATGTAATATACTTTTGTTAAACAATATATGTATACATGATTTTTAAAAATACATTGTTATACAATATACTTTTTTAAATCATGTATGTAATATTTTTTATTTACGTATCTTATTCTGGTCTTACTAAATATGTGCAAGTACCATATGTGGATTAAATTTTCCAAGTCTCCAGAAATAAAACATATTTTACTGATCGATACGTTCCATCTGGAGGGGACTTGCAAAATAATACACTCGTCAATGGGGCTTCACCCTTCCTTATATTTACTGTCAAGGGAAAAATGAGCCGCATTTATTCATAAGTACTACGTGTCATTCATCGCTACACCACAGACGTTTTGCAATAGCTATGCGAAAAATATTGCAGGGTATTATTAGGTATAGGTCTAAGAGCACTTAAATTCCTTGCATCGAGGGATGTTATTTTACCGGAAACTTAAGAGGAAATAAAATTTTGAAATCAGTCGACCGTGCAAAGCGAAGAACGAAAGATTGTCAGTATAAACTATGAATTCCACTTGGAATCATTATTACAATGTTGTTAAAAAGTGTCATCATTGGCCGGTCAGTGGCCCTATCAGAATCCAAAAATAAGACTGTTCTGTGTCAGCATGATAACTTTGATCACGTGTTCCATGATTGTTCCACAGGTTTATTTCAATAATGCTTTTTATCAAATTAAAGTATTGAGACTTTTTAATCCGAACATCCATAATATTGCCAGATGGCTAAATTTGTTAAATGCGATGGAGACCTGCAATGTATTTTTCAAGCTCTAACAGCGTATCTATTGACAGTAATAACGTTGGTGAAGCTGTACACGTGTTATTTTAATCGATGTAAAGTATGTTATTTGTTCTATTTTAGCACTTGTGTGTGTGTGTGTGTGTATATATATATATATATATATATATATATATATATATATATAGTAATAGAAGTATATATAGAAATTTCCACTAAAAATAGTACTTTCTAGATGAAATTATGATTGATCAGTTGTTCGTCGAATGGGACGATTTGCAGTCTCCAGAAGAGTTCGAAATTATGAAGAAGTATGCCGAGAAGGGCAGACGTTATTCTTTGGGATATTCGTGTAAGAATAAATCGCGCGATATCTATACTTGCATCTGCTTCTTTTATTGATAAAATTATAATTTAGCTTTATTTTTGTTATAGTGTACTGTTTCATATCCATATATCTGTTCATGTCCGTGTCTCTCGTACCAGTAATATTAGATGCCGTGCTGCCTCTCAACGAGTCCCGACCTATATTGCCGGCTCACCCAGGCTACTACTTCGTTGACGATAGAAAATATTTCTATTACATCTTATTGCATGCTGTCTTCGGATGGAAAGTTGCTATGACCGGGATAGTCGCCCACGATTGCATGCTCCTGACTTACGTCGAACACGTCTGCAGTATTTTCGCCATAAGCGGGTAGGAAAAAAAAAATATATATATATATATATATATGTGACATGCATTGTATTATTGTTATGTATTATTTTGATGTCACACGCGTAGATATTTACAGATTTCGATTCGAGCGATTAATTTGTACGAGCACGAATTCCATAACAATCCTACATTCTGACACCTATTATCGCAAACAAATTGAGTTCTCGGTGCACACGCATCGAAAGGCTTTAAAGTGAGCATTTGAATTGACGTAAAAAGAGGAGATTTCAAAAATTCATGTTTCACCATTATATTTTTTGCTATATAGATTTGCCCAGCTTATTGAAGATACGTTTTCGTTAACTCTGGCTATACAAATAGTACTGAATACAGTAATGATTAGCATTACTCTATTACAAGTATGTGATTATTCTAAGATTATACTTCACGTGTATACACAGAGTGTTCTGTATAGATATATATAGACCACATTTTTTGTCAAAAAAGCATTTTTCTTCAGCAAAATTTCTGGAAATGCATTTTATTTTCGAGTTATCTCATTTTTAATGTGTTAATATAATATAATGCATCGCTGTTTTTTTTATTCACATAAAAATTTTTGGTGATTCTATTATAACATTATATATATATATATATATATATATATTATATATATTTATTTTTTATATAACATTTTATAAAACATTTGAAGAAATTTTAAATTGATATAAAACAAATTTCTTTATGGCAGTGAATAAGTATACATTTATATAAACAAATAAGTAAATATTGTCTAAATATAAATATTAAATTTAAGTATAACAGAATCACACCGAAGCTTTTCTACGAAAAGAATATATATAACAAAGAATATATATAATATCGATTTATATCTTATCTATACAAGACATTGTATTTTTTGTATATACATGTATCTGTAGGATCTTATTGTATATATATTATTAGAATTATGAAAAACATAAAGTTGTAATTATATAATAAGTAAAAAATATTAATTTTATTGTATTTTTAAAATAAGATTACACAAAAGGATGCCAACTACTTGATAATGCTGAGGTACATAGTATACGTTCTTGCTCAGCTATTTCATCTATTTTGTCTAAGTTTCGAGGGACAGAAGTTAATAGATCACAGTCTTCAAACGCGCGACATGATGTAAGACACTAGATTTTTACAATAATGATTAAATCATAATATATCATTGAAACATATTACAGCATAGTTTAATATATCATTGAAACATATTACAGCTACAACTGTCCTTGGTACGAAGCGCCTATAAAATATCAAAAGATGCTTCTGTTCGTGATGCGAAAAAGTCTCCAACCGATTTTCTTGAGTGCTGGCAAGATTTTCATTTTCTCATTGGAAAACTTTACTTCGGTAAAGATTATAATCAACTTTATAAGATTTCGAAAAAAACGCAACGATCTAACACGTAAGATAACTTTAGTTTAATGAGTTCTTGTATTTTAAAGATCGTGCAAACTTCGATGTCATACTTTACGGTGCTTTCGTCTTTGGAATAAATGGAGCAAGGATCAGTATTTATGACTTGTAATCATAGTCTATTCCTCTATTTAAGATCATCTTAACTAATGGTCTTAAAATGCTATAGAGTCATTTTATGACTAAGAACCTTAAAATCATATTTAAGACGATCTTAAATATAAGAATAAGCTATGAATACAGTATATCAATCTTGGGCATCTACAATCACAACATCATTTAATTCTGTGATAATAAGTTTATTATCTATGCATGAGTAACATTTATAATGTTATAATGATAGTTATAGTTATATAAAACTTGCTTATCTCCATGCATACATCAATTTTCAAAATCAAACATTTTGTATTGTGCGAGAACATTTATAATTCTAAAATGTTTTATGTAACTTAATACAAGATATGTTATCGCAAAGAAAATACGAGGAAAACTTACTTTTCTTTCACATGAGACAGTGTGTGCTAAAAATAATACCTATATGTTGAATAAGTATAATTACAAAAAAATTACATTTTTATTTTATTTATTTTTTTATTTGAAGGAAAGAGATTTGAGAAAAAAAACTTTACTGCCATTTTTGAAAAATTGCAATTTATATGCAATAATAAAGTATACAAACAAAAGTTTCAGAATATCCAGGATCCAGGGTAATAAGTAGTTAATTAGTTAAAAGTAAAAAAAGTTTAAAAGTGTTAATAACTATTTAGCTTAGTTAATTTAAAATGTATTAATTTAACTTCAACTAATTATTTTTGACCTTAAACTTATTAACTTTTTTCCTAAGTTAAATTTTTTAAATTATAATTTATAAACGTATTATTTTAAAATTAAAGTATTATTAATTTTTATATTTATTTGTCATCAATTGTAATTACCAAAAAATATATTTCTAAATAAAAATCAAAATTTCTTTGTTATTTGTTATTATATGTTTTAAAATAATTAACAAACAAAATTCTAATTTAATATAAATAATATTTGTAAAAATTAACTTTTGATTTAACTTCAGTAAATTCAATCTTAACTTAATTTTAACTGAGTTAATTTTTGTTCATAAAACTTTTAACTTAACTAAATTAATTTTATAAGCAACTAACTTTAACTTAACTTAATTTTAAAAAATCATTAACTTACCCAACCCTGAGAATATCTAAGAATGTTTAAGAAAAAATATTAAAATGTCAAATGTATATTTATATATGTATATTTTTTTTCTAGAAACAGCAAGAAAAATCTTATTACTGTCTGTTCCTAGAAAAAAAGAAATGTACATTCGACGGTTAATATTTTTTTTTAGATATTTTGATTGATCGTTCTTCTGCGAAGGGAATTTACAGAATAACACGTTTCTCACAAAGGGATATCATATTATATTTAGCATCGAGAGAGTAAATGCCGTGTTATCATTCTGCTTGTCAGTATATAGTCAGTCTAGTCAGTACATATAGCTGCTTGTCAGTATAGTATAGTCAGTTCTATATGTCACTCATTCGCAATTGCTATACGAAATATATGAGCGTGCTGTACGTAAGAACACAAATTGTTTATTTTATATATATATATATATATATATATATGTGTGTGTGTGTGTGTGTGTAGACTTATATGTGTGTGCATATATGTCTAACAAGATGAGTGATAGTGTAAATTATTTATATTATAATATGTCTTACATCAGTAGATGACGATTTAAAAGTAAAATTTTGGAATTAATTGCGATTGCACGAATCGGAAGACAATTAATTGTTTGTGAAATGCAAATTACGATAAGAAAATATATTGCATTTAAAAAACTCAAATAATGAGCTATCGAACACCAAAGACGACACAATTCTATGTGCATAAATCTATATAATAAACTTAAAACATTATTATTCCACAAGTAAAATAATAACGAATATAATTCTAAATAAAATTAGGGAAATAAAAATAACAAAATTCTCTTAATATTAATAATTATATAAGCATTTCTTTTCAGAATGACCATAATAATTTATTAGATGCTGCTACGGAAACTTGCAATGTATTCAAAATTTTCAAAATATATGTCGTCATCAATATATCGATTGGATTATCGATTTCCATTTCGATTATACTCGTCGATATAAAATATTCGACCAACTATATCATATATACATATATATATATATGTATACTTGTATACATATATTTAATTTATATAAAGGAGACATATATAGCTATCAAAATGATAACGCGTTTCAATTTATCGCTTGTATATATATATATATATATATGTGTGTGTGTGTGTGTGTGTGTGTGTGTGTGTGTGTGTGTGTGTACGAACCATATCGAAGAAATTACTCATCGGTGTCTGCCCTTCTCGTATCTCTCTTTGCTTCCTCTTTCATTATTAATTTCTCGTAAAAGAGATTTTACGAAGTCTGCAGTCTACAAGTTTCATTAGTCTATGACACAATGCGGCGGTTCAAATCTCTCATACATATATCTATATAGTGAAAGATGCTGAGTGAATACGAAGCGTAAACGTCATACCTCGCACCGGAAGTAATCCATGTAAACGCATATTGTGCAAACGATACCTACACATGATAAATGAAACGTATTTTTTTATCGTATAATATCATCAATACAGCATATCATTACGCAGGACAGGTATGATATATCTTTAAATATCTCTAGACGTCTAGACGGGGAAGAGGGATGATGAAAATAATCATGCGTTGAAAAAGATTAAATGGCACGATGCCTTTGCGGAATTTAGTTTTCAAACTGACGTTTTTCGAGAGGCAAAGAATCGCGAAATATATGTCCATGTTATCAGTTATAATTATAATTGTTTCATGTCTCGATTATGTTCTTCCACGAAAAGTAATCTCGAATTTTCGTGGAATTTTCTTCGTTAGGTTATGTTTACATTGCAAAGGTTACGAAAAGATATTTTGACTGAGGAAAATAGATTTTTTTTTAATACAATTAATGCAAAAATATAGCGAAAAATAATTATAAATCAGCTTGCAATTATATGCAAAAATAGATGCCGCGCAAACATGAGCTAAAATATTCTTTAATTTTACATACTTTATGATGCACAAAGAACAAAAATTTGCAATAATATAAACGCATGATTAAAAAATGATTGCTATCTCTCTCTGTTATATATAGGAATATTTTATAATTATAAATATTATTTATGTACAATACTTTGTATAAATTGGTTGTGCAAAATATTTTACACGAGATAAAGAAAAATTATTTCTATAACAATCACACATGTTTTCCATATAATAAAGAACTTCCCAGTAAGTTCTGAATATTATTTTATTTAATATATATACATATTTTCGTAAATTATTGTAGCATTATTTTAAATTATTAAACATTATTTTAAACTAAAATATTTTACACAGTTCTTTACATATTTAGCTTTAATTAATCTCAAAGCTAAGCAAAAGTTAAAATTGTTTCAAATTAGATATATTTTGCAGAGTGTAAATATATAATATTAGCAAAATGAATGGAATAATACCTGAAATGGAACAAATTATTAGTCAACTAGAGAGAGGTACTGTAGTGACCAAATTTTTTCCAAGAAAGCGACCAGAAAAGAAAACTCTCATGATACGAAGAGAAACTAGACAAATTGTTTGGTCGAGGAGTGCAACATTTAGACCTTTTGATGGTTCAGGTAAGATTCTGCTTATGTCCATAAATCTGTGTATGCAAATTTTATTTAATATTTTAGACACATTTTTTGTACATAGTATGATATGTCTGTAAACATATAACTACACATACAAGCAGCAAAATGAAAAAAAAAAATATTAACAGAGATACACTATAAGTCTAAAATATCCAGAAAAAACTCTTGCATGTTTATTATATATGAATAAACTTAAAAATACATAATTAAATGAGTTGTATATAATAAATTTTATACCAACAAATCTTTGTGTTATTAAAATAAGTTTCAAATCATGTTTTATATTACATTGAGATCCGATCTTAAGTATATTAATACATACTTTTTTCTGTTTTCAATCTTTAACAAGTATATGTATTAACATTATTGATGGATAAGATTTATTAAGATTGCCATTGATATCCCATATTTGAAGCATATATTAATTTTGGATATTTCTTTGCAGTGGAAATAAGAGAAGTTAAAGAAGTTAGAATAGGTAAACAATCTAAAGACTTTGAAAAATGGCCTGAAGATGCTAAAAGAATTGAGAATTTAAGGTGCTTTGTTGTGTATTATGGATCAGAATTTAGACTGAAAACTCTTTCTATATCTGGTAAATATAATGTAAATCTATTGCTAATGCATATTATAAAAGTTAATAATTTTTGCTACAAATAGCTACTGTATATTATTTAATATTTATTACATTTTTTTTAGCTCTTAGCGAAAAAGAATGTGAACTGTGGATTAAGGGATTGCGTTACTTGGTACAAGACACTATAAATGCACCATATCCTTTACAAGTTGAAAGATGGCTTAGAAAAGAGTTTTATGCAATGGAAAATTCCCGTGAAACGTAAGTATCCTTAACAGATTTTGTATATTTATAAGACCAAAAAGAAATTAATATAAATTATGTATTTGTAAATATTATTATATCTATGCTATCACATCTATATCACTTGATTTTTTTACTCATGCTGGTTAATAGGGTCACATTGAAGGATGTGAAAGCATTTCTGCCTAGAGTTAATTGCAAAATTGCAACAAATAGATTGAGGGAACTTTTTCAAGAAGTGGACACAAGAAATCGAAACGAACTTGGATTTGATGATTTTGTTATCCTATACCATAAATTAATGTTTGATCAGAATGTACGTCTTATTATTTCTGTACAAAATTACAAGAGTATCATTATTTCTAGAGTATCTATCATAAATATTTTTTTGCAGAATCTTGCAGATTGGCACAAACTATTGAATTATTCCCAAATTGAACCAACTGTCACACTTCAAGAATTCCAGAATTTTTTAGTAACTGAACAGCAAGATAATTTGGGAAATAATGAATTAGAGATATCTCGTTTTATTAGGGAATATTTACAAGATTCTCAAAGGGACATACAAGAACCATATTTTACTTTCTCAGAATTTATAGATTTCTTATTTTCTAAGCAAAATGATATCTGGAATCAAAAATTTAATCAAGTTTCTCAAGATATGGCTCGACCTCTTGCACATTATTGGATAGCATCATCGCATAACACGTATGTAATCTTTAAAATAAGATGTTCTCTAACAAAATCCTAATTATACATGAATTTACAGATACTTGATGGGAGATCAAATTAGCAGCGAAAGTAGCTGTCAGGCCTATGTGCGTGCGCTAAGAGCAGGGTGCAGATGTATAGAACTTGATTGTTGGGATGGTCCAGATGGAATGCCGTTTATATTTCATGGACATACCCTCACCACTAAAATTAAATTTTTAGATGTTATTAAAACTATTAAGGAACATGCTTTTACTACATCTGAGTAAGTCAAGAAAGAAAAGAATTTAAATTATTTCTATATATTATTGTACTCTCTTCTATTAATACATTATTTATTCAGGTATCCTGTTATTTTATCTATCGAGGATAATTGTACTTTACCGCAACAACGTAAAATGGCAATGACTATGCAAGAGGTCTTTGGTGATATGTTATTAATTCAACCTGTTGACAAAAATGAAATTTGCCTACCTTCCCCATACTCGTTGCGCAGAAAAATTTTATTAAAACACAAGAAGCTTCCTGATGGGGTCGACGAATCATCATTTCTTGTGCGGAATGATGAAAGCAGACAGGAGATGGATCTTAGGAATACTATAAAAAATGGAATACTTTATTTGGAAGATCCTATTGATAGAGAATGGAATCCTCATTTTTTCGTACTGACACAACAGAAGCTATTTTATACAGATACATTTTCAAGAGTACAAGAAACGGAACATGATGATGATGAAGAAAGCAATATTCGGAGATCGTCAGATGTACGATATATTTATACATATATATAACATGACAAATATGTTTTAGTTGCAATAATATATGAATTATATATATGCATGATTGATATATGAATTATATATATATATGCATGATTGAGATATTAAAATAATACTTAATAATATTTAATCTCCAAAAAAGGGCGCGCCGAATGACGAATTGCACTTTGGCGAAAAATGGTTTCATGGAAAATTAGCGAGAGGAAGAGAGGAAGCTGAAGAATTATTACGACACTATTCCTATCTTGGAGATGGTACTTTTCTCGTACGACAATGTGTTACATTTGTAGGTGACTATTGTTTATCATTTTGGCGTAAAGGAAAAGTGAACCATTGCCGCATTAAGCTGAAACAAGAAATGGGTCAAACGCAATATTATCTCATCGATACTAATTGTTTTGATAGCTTATACAGTTTAATTACTCATTACCGTAATCATCCACTTAGAAGTCAAGTAAGTAGATTAAGAAATTAAATATATTATAAAAATATTTAAAAGTAGTTTAAACTTATTATATAGATTAGGAATAAAAAGTATTTTAAAATATAAAAGATTGTAAAAAAGATTATAAAATATAAGATTTTTCTTCTTTTCTTTTTCTGATATATAGGAATTTTTAATCACTCTGCAAGATCCAGTGCCACAACCAAACAAACATGAGGAGAAAGAATGGTGGCATCCTGAATGTACTCGAATTGCGGCAGAAGAAATGTTGAAACGTATACCTATGGATGGCGCATTCTTAGTGAGACCCAGTGAAAGAGAAAGTAATTGCTATGCAATTTCGTTTAGGTATGTTCTTTTAAAGCACCATGTATCATTTGCAATTTGTTATATTAATTTCTAATTCTATGTTAATTGTACTGTTATAGAGCGGAAAAGAAAATAAAGCATTGTAAAATAAAACTTGAAGGCAGACTCTATACTACTGGAACTGTACAGTTTGAAAGCTTAGTTGAGTTAATCAATTATTATGAACGACATCCACTGTATAAAAAGATTAAATTGAGCCATCCTATTAATCAAGATATTATCAGAAGAATGGGATTGGTATGTGTAATTATTTTTATAATTTTCTTTCTTTTTTTAAGACAAAATATCGTTCAAGTATTGGAAGTGACATAAAGTATTTTTTTTAATTTAGGACAACGATGATGGATCTGTTTATGGTATCCCAGGTTATATAGATCCTACAAGCTTTACATCAAAAGTAAGTAATACATGATTATACAAATATACACAAACACACACACACACACACACACACACATATATATATATATGTAGATATTGCATAATTTATAATCAAATATAATTTTAATAAAATAAATTAATGTATTGAATTATTTCTTAAAGGTTACAGTTAAGGCTATTTATGATTATAAAGCTAAAAGAGAAGATGAATTGACATTAGTCAAGCATGCTATAATTACTAATGTCAATGTGCAACCTGGAGGATGGTGGAGGGGTGATTATGGTGGTAAAAAGCAACATTGGTTTCCTGCTAATTATGTAGAAGAAATCGATGAACAAGAAAATCAGGGAGATGTAAGTTTCTTTTATATTTGGTATTGTATATGAATCAGCAAAGACTATAACTGATATAAAATTTACTATATATTTTTTATACATGTCTTCTGTCTACATACAATATAAGAATATTTTATACTTTTTAGTCAGCTGATTCCATGATGCTTGGTAGTTTGCAAAAAGGTTCATTAGATATCATGGGTGCTGTAGTAGAACTAACAGTCGGGGAAAGATTAGGTTTGGAATGGATTTTAAGAATACAAAATCCTAGTATGTGTTCAGTATTTGAAGTTGCTACGCCATCTAAAGATACTGCATTAGAATGGATGTCAAGTATCAAAGAGACTGCACAAAATGCAAGTGTTAGGGTAAGTATGTAGTTTGTGTTGGACAAAATTTAGATATTATTTAATAGGTAAATAATATACATTTATGATTGTTTTTTTTTTATTTTTTTTTTTTTTTTTAATTTTTTTTTTTTTAGGAAAGTCAGCATAAGGAAATGGAGAGAGCATGGAGAATAGCCAAGGAGATGTCTAATCTTATAGTATATTGTAGATCTGTTGCATTCAACATAGAAAGAATAAGAACTAAGGGATTTACATTCAATGAAATGAGTAGTTTCCCGGAAACAAAGGCTGAAAAATTAATGTGTCAACAAGAAAACAAATTTTTTATAAAATATCATCAGGTATAGATACAAATAAATGTACAAATAGATAAAATATTGAGACATGTAAATGAGAATATAGATAATTAAAACACAAATAACTTTTTCTTATAGATTCAATTTAGCAGAGTTTATCCAAAAGGACAACGTATCGATTCATCTAATTATAATCCTGTACCAATGTGGAATGCTGGTTGTCAGATGGTAGCTTTAAATTACCAGACTGGAGACAAATCGATGCAATTAAATCAGGCTAAATTTAAAGAGAATGGCAATTGTGGTTATTTACTAAAACCAGAATTTATGTTTAGACAAGACTTTAATCAATATGATAAAAATACATTATATGGAGTCGAACCACTTAAAATCAGTTTGAAAATTATTGGAGCCAGACATTTAATGAAAGCAGGAAGGGGCACTGCCAGTCCATCTGTCGAAGTCGAAATAATTGGTGCAGATTTTGACTTCGGAACGAAATTAACAACAAAGACAATACGTAAATATATTTGAATTTTGACTTATAAATTTATTTAGACATGATAATTTTATTAATGTGTATAATTACAACAAATCTAATTCTGAAACTTACAGCGGATAATGGATTTAATCCAATGTGGAATGAATCGTGTGAATTTGAGATATTCAATCCATATTTTGCTCTTATACGATTTTTAGTGCAAGATGAAGATATGTTTGGTGATAGTAATTTCATAGGACAAGCTACTTATCCAGTGAGTACTTGATCAATTGTATTAAAAATATTTATGTCTCGTATCAAATAGAATATTTCTACTTACTATCTTTGTTTCAATTCAAAAGAGATTTATGTTCTATGTTTATTAGGTGCGCTGTTTAAGAACAGGATATAGAAGCGTTCCATTAAAAAACATATATAGCGAAGATCTTGAACTTGCTTCCTTATTAGTACATATTAAAATTGTAACATTGACCAGAAATTCCATTTAAAAAATTGCTATATTGATAAAAATTTATATATTAAAATTTAGTCTCTTATTGAGATTTCTTGTTCAATATAGCCACACATAATGCATAAAATAAGTTGACAAAAAGCAAAATCTGCATTATAAAATATTTAATGTACAGATTGATTATACCAAATAGCATATGTGTAAGTATCGTATGTAATTATAGTAAATTTCTTATATAATTACAAATATGAATCAGTTTATTGATTTATTTATATATGTATATAATCTGTATGTTTATTCCACAGGTAATACAAAAAAATTACCATGAATATGTTACAATATAGTATACAATGATACAAAAATAGCATATGTTAGATAAAACATATCGTTAGAAGACTGTATATATTTATATTAAATTTTAACAAATTTTAGCTATATAGATTATTATAAAAATTATTAAAAATATTTCTACAATCGGAGTAAGAAATAAAGAATTGAATATTTTAATGCGTTCTTATTGGAAAGAAGAACAGACAAAATAAATGGTGAGATAAGGAATTAATAAATCTATTAATTAAAAAATAATTCTAATAAAAAGTAGAAAGACAATATACGCAAACGTGATTTAGAATAAACTAGATCTTATTATTATGATACATACGTACATTACTTTGATTAAATTTATAATGTATTTCATTCTTTTCGCTATATATTATGTACGTACACAAACAATTGGTAAACATTGATTTATTATATGTATTTAGGAAATGCTTATTACATATTATGTTTAATGACTGAACAATCTTTCTTTGTAATAATTATAATTTATCAAATTTTATACTAGTACTATTAATACAATTGCTTAATATTGATTAAAGAGAATAGTTGAAAGTTGTGTGTGGTGAGAAATGTTTTGTTAAATTGAAACAAAGGAAATATAATAATGCAGTAATAAGCATATATAAACACAATTATATCTAATATCATAATGTGGATATACAATAATAGTAATTGCATTTAACATGAAAATGAAGTATTATATACTTATTATATTTATTCAATTCTTTGTAGATGTTGATATTGTAGTATGCAATGAATAATAACGAAGAATACATATCGCGTATGCTTGCCTAAAACTATGGCTGTCAATAAAATTACAGTAGAAATTTACTCTGCAAATTAATAGATATATATTTTACATGTCTAATTATAAAGAGACCTAAATGCGCAAAATTTTCTAGTCTATAATACGTAGACATCAATAACAAAAGAAAAATCATAATACATTCAATGCAAAATATATTATTATGACATAATTTTACTTTCCTTTCAACTGATAAATAATGCTCAATTAATTCAAATGTCAATGTTTTCAATTATATGTGATAAGTGAATATTATTATCATTTTGTCATTGGCGTCTTTGGCAGAAAATGTCTTCCCCGATAATTATACACATATAAAAAATATACATATAAAAATATATATATATATTATTTACAATATATTTACAATATTTATATCGATATATCTATCAAGTTTTTTCAACTGTCACATGCTATAGAGACGCCAATGTTGCAATTCTGTTACATATTTTAAGATTATATTGTATATGTTACATGTTACGTTATATCGTAATCATTGAGTGTATTTCACATATTTGTGTAATGTAATTGTATAATGAATCCGAAGAATGTACGCGTTCACTGTGCCTGTACTTTGTACTATGAGTGATATGATTAGACATATCTGTTGGAAACAAATGCATAGAAATTCTAGATAATAAATTTTCCTTTGTCACAAATACGATTAGGCACATTAATCTAAATAGTTTAAGTACTGATACTGTAATCAATCACGCGCGCGTGCAATGTAATTTATGAAAGATGGAAGAGAGAAAAATATAAGGGAGAGTGTAGATATATTCCATTATTGCAGCATGAACACAGAATATAGGAAATAAATTTCTATATGCGTTTATTTCTTGTATTTTACATACAAAAGATCTTTTAGCAAGATAAAAGTAATAACATTAATATGGTTCAAACATAAACATGTATATGTGTTCTAAATTACATTTATAGTTATTTTTTTACAAAACTTTTTGAAGATATTCATCAAACAAGAATATGGAAACAGATGGATCGCGATCCTGTAGCAGATTCTTCAAATCATTTGAGTAACCTGCCAGATCTCTCACACGGTCGGTCAATGATTCTGTGAAGTGTTCTTCGATGTAATGAGCGATAGCTGCGTCCTGTTTGGTATGGTGTAGCGCTTGAGCATGGATATTCAATGCTTCATTGGCGAGTTGTTTCTCGCTATCGAGCGCTTTAGCGAGACTGTTCATTTCGGTCAATTCCAAAATTTTACCGTCCTTGGCCTGTAAACAATGATAACACTAATAACACCCTTTCTTATAAAAACAAGACAAGTTGACACAATAAATGATATTTACAGATTTCTTGAAGTGTGGAAGCTGATTGAGGTCCATTCTACCACCACGTTTTGTAATGTATTTGATTAAATCTATTGCATCTGCCCATGACTGATCTGAAAGTTTGCGATAGAGTCCCTTAAATCCATCTCTATGGGCTTCATAATTGCCGAAATGTGTGGACATCAGCAGAAATTCGAAACTCGTTTCAATATTAGCAGTTACAAATGCTTGCAGATCAGCCTGAAGTGATTCGATAGCTCCATATTGGGCATGACAATTTATTATTTGCCCATTATCTAAAAATATCAAAGAGGATGCATTCTTCTCTCAAAACTATTTCATCAGAGTTACACAAGTCTAACATATATATCAAAAATTATATATATTCTCAAGTTAAAAAGCTATATAAAATTATTCTATTCAACAAAATTATATAAATGTAATATCTTCTTAATGTTTTTGTAGAAAAATTTACAAACAATCTACATACTTTTAGGTATAGGGCTGCAAGCATTCTCGATATCGCTGTAACAGTATTCTGCAGAGGCAGTCAGCAGGAAGATGGACAATACTCCGAAGAACAACATCTTTGCTGAAATTTAACGCATTATAAAAATAAAAAAAATAAAGCACATATCTATAGAATATTTTGTGTTTTTAACCACAGATTAACTATAAATTGAATTAAATTATATAAATTTAAATTACCTATAGATTAAACTATATAGCTTGTATTAAAAAATAGGAAAAGATAACATTTTCAGTTTTAAAGTTATTACAATTAATTTTTCTCGCTTTAGAAAAAGTATTTTCCAATTATATAAAATAAATTGAACATGATAACACGAAAATTGGAATAATAAAGAAAAAGTTTCTATTTACGATTAGTCGTTCCGACAAAGTCGAAACAAAAAACAATGAGTCACGATTAATCTCAGATGCAAAACAAAATAATTCTGGTGTCGAAATTACTCGAAGATTGATCGTGAGATAACAATTAACGATCTTCGCTTCTCGAAGAGCCTATACCTTTACACGCTTCACGTTCGTGATATCATCGAACATTTTGTGCGGCGTACATTTTGAGGAAATGCGTAGCACTCGCGTCTTCTCGCGTATACGGAAGCGCAAAAAAATAACCGCCTTCGGGCGCAATATATCGTTCTCTTATATATCTTATCTACATACGTGTGTATATCTGCGTGGAAGAAATATTATTGAAGATGAATTCTCGAACAATAAATCGCTGCGATCGGGTCCTCAAAGTAGGATGGGAAGCAACGTGAATACTCTCGCTTCGACGTTCCCCCAATAATGAATCTCGGCCGCCGCGGAGACGGTACTTTTCACAGAGCCGTGACACGTCATGGTCAGCTGATGTGGAGGGGGGAGAGAGTGGGCGGCGCGGCGCACGCGCAGTCGCCACGTGCGCAGTTCTCCTGAGGACGCGAGGGTGAGTGGAGTGGAGGACGAGGGACGAGATTCCAAGGGTCTTTTCTCCTCTCTCTCTCCACCTCGCCTATGGTTAAAGCACGAATGTCGCGCGTTCGTGAGACAATTGTTGTTAGGTGATCGATGACTGCGTAAGACGCGTTTAGTTCGCCACACACTCTCTTATCTCCGACGAAAGTAGCCTTCTATACCAGTGCGTATAAAGGTTGCTTCTGAACGAGGCGAACGATCGTACGATCCATCCATCCAGCCAGCTTTTGGGCGCTTCTACAAGATTTTTTCGCTTCCGCGAATACCGCATAACCTGTAACAACGTTCGATTTCGATAGAACGATGAAGCTGTATTGCGTCTTTCTCGTCGCCCTGGCCTGCGTCAGCGGTGTATTCGGGGACGGCCTCAAGTGTAAGTTGTTATTTTATTTATTTCTTGGAATTTTTTGTCCATCGGACAAAGTATTGCAAGTGTAAATTTATAATTGTCATTATACATTATCATCATTTATTTCTTTCCTTTATATATATATATATATATATATATAATATATAAATATATATATAAAAATATATATATAAAAAATATATATATAAAATATTATAAAAAAAATATATATAAAAATATATATATAAAAAATATATATATAAAAAATATATATATATAAAATAAAATATATATATATAAAATATATATATATAAATATATATATATAAATATATATATATATATATCTTTCTCTTTATCCCCCCTCCCTCTTCCTTCCTGCAAGATGTCTAATTTACAGACACGCGGTATTACGCACATCTAACAGAACGTGGCGTCATGTTCGAGAACGTTGATATTTATCCTGTATCTCCTTTTTTCCACCTCTCCGATATTTCATAAATGTGATATTTCATCAGCCATCATAATTCCGCTCTTCCTATCCCAATTTTGTAGTCCAGATATCGAAGGAAAAGAATGCTAACGAATATTATTTGTACAAAATATCCGTTTTTTCTTCGCGGAAAATGGAATGACTGGGCATAAAGTAAATAGCAACGCGTATAAAATTTGTTTTGATTGAACAGCCTCTGGATGTTATTCAAGCTCTTTCAATTGATCAAAATATTATTGTAAATGTTTGTTCGGAATGTTTTGTATCAAGACTCTTATTGTCTCTCTGTATTTATATTAGATGTGAAAGCAATCCTATTATCTTTCGTACAAATATTTTGCACAAATATTTTGCACAAATATGAGTTACTACACAGAAAGTTGAAATCTGTATCCAAGAATTTGCAATATATATATTTTTATAATATACACTGCTATTTGTGAAAAAAACTGGAATATAGCTAATATTATAAACTTGGAATATAGCTAATATCATTATTTATTCATAACGCTGCAATTTTCATAAACAACAATATATACACATAAAAATTTCAATTGTGTTAATTTATAGGATCATTTCTGTTTTAAGACAATATTATTCGTCAAAACTTTTATGAATATGCTATAAAATGTCGATATTATAACTTTAGAGCACTTTATCAAATTATGATATGATTATGAGTTTATGAGTCATGTGAACATATTATTCGTCAAAACTTTTATGAATATGCTATAAAATGTCGATATTATAACTTTAGAGCACTTTATCAAATTATGATATGATTATGAGTTTATGAGTCATGTGAAATTTCATCAGAAAAGCAGAAATCGACCAAATAAAACTATAATTTCAAGGAGAGTCTTTGTCCCTTTCTGATTCATGCATATCAAATGATGTTTGTCATTTTTAACAAAGCCTTGCGCAATTGATTAAGCAAGTGATGAAATGTTTATGACGCATAGTCATCACGAACCAACTGCACATTAGATTGTGCAATGCTGATCTTGCATTTACAATTTATCAACTTATTTTGCGATGGAAATATATAAATTTACTTAATTATGATAGCTTTTTATAACAATCTTTTTATAACAAATTACAGAATCATGCAAGTATTATATATCTTAACATATATTCTCTCGCAGTTAAATCTATTTTCATAATTAGTATTAAGACATTTAGTCTTTACAATGCATATATCTCAAGAGAATTTTCAAGTTATTATCATATTTTATTATTTATTTTATATCTATACAATTTTTATGCACCGATCACATGATTTTATCAAATCTTATTTTTATGACCTGACTCATTATATTTATCGCTTTATGAAATAGAAATGAGGACAGAGCTAGAGTAGCTAGAGATGAGACCAGTTGCAGGAAATCAACACCGTTGTCGTTATCAATATATGATAACAAAATGAATATATAGTCACTCAAGTACGCAGTTGCCTGAGCTTTGTTCCCTGGCTTGTATCAATATGATTATTTCAAATATTATATAAAGCTCGATGAATATAATACTAGTCGACACAACTAATTTTATATACAAATTTATATAACATAAAAAGAAATTATTTTCTTTATTTTCATTTTGCTATATATTTGTTTAAACAAAGGATAATCTATTTTACACAAGAAAAAATAAAAAACATTCTTGCTTGGCTTTCATACAATCAGTATAATTTTTAATTCAGTATGTAATATAATAAATTCATACATATAAAATATAAAGTATAATTTATTTGTATTTTACATACAAAACAAATGTTAATTTTAAGAAATCTCATATCACAGTCCTATCATAGAAAATATCTTACTTTATATAGTAATCATAAAAATATAAATTATATAATTAATACTTATCATACATGTACGATATATCAGCAAATTAAATCTCTTTATCATCAATCAATTTATTTTGTATGAAGATAATTTTTCAATCAAAATTGTATGACATGTACATCATATAAATTAGCACACAACTCTTCATTTATACAATTTATTCATTAGATCTAATAAATTCTTTATTAGTAATCATTATTCTAACTTTTTTACAAGAAATATTTAAGTAAAATACATTTATTTATACATGTAACTATAATATTTCAAGTTAATTTTCTTAAATATTTATTAAAATGTAAATATTATGATGTAATCATTAACAATAATCAATGTCTCAAATCTACATTTTATAAATATATTTTAACATACAGTTATAAATAAAATTAAAAATCTTGTGATAAAAATTTTTACTCTTATAATAACGAGTTTGTTTTTATCTTAATTAAATAAAACTTTATCAACAGGAAAAGATGTTATCAGTATTACGACTGATCAGTCATGAACAGATATATTTTATTTTCTACTAATATATTGATAAAATAATAAATCATAGTTTTTTTTGTTATCTATTAAAGATGGATTATTACATGTTATAGTGGAAACTATCAAAATTAATTATAATTATAAATGCTTATTTATATAATAATTATAATAATTAAATAAAATTTTTATTTTATTCTTTTTTTAGGTACACTTAAACCTACCGAAATACCAACATCATGGATAGATATGGTTGATCCATGCATAAAAGCTATGGAGTCTCAAGTCAAAATTGAAATCGAAGCTTCCATGAAATATTTAGCAATGGTATATGATTCTATATTTTGTTTTAATCCAGCATACACAATTGCTATAATTTATTAAAATAATAAATTAATAATAAACACTTTACATTACATGTACATGTAATATCTTTTTATAGGGCGCTCATTTTACACGTGATACTATAAATCGTCCAGGTTTCAGCAAGTACTTTTTTGAAAGCGCAGGCGAAGAGAGGGAGCATGCGATAAAGGTCATCGAATATTTGCTAATGCGTGGCCAACTTACAAATGATGTTAGCAAACTTCTCAAGTTTCCTTTGGTAAGTAAAATTATGAAAAGATAGATTTTAAATAGTAAATTTTAAATAATATAGATTTTCAATTATATAATAGATTTTATAAATAATATGATTTTTTTTGTTTTATACAGAATAGCAACACTACAATACGCCAAGAGTGGAACAGCGGAGAAGAAGCTCTCAATGATGCTTTGAAATTGGAAGCTCAAGTAACTAGAAGCATTCGCGACATAATCATTACTTGCGAAACTCCTGCAATGACAGCTCCTTTCAACGATTATCACGTGAGTATTGTGATTAAAACAAAAAATTGACTTTGTATAGAAAAAATTATTTATTATTAATCCATAATTCTTTCTTGCAGTTGGTAGACTACCTCATTACTGATTTCTTAGAAGAACAATACAAGGGACAACGCGAACTCGCTGGCAAAATCTCAACTCTGGGTAAAATGATGCAAACATATGGACAGTTGGGAGAATTCTTATTTGATAAAAAATTGTTACATGGCGAAGTCTAAGTTTTGGTGATGTTTAATATATGTTTAGCTCGGAATACTTTTTTCTATAAATAGATGTTTATAAAAAGTCGCGATGTGTGTGGCCATATTTAGAATATTAATATTTGCTATTAATAAATTCTCTTTCTCTCTCATTCTTAAAATATTATTCAATTTATATTGTAGCATTATGGACATTTATATATATTTTGTTATAAAATGCGAATATAATAATTTTTATCTTGTATATTTCTCTAAATATGGCCTGTAATATTACACTATTAGAGTATACAGAGCTAATGTTTAAAATATTTGTTATAATTCGTAATAAATATATTATCCTTGATAAATAAACATTATTTTGCAATGTTTTTATTATTAATGATCATTTACTTATAAAATATATTTACATTGTAACAAATTGAAAATAGCCAAAATTGATTTATTAAAAAAATAATTGCGATGATTGTTTAAATAATTGTAACAAGATATATATATTATTTATGAAAGTGTTTACATAATTTTGTAATTAGCATTAACAAACAAAAACATGGAAATAATTCAAATAATTGTTCAAAAAGGGGCTACAAAAATACAAGTATTAAATTTTATTTTATTTAAATTTTTTATTTTACTTTTTTTTTATAATCCCATGATAAAAATTATATTTGGACATATTGATTAGTTATTACTTTATTACATAAGAATGCTTGACTATGATTGGTCAGTTTCCTTCGAAATCTATCGTTCTGATTGGTCAATCAAAAATTGATTGACTCACCAATACAACTTTATCAAATTCCTCTATACACATAAAACAATACTAGTTACATTTAAAAAATTATCTAGAAATATCGTGCATAATTATAAAAATCCAATATTATTAATTTCATCTTTTTTACATTTATCCTATTTGTTCAAGATTATTTCCATTATTTGTAAAATATCTTCCGATCATGTACGAAAGAGGCTAATTATCGCGGAGACGTCGTTTGCGCGTCTTTGAAATTCAACGGAACTGCGGTGGCAAAACTGCGCGAATTTTCGCGCGACCAACTTCAGGCGGTGTAGTTCAAGTTTGTTGAAAACTTCATATATGGGCAAGTGCGGAGTGCGACAGGAATACGGAGATTTCTCGCGCGGTGATTCCGTCGAAGCAGCGTGATGTTTTTCACAGAGTACGTGAGCGTAATATAGCGAAATATCATCTGGCGGCGACGCGAACGACGTTTCGACGACGTACGCCAACTCCTCCGCGGAATAACCTAAACGTCGCGCACAAACCGTCCGTCTCCCGGACGAGGATCGATTCGGTTCAACAGTTTTCCCGTATCTTTTTAGATCGCCTATACGCTGCGCCCTTCAACGGCCATGAATTCTTTTTGACTTTCCTCTGGAGCACTGCCAATTTCGCTCGGACGCCTCTCATCGATCGCACCTCCTCGACACCATGGCTCTACGTCGTGGAAAACGCAATCTGAAACTGCAGGTCTCCGACGAAGCGCCCGTATCAGTGTACGTAAACCTAGCGATGGTTTGCTTCTGTCTAAAGAGCAGCGATACAGTGTCACTTAATATTACATCTATGTATCGTTAGTACTTGTTTTGTGAAATTAGTCTTTAAAAGTTAAAAAAATACGAATAATGTACGAGAAGTAGCATTCACATTTTATATACCTTTAGTATTTGTTTTGTAACATTTGCCTTTAAAAGTTAAAAAGATGTGAATGATGTACGAGAAGTAGCATTCGCATTTTATACACATAATGTAGTCATATTTTTGTGAACTTGTTTCTTTAGGACACCACCAAGGAATTTAGATAAACGGACTACCATTACAATAGACGAGAAAACGTTTGTTGTAGAAGCTGATGATTTAGAAACTCTTTGCGTCCTTGGTCGTGGAGCATATGGAATTGTTGATAAAATGCGACACAAACAGAGTGGTACAATTATGGCTGTCAAGGTATTATAATAGCTGCATTTTTTAAATTGAATCTTAATGTATAAAACAACATAGTTGTCATAAAAATATACAACTGACATTTTCTTTACAGAGAATAACTGCAACTGTTAATACACAAGAACAAAAGCGCCTACTTATGGATTTAGACATTTCCATGCGTAGCTCAGCATGTTCCTACACAGTACAATTTTATGGAGCCTTATTCCGAGAGGGAGATGTATGGATATGCATGGAAGTGATGGACATGAGTCTTGACAAATTTTATACAAAAGTATATAAACATGGTCGTGCCATTCCTGAAGATATTTTAGGAAAAGTGGCTTTTGCGGTACATATACTAATCATTTAAGCATTCAATTATGTTACAGAATAAGGTGGTTTCTTCTTTCTTTTATTCTCTTTTACATTGTATTAATTTCTGTTTCTTTGAAACCTTTTACTGTACAAAGAATATATATTCTTATATTAACACTTGCAGGTAGTAAGCGCCTTACATTATCTCTATTCACAATTACGGGTAATTCATAGAGATGTTAAACCTAGCAATATTCTAATTAATCGAAAGGGTGAGGTAAAAATTTGCGATTTTGGTATATCTGGTTATCTTGTGGACTCGGTTGCCAAAACTATTGATGCTGGATGCAAACCATACATGGCTGTACGTAGCTATAGAATCTTTTGAAAAGATTGTATCAGTGTTCTCTCAATATATTCTCCACCATTATCTTTTTGTAGCCAGAAAGGATAGACCCGTCGGGTAACCCATCACAGTACGACATCAGATCGGATGTCTGGTCATTAGGGATTTCCCTTGTTGAATTAGCCACTGGTAAATTTCCATACGAGTCATGGGGTACACCATTCGAACAACTGAAACAAGTGGTGAAGGATGAAGCTCCAAAATTACCTGCTGGCAAATTTTCTCCTTCGTTCGAGGAATTTATCAATAAGTGGTAAATGATAGTATACACCGCGGCATACATATGTTTCTTTTAAACGGTATATAGATAATTTCATGTATAATTCTTTCTATTTTCAGTCTAATGAAGAATTACACTGCCCGTCCAAATTACAGTCAATTGTTAGAACTCGACTTTATTGTAGAACATGCTCAGAAGGACACAAATGTGGCGGAATTTGTCGGAGAGATTTTAGACTTACCGGAAAACGAGCAGCCGGTATAGTGCATACATTACTTTGACCTAGCTTGCAATATAATTTGACTTACAATTTATATTTTTGCAAGACAGTCACTTAATGGCACCCTCCATATATAATTTATATTATCGATCGTATGATCTATTATGTAACGAGATGTAATTGGCACTCGAATAATTATTTCTTTATTTATCATCGTTTTCATAATAATTTTTATTAATTGTCTCTAGCATCTAAAAGTTTGGCTTGAAGATAATTGTGTCTATTCTGATTCTAATCTTATTATTGAAGTGTTATATGATATATAATACACACACAGATGTTTTTTATATGATAGAGAGTAATATAAGTTAGCATTCATGGCATTGTGGTAATACCATAAAGAAATAATAATAATAATATTGATATATCTTTAGAAACGCATAGATTAGAAAAGACCAATATATTGCAACACTGAAAATTGTACATAATAATCAAATAATCCATGATCAAAATTTAATTTATTTTTTATTTAAAACTGCTCCACATATTCATTAGTGATGAATTGTAAAGAAGATTATATTACATGTAATTATATTTACATAGTCAGAAATTGAATTTTGTGACATGGATGTTGTACGTATAGCATAGAATTAATATTATGTAGCGAGAGTCTCTTGTGTTGAACTCTCTTTGAGATATTTTTTCTATATATGATCTAGCATCATAATGTAATAAAAATTAATCTCGAATAAACAATCATTTTTAAATGATGAAAATGTGAAATATAAAAAATTTAATCTTTCTAAAGTCAGTTCAAAGATTAAAAAAACTTGCAATTTTGCAAAATAAATTCTCTATCTCTGAAAGAATCTTTTTAGCTTCTTTTACAAAGATTTTTACAGAGAATTTATTTCCTTCTAAAGTATGTTTAAATTTTTTAATTGATTTCATTAAAATGCAGAAAAAATTATTCATAGTACAAAAGCTAGATATGTTTATATATAAAAACTATATATAAATATATATATATATATGTAATAATATATAACTTATATACATAAATGTTTATATATATATATATATATATATATATATATGTAATAATATATAACTTATATACATAAATGTTTATATATATATAAACATATCTAGCTTTTGTACTACGAATAACTTTTATATATATATATGTACATATTTCTTAAACAATTTCATAGAATTAATTTTTTCAGATTAATAACTATAATAATCATTTCAAAAGAAAATGCGGAAACAAAATATATAAAAAACGTAAATTATATTAGAACTGTTGTCGTGTGCTATGTGATGAGTTTCAAGTTGACATATAGGATATCTTCGTAAAAATATTTCTGATTAAAAATTAAAATTAAAATTTGTGACTTTAATGATTTCAAGAGTTACATTCTTCATTATCGCTATATAATTGCATATTGTCAACTAATCTCAATATAAATGTTTCATTAGAGACTCGAATTTATTTCTATTTTATATATTTTTTTATGGTGCTATGCTAATTATACAATTTTGTTATGCAATTTTACATAGAACGAAAAAATGAAAGAATATATTGTATGTGTGTGTGTATATGTATGTGTACAAATACTAATAATATGTTAACTTTACATATATTAGTGGAGAAATCCAAATTTTTGTTATATATCAAAGATTTCTCATTAAATAAAAATTAAGCAATAATATGAGTATGAAAAAACAGTAGAAAAAAATCCGTCTATATATATGTATGTATTTTGTATTTGTTGTATATATCCAACATATATATGTAAATATTTAAATTATATTTTCAAATCGGATTTGAATTTCTTAATTTTGCATGTTATTAATGTATTTATTGTGACGATAAATCATTGTACTGATCGATTTCTTATTTGCGGCAGCATAATACGATAATTAAAATTCTATATTTATAATATTAAATTTTGCGCGCGTAGATAGTATAATAAATTGAATATAATCATAATCGATTATCGATAATGCAGTAACCTGTAATATGAATAAACCGCGCGAGTAACTGTTCGTTCATCAAGCTTTCTTGTTCTTAAATGCACCGCGAGAGGGAGAAAGGCTTACTGCACAGTCGGCGTATAATAAAAATAAAAAGCAATCATCGAGCAAGAGGGTGATAGCGAAGAAGAGTCTGCAGTGCAACGTGAGGCCGTCAAGGACGACCTTGATGACTCGCAAGTTCACGACGCCGCGAAAGACACAACTCGACGCGATGCTTCACGCCGTACTTCGCTGATTGTCAAGTGGCTGAGTAGGATGGCAAACTTTCACCGTACTCGCGAATAGACAGGTGTTTGACATCGCCACGAGCGAATACATACCTTGTGGAAAAACGCGCGCGCGCGCGCACACTTACTTCGAAGTAATCGGCGATAGAAAAGGTAATGTATGACATAAAAATGCAATTCTCGTGTCAAAATTTGTCGCAATGTCATGGAAAAGAGTACGCGCGATGAGCTACAATTATTGCGGCGGAGTATTAATATCGACGTGAGGAGATATATATGTTTTTGTAATTTATGTCTTGTGCTATTTTTGTAACCTGCTCTCTTTCGACGTAACGTATTATGTGGTTTTTGTATATAATGGCAGACGAGTGACAATTTAAGATTGTACGTGCGGATTCTTTTGAACATTGTATATACATGTTTCGTAAAACCCCACTGACGATGAGGTACTATAAAATTATAATAAAAACCGATATGTGCGATCCATCGCGCAGACAACTACCGGCTTTTATTGATACAAAGAGATTAGATAAGGAAAATTGTGATTCGCTGATCGCATGCATTAAGAATTAAAATCTAGCCGAAATTATCATATAGTTTAATTTAATATTAAATTATAATTTTTATGGTAATATAATTTTTTTATAGTAATAAAAACTGCAAAGAGATGACATTGTTGCAACAGTTTGTTTGATTTAATATTAATTATAATTTTTATAGTAATAAAAAACTGCAAAGATGACATTGTTGCAACAATTTGTTTAATTTAATATTAATTATAATTTTTATAGTAATAAAAAATTGCAAAGATGACGATGTTGCAACAATTTGCGGACTTGTTGAGCCTGATAACGATAGGCATGTGTTTCGTATTGAAAGTTCCGCAGATATTAAAATTGGTTTCCGTGAAATCAGCTGATGAAATGTCTACGCTAGGATTATTCTTGGAATTGACTAGGTAATTTTTCACAACAATTACACAAAAACAAAAATATATTATCTCTCTGTATTTAAATAATAACCCAGGTATAGCAAGCGTACGTTTGCTGCTTGGAAAATAATTAATCAACGTTATTTTTTTTAGTTACACCGTAATGACTAGTTACAACTATACGAATGGATATTCGGTGCTATCATATCTGGAGTATCCGATAATATTAACGCAAGAATATATATTGATATTTCTGGTACTGAAATATTTGAACAGGATCAACATTTGGTCCTTTTTATGCGCCGTTATATACTTTGCGCTGAGCGCTTCTTTGCTGTTGGAAATTGTTCCGAAAATTGTACTTACACTTCTAGCGGTTAGTATTAAATATATTGCGAATAATTTTCATTTGTACAAAATATAAATATTTATTTGAACTCATTCTAAAAATGTCTTGAAAAAAAAAATTGCATTTTACTTTTCAGCCCATGTGTACTCCGATCTCCGCTTCCAGCAAAGTCGTTCAATTATTGGCTATACTTCGCGCTAAAAATGCAGAGTCGGTGTCGCCCCTCACCTGGTTCATATCTGCTTTCACGAACTTGAGTAAGTTTCCAGTTTTTTGCGCGTACGGTAATTTGCGGAAATCAATCAGAATATAAATCAAGTATAACTATATTTTTTGTATATTTTTTAGCGAGGGTTTTCACGATATGGATGGACTCGGCCGACGTCCTGTTGTTGGGTAACTTTATCATTTCGGTATTGTTGAGCTCCAGCATCATGTTTTCCGCCCTTTACTACAGAAGTCATCCGTTGAAACGAGATTAAATGAATGGAAAGTTTACAATTAATCTAGTCGCAATCATTATCCCGTGCCAAATTGACAATTCACGGTGTGTATATTTTTTGAGAATAATGACGATATATATATATATATATATATACATATAGATTCTATTTTATTCCTAATAATAAAAAATAGAAATTATTTTTCCTTCTACATACGTCGGTTTATCTTTTTTGTCCTTATTTTGCAACATTCTAGACAGAGAGAAAAATTTTTTAAATTTCATACGTATAACAGAAAGTTTTATTATTAATATAGATATTGATTTTATATTTGAGAATCTATAATTTTAAAGAATATTATGAATATTAATTACATGTTATATATGAAGGATGCAATTTAAAAATTAAATACTAAAATTAATAAAATATATTTTTTATTTAAAAAATGATTTTGTTTTTATGAATCGTTCTGAGTTGCAAGATAATGCCGAAAAGAAAAAAACTATAAACAAGATTGTATTCTATATAAGAGAGTATACATACGTGTGCCATGTGGTCTCGATTTGCATGGATTATCCTTCTAAATCAGTGATCTTCAAAGTTCCTATAATCGTATTTCACAATGTTATCCGTACGAGAAAAAATAATTAGTAAATTGTATTATACGACAAGCATTTGTTACGTTCTATAGGAAAATATCTATAATTTTGAGATCTTTCAAGAATATGTAGAAATATTTAAAGGTACAATGTGAAAAGATTGCGAGAAAATTTAAATTTCCTCTACTTCTACTATTTCTTATTTTTTTATTGTATCTATTACTTTAACGAATTAAAGTGAAACTTCGACAGAACGATTTTTGAGGCCAATTATAAGCAGTTAGGAGTGTATCCGAACTTGCTTCGGACTCTTCCAACGGGTCTCGAACTTCGACTTGAAGACCACTGATCTCTTCCACCCCCACCGAGCTCTTCTCATCCGGCGAGTCGACGGCACTGGATAAACTCCGGTTTGGTCCGGACAGTCGACATCAAGAAGGCGCGCAAGCATCATAGTCTCTCTCGCAAGGGACAGGAAGAGAGAGAAAGAGAGTGCGGCAGTGAGTGCGTGGAGGGAAAACGAGAGTGAGGAGCAAGGAGCAGATTTCTTGAAGAAGCTCGAGAGAGGTGTCTCCTTCTGCCGCTGGCAGGATGCGCTCACCGGCGGTCCTCGCCGGCCTCTTGCTGGTCGTCGTCCGGCTGTCCGGGGGCGAGATCCTGACGCCGCCGTACTTCAACCTGGCCGAGGGCAAAAAAATCATCGCCTCGGCTACGTGCGGCGTCGACACCACCGGTCCGGAGCTTTACTGTAAGCTTGTCGGCGCGAACGCCGATCAGGACGAGAATATCAATCTAATCCAGGGTCAGGTAAGCGTCAAGCGATAAGAAACAAGAAGCGATATATAGCGAGAGATATTTTCTTAACAATATATTATTCCAATATTTTTAATACATAATCTCTTTAATAATATATATATTTATATGTAAATTAATAAATTTATGGATTATTTTATCTCTATATGTCATATCGATAAACTTATTAATATCTAAGAAATTATATGTATATGAATTAATAAATTTATCGATTATTATTAGAGGTTGAATTTTACCCAGAGATACAGATTAATAAATAAAAAGATCCACATATATTTCTTTCTCTCTCTTGCATTTTAAATTAAATTCAAATACAATAATTTATTAAAATTTCTAAGATTGTATTTTAATACAATTAAATATATTAATACTTATCGGTTATAATGAATATATTTGTTATCAAAAGAAATAGTGGTATATTTTCCGTGTCTCTAATATTTGTACCAAATTATCTGTTATTATTAGATCCTACCAGTCCAAAAGTTTATCATCTTTGATGCATCGACCCGATTTATTCAACTAATCTCCTTTCTTACCCACGTTCATACAGGAAACTATAATCAAAGTATATATAACATTCGTATAAACATTTATAATTATCTGCCCAACATACTTTCGTGGTCTCTCTGTCTTAGAATTACGATAAGAAATAATCGTTTATAGCAGGGGGCATGAATGAAATCATTTATAGAAGATCAGCTTTTATCAATGCGCACACGCACATATATATTTATACAAAAGTATGTGGGCCGGTTGTTTCACCTCTTGATAAGTTTTACCCGATAGGTAGCATATCTTTGTATCTTTTTTTAGAACTTATCTTAGAAACGAGATGAAAATATGCTACCTATCAAGTAAAACTTACCAAGAAATTGGAAAAATCGGACCTATTTTAATAAAAATTCGACGACATTATTATATCTCTTTAATTATATTTAGTATATATATTAATTATTAATATATATAAATTTACGTGCCATTAAAACATCCAAATTCTTTATTTTATATTTCTAATAATCTGAGACAAAATTTTTAAAAATGTTTCCGCAAAAATTTAATCAAAATTTTATATACTTTCACTCAGCTAATATTTATTAAAAATAGCATTATTGATGAAATATTTTTTTTTTTTTTTTTTTTATATATAAATTGTATATTCTGCGAATTACAATTGTAATCTTCTCGAGCATAGTCGCTGACTGCTCTGAAAATTAATATGCTCGCGTATTAACTTACAAGCGTTTTGTCGGCACATCAGGACAAAGAACGATTACAAGGTTTCTGTAAAAAAAAATTCGGCTAAGAACCAGTCCGCAGGATCTATAATTGTGTTAGAAGAATGCGATAGACTCTCATCAGGATCGCGTCATATTTCCTGCAAGCATAGCAGTCTTTCATCGTCACAAATAAGAACAAAAAATATTTATATTATGGATATAAATATATTCAGATATTTGCTGGATGCATGTATTAATTTCATTTTTCTCGCGAGATTAATAATGCATAATTATCAAAATTAACAATTTCCGCGCGTTTGTATCGTTATTAATTATCAAATTATTGATTCAACATCTTTCTGGACTAGTAATAATATTTCGATCATACGAGATGTACATTATCAGCTTTTCTACCTCTTTGTACAAATAAGAGAAGAAGAAACCGCAACGAGAAGTTTGATAAAACAGAAGATACGGAATGACCTCTCGATAACATCCAATCGTTCATCCGTCGAAAATTAAGAAACTTTCTGATGTTAGGGATGGTCCACATAGATTTAGAAGAGAAAATCTAAACTTATTCCACATATCTATTTGTTGATTCTTCCATAAATTGCCCTTTGAACGATTTTTCATACTTAAATATTTCTAAATATAATATAGCACAATATGGATGAAATACAAATGACAAGTTTCTAAAGCATTTTTATTTTATTTTAACTTTAAATTTATATTTATAATCTGCGATAAAAATTCAAGGTACAAATCTGTTCATAATTTTATGTGTTGCATCTCAATATATATCCCGCATATCTTAATATATTATAATATTGTTAATATGTTATAATATATATATATATTGTACATTATGTTTTTATTTCTCAGAATGTGTTTTCTATATTAAACGATATATAAAATTAGAAATAAAATTTTATTTCGAATTTTGCATGAATATATTTATAATAGATTGTGGATTTTCTGAAAAGTATATTCAAGATTCATGTTCTAAATTAGATTCGATCAAAATTGATTTTTTTCTTCATAATATAGCGACTTTTCTTCATAAATTTTGCTTTTCTTCAGGTATGCGATTATTGTGATCTTGATAATCCCGAGAAGAGACATCCACCTGAATATGCGGTTGATGGCATGGAAACTTGGTGGCAGTCGCCGCCTTTATCCAGAGGGATGAAGTACAACGAAGTGAATCTGACGATTGATCTGGGACAGGTATAAACTTTTGTCATATAAAAGTTTGTACAAGAACTATTGGTAGCGTATTAAAAAGATTCGTTCATTCAGACAGAAGCGACAGGAAATGATGAGAAACGCGATTCTTTTATCGACGACATAAATATTTCTATCGTGTAGAGTAGGCGTTTTCCTGCAAGTGGGAAGATTTATCTAAGATCCACTTCCGGAGAATGATGGCAAGTTCGAGTTTCATAAACAGAGAGAAGTGAAAGAAAATTATATCAACTATTTCATCTCCAACAATGTCATCGTTTTATTAATTGTTGAAAATTATGGCATATTTTTTCTCTAAAACTTCTTCCCAATTTTATCTTTTTATTAAAAGATTAGTTAATTTTTATTTACAATTAATAAAAGTAATTATAAGCACTAAATTATATTGTATCTACGCATGAATTCATTTTTTAATATAAATTATTTTGATATTTTTTTCCGCATAATTTTCATTAGCAAGTAATATAGTCAGATTTCACATAGTTAATAACTGTTATCACGAGTACAATTTATCTTCATAGCTGCAACGCACTGGAGGCTGTCACTCTGCTAATCATCTTCTTAGAAAGGCTCATTTACACCGATGTTTTACCGTGTCTGCTCCTCTTTCTTTCTCTCTTTATTCATCTCTTCTCTCCCTTCACTAAATTATCTGCGTCAGCGATTTTTTAAATCATATTTCGTCTCCCATTTATCCTGACATTATAATATATATAATAATATATACTCTACAATTTTTTAAATCTATTATCTCAAAAGAAAATAAATTTTTTCTCTCTCTTTTTCTTCATTTTCTCTCTTTCTTAAGTCTGCAACTTGATATTTCGGTAGAAGTTCTTAAAGCATCGCAACCCTGCACATCTGGCATTCAGTCTTCTCGGCTTTTGCTCTGGGTTCCTATTATTCTGTCTGAAATAACGAGAACGCACAAAATGGGTCTAATTGTAAGACTCAAATAAATTAAGCGATAAAATAATGTAACAATTAACGCAATATAAGAATGTTTTAAGAAAAATTAAAAATTATAAATGTTTATTTAAAAAAGATATAAAGGCTAAATTAAAATTAAGGAAATGAAAGAAATTTAATCGGTGAAATTCAAACATTTGGATGTGTACTTATATTTTTTTAAATTTGATTTTTTTTTCATGAAAGGAATTTCATGTAGCTTATGTCTACGTACGAATGGGCAACTCTCCCCGGCCAGGACTCTGGATCCTGGAGAAATCGAAGGACTACGGTAAGACTTGGTCGCCCTGGCAATATTTTTCGGATTCCGCCAGCGACTGTTTGACGTATTTCGGCGTCGACAGCCACAAACCGATCATTCGAGACGACAGCGTGATCTGCACAACCGAGTTCTCGCAAGTTGTCCCGCTCGAGGGCGGCGAAATCCCGATCTCGATCCTGAATAACCGACCTTCGGCGAAGCACTACTTCAATTCGACCCTGCTGCAAGAATGGACGCGGGCGACCAATGTCCGTTTCCGCTTTCTAAGGACGAAGAACTTGCTAGGTCATCTGATGTCCGTCGTTCGTCAGGATCCCACCGTTACGAGGAGAGTAAGTGCGGTTTCACTTACGCAACTTTTATTTTATATATATTGTGTAATAATATAATAATAATAAATAAAATTAAGATTTAGAAAGACAGGGCCAACTATAACGAGCATATTAAATTAGTGAGAGATGTAATGTTAACACATAATTGATTTATTTCTTAGTAGATACAATGATAATAAAATTAATAAAACGTTTCGGCTGTTACCTCAGCCTTCTTCAGTAAATATAAAAACAATAAAAATTCTTTTAAGAAAAATTATGACATATTACGCATTAGAGTCTATTTTTTAATGAACATTTTGGTTTAATAAGTCGATGAATTTAAATTGGGTTACGCTTATAACATTTATTAAATTAGATATTTTTTCTAATCGGCTAACCATTTTTTAGTTAAGATGGTAAACTTTTTGATTATGTCAAAAAACATGTAAACGAGTTCCCTGTTGTTAGTAGAACAGGTTGACGGCCCATTCCACGTCATCAATTCTTTTGAACATTATTAGTTAAAATTATCGTTATAGTTGGCCCTGTCTTTCTAAATCTTAATTTTATAATATCACACGAGCCTTGTCTTTAAATATCTAATTGTTTTCCTTATTAAATAATAAATAATATAATAAATAATATAATATAATAAGAATGATGATGAGAGAAAGCATTAAAAAATAAAATTAAATATTTAATTTTAATGTTTATTGCTGATATAAGTTCGATTTTTAGAAATGTCATTTGCCTGTTGCAGTACTTTTATTCAATCAAGGATATCAGCATTGGCGGTCGCTGCATGTGCAACGGACACGCGGACATCTGCGACATTCAGGATCCTAATATGCCAAAGAAACTAGTCTGCCGGTGCCAACACAATACTTGCGGACCTCAGTGCGCGACTTGTTGCAAGGGCTTTGAGCAGAAGAAGTGGCGGCAGTCCACGGCATCTAAGAAATTCATATGCGAACGTAAGAAATAATTTACTTCTTACTTGGAAAGAAAATTTACTGCTCTAATAGAGAGTTTGCAATAGTAAAATTTGTAAAGAGTGCTAATTTTTTTATTTACTTCAAAAATTATTTTGCCGAATCGGCAAATAATATTTCGCTATAATAACAAATTGTTTTGCAACAGCAAATGTATTTATTGAAGGTAAATTAGTTAGCTTTAGCAACATATTCATGTTTTTTTATGAATATGAAATTATTTCCTCGAATATTTATCTTTCTTTAAATTGTCTTTTATTTAAATACATATTGAATTATTTTGCAGCTTGCAACTGTTTCGGACACTCGGACGAGTGCATCTATGATCCGGAGATGGACGAAAAGCACTTGTCGCTGGACATTCACGGTAATTATGAGGGCGGTGGTGTATGTCAAAATTGCAAGCACAACACCGAGGGCATCAATTGCAACCGCTGCAAGCCGAGGTTTTATAGGCCACGTGACAAACCGCTCAATGCGACCGACGTATGTCAACGTAAGTCCACTTTAAGTGAACTAGGAACTGATTCGCGATATTTTCAAAGTTTTACAAGACTTATCGCGTGTTCAATTTAGCCTGCGACTGCGATTACTTTTATTCGACCGGAAACTGCGCCGACTCCACCGGGAAGTGCGAATGTCGGGAAGAGTATGCACCACCGAACTGCGACTCCTGTAATTACGGATACTTCGGATACCCCACTTGTCGACCCTGCGAGTGCCACTTACAGGGCACCGATGGTTATCACTGCGAAGCAACGGACGGTTATTGTCCTTGCAAGCTGAATTACGCCGGTCACTATTGCAATCTCTGCGCGGAGGGATTTTACAAGTTCCCCGATTGCTTACGTGAGTGAATCTCTTCGAAGATCTGTATTGTATTTCGATAAAATTCAAGATCAAATATTATCTTAGAAGATAATTACAATTTCAGCTTGTGCTTGCAATCCTCTGGGCGCCCTGAACGACGTTTGCGACGTGGTATCCGGAAACTGTACGTGCAAGAACAACTATGGCGGCAGAACGTGCGACATTTGTGAAGATGGTTACTTCAATTATCCTCTTTGTACATGTACGTTATCATTTTAATTTACTTTTACATTTCATGAAAAGTTACAGTATGGTAGATATTGTTAGACTGATATTTTATCAATTCCAATAATATAATTTAATTTAGCATTTGCTTCCGATGATAATCATCTTTCTCATCATCTTCCTAATTATAATTATAAAATACTTTTCTATACCGATACATATAGATATTTAAAAAAATAATTAGGTGTTTAAATTATTTTAAATAACTTTCTTGATAATTTTTAATAAAGTTTTTTTTTCTATGAGAGTGCGCATAAATTTAGAAGCAATATATATATATATATATATAAAATTAGAAATATATATTACGCCAATATTAAGGATGATTTTTTTTGTAACTTGCAGATTGCAATTGCGATGCACGCGGAACGGAGCCTGGTATTTGTGACAAGAGTGACGGTGTTTGTTTGTGCAAGGAAGGATACGGCGGCGTTAGATGCGACCAATGCATTCCCGGATATTACGGTTATCCCAATTGCAGACCGTGCAACTGTAGCTCCGTCGGCTCGTCAACCGTCAGTTGCGATTCTGCAGGCAAGTGCAGGTGCCTCGCCAATTTCGCCGGAAGGACTTGCAATCAATGCAGTCCAGGATATTACAAATACCCGGAGTGCATCGGTATGTGAATTACGTCTATTACATACAAAAGAATTTCTGTACATTTAGTATTTTTTATTGTCTTTATAAGTAGCTTATTAATCTCTAAATTATTTAATTATTTTATATTTTATTTTATGAATCAAATTATATATATAATTAATTAATATTATATCTATATCTATACATATATATATTATATATATAATTATAATTAATGTATATAATATATAGATATTGTTAATTAAAATTCTTGTAATTTTTTGACTTCAGCATGCAATTGCGACAGCCACGGCTCGATCGGCGTGTCCTGTGATGGCGAAGGTAAATGTCAATGCCGCGAAAACTTTGATGGTATTCGATGCGACCAATGCAAAGAGGGTTACTACAACTTCCCCACCTGCGAGGGTTGCAACTGCGATCCGGCCGGCATAGTTGCGACCTTTCAAGGTTGCGGCTCTCTACCGCCCGGTGAACTTTGCCAGTGCAAGGACCGGGTCGAGGGCAGGATATGCAACCAATGTAAGCCGCTCTATTGGAATCTGCAGCCTTACAATCCGGATGGTTGCGAAGGTTTGTGTATATGATATGAATGAAAAGGTTTATATTATAATTATTTTGTTACATAAAGCGTTATATAAATGTATATATATATTTGTATTTAAAAGAATGCCAGTGTAACATTCCCGGAGTCGTTGGCAGCATCGGCGAGTGCGACACTAAGACCGGACAGTGCATATGCAAACCCAGTGTGACAGACAGAGGATGCAGTCGATGCGTCGATGGAACGTACAATCTTCAGGAAAGCAATCTCTTCGGTTGTTCTGGTAAGTCGAATCAACTACCTTCTATTCCATAATCCAATTAAATATCTAATGCAATATATCCTCGTTATTTTTTATTAAGATTGTGCTTGCGACATCGGTGGTTCCGTGAATCTGATATGCGACAAGCAGACTGGTCAATGTCCTTGCCAACCGCGGGTGATGGGTCTAACGTGTAAGGAACCCTTGAAGGCGCACTATTTCCCTACTCTTCACCAGTATCAATACGAAGCCGAGGACGGCAGAACTCCCAGCGGCAGTGCCGTCCGCTATGGCTTTACGGAAGATCTCTTCCCAGACTTCAGTTGGAAAGGTTACGCCGTGTTTTCCACCCTGCAGGACGAGATCGTGCTAGGTGTAGGTATCGGCAAGTCTTCACTCTACCGGATGGTACTGCGCTACGTGAATCCTAATAACGAGCCGATCCTCGGCACCATCACTATCACCCCTGACAATCCGTCCGAAGTAGAGCAACAGTTTAAAGTCAACTTCAAACCGACCAGCCAACCGGCCTTCGTAACAGTCGCCGGAGCGCATGGTAATCATCCCTCACCCATGGTGATGGATCCTGGACATTGGTCTATCAAAATCGCTACGAAAAAGAGTTTGTTCCTCGACTACTTTGTTCTATTACCATCTGAATATTACGAGGGTGGCATACTAACACAAGATGTGAACGTGCCCTGCGAAGTCGGCTACAAAGGACTCTGCAGACACTACGGATATCCAAATCTAACGCGGTTTGACTCGGTTCACGGCGGCGGGGGCTTCCTCAGCAAGAACGATGTCCGAATTCCATTGACCGAATACTTCACTGATCGCGAAACTCTGCAGGAGATCGACGAGGAAGAGGTACCGCTTATTAATAATCAGCAAGAGGAGATCCACTTTGAACTGAGAATTAGCAAACCTGGTCCCCATGTTCTCGTGGTGACTTATGTTACTCCGCGAGATGAGCGGGCCACGTCGGTGTTGTTAATCGAGGCCAATACTGTTGGCAAGGGTAAAGTCACTCTAAACCCCTGCAGATATACTAGCACCTGCCGACAAGTCGTCACCGATGCGTATGGTAAAGTAGCCGTCATGAACTTCCCATCAAATTATGTCAGCTTGGTGCTGACCGGCGAGCCAACTTCGAATGTCGCGATCGACTCGATAGTGGCAATTCCTTATTATCAGTGGTCGCTGGATTACGTGAAACCCAAATCCACATGTGTAAGGAAAAATGGCAAGTGTGTACAGGGACTGTTCCCTGGCGCCGCCGATGCCAAGAAAATCGAGTTTGAGACATCTAGCGACGTTCTCGAGGCCAAATATCGACCTTCTGGCATTTACGATAACGCTACTAAATTGATTTATTTGGGTGATGACGATGCGATGGTGGATATTCACGCGAATGTATCTCACCAGGGAGATTATGTCTTCGTGATACAGTATTATCAACCAGATCATCCTGAGTTCGAGTTGGACGTGTTGGTGCAGAATGGCAAGTTCTATGAAGCGAAGGTGCCGGTGTCCCATTGTCCCAGTAACAGCGGCTGCCGCAGCATTGTACGTCAGATCGACGGTGATGGAATTAGATTCCAGTTGATTGAGAACTTTGTACTGACACTGAAGGAGCCCGGCGACGGCCGCGGCATCTGGCTGGACTATGTCCTGGTGATCCCGGCGGATCAATACAATGAAAAGATCCTCGACAAGCTACAGTTTGATCGGACCAAGGAGTTTATCAAACGCTGCGGTAGCAATCACTTTTACATCAATGTCACCGAGGACGGCTTCTGCCGCGATTCTAGCTTTTCGCTCACGGCCAATTACAACAACGGTGCGCTGCCGTGTAACTGCGACGTCGATGGCTCTACCAGTTTCGAGTGCGACAAATTCGGCGGTCAATGTCCCTGCCGACCGAATATTATAGGCAGGCGATGCGAGATTTGCCGAACCGGTTTCTATGGCTATCCCAGATGTAGACCTTGCAACTGTCCTGCGCTCTGCGAGCCAAATAGTGGTAGATGTATCTGTCCGCCGCGAGTGACAGGTCACCGATGCGATCAGTGCGAGGTCGGCACCTACGGATTTCATCCAATTATCGGGTGCGAGGAGTGCAACTGCTCGCCTCTAGGCGTCCTGGACGGTGACCTGCAATGCGATCTGCTCGATGGCGGCTGTCGTTGCAAGGAGAATGTGGTGGGTCGTCAGTGCGACCGTTGTCACGCCGGCTACTCGCAATTCCCGTATTGCGAGCGCTGCGACTGCGACTTGCGTGGCACCACCGGTGACATTTGTGATCAGTACACAGCCGAGTGCTTCTGCAAGGCGAACGTCCAGGGCCTGGCGTGCGACGTGTGCCGTGAAGGCACCTTCGACATTCAAGCCAACAACGAAGACGGCTGCACCAAGTGTTTCTGCTTCGGCAAAACCACCAGGTTGTTACATTTGGCATTTGCCATTACAATTATTATCTATGATTATACTTTCAGTTTCTTTTCTATACTTTTATTAGTTGCTTAGAAAAAATATTACATATATATTATATATCTTTTATAATTAAAATATCGTCATTTACTAGATGCGCCTCCGCGAGCCTTTACTGGACTCACCTCATGGACATGGTCGATTGGGAAATAGTAGCGCCCACAGACAAGAACGGCAATTTCACTATTCTGTCGACTTATCCAGCGGAGAACGCCACTACAATTACAGTCTCACTCACCGCCAATGACACCTTCGAGAACGTTGTCTATTTCTCGGCGCCCGAGACTTATCTTGGCAAAAAGTTGACCTCCTACGGCGGCTACTTCAACTATACCGTCTACTATAGTACGGGACCCTTCGGCAAGGCTGTCAGCGCCGCCGATGTGGTTCTTCAGGGTGCCGACACGACTTTGTTCTACTACTCTGACGAACAGCCGCCATCCTTTGTAAACTTTAGATCATCCGTCCATCTCGTAGAGACTAATTTTTTAACTAGCAACAGACTCAGCGCTACAAGAGAACAGATTATGGTGGTTCTGGAGAATCTACGTGGAATATACGTGCGTGCTACATACTGGAATCCCAGCCTCATCGCGTCGTATGTATCCGCGACAGTTTTATATATATCAAGATCATATTGATGAATCAATCTTATTCTTTTTTATTTTTATATCTTTACAGATTAGCGTACGCAACTTTGGATGTCACAACGGAACAATATTCGGCTCAATATAGCGTTCCGGCCAGCAGCGTCGAGCAGTGCCAATGTCCACCCAACTACCAAGGACTTTCGTGCGAAGAATGCGCACCAGGATATTACAGAGTCAAGTCAGGACCGTATGGAGGATATTGCGCACCGTGTCAGTGCAACGGTCACGCGGCTACATGCGACGTAGACACAGGGATCTGTCAGGTGCGTTGAAGGAGACGAATCTTCTTGGAATAAAATGCCTAGATATTTTTGATAAGGGGAAGCTAAATTCTCTTTCTCTAATATCTCGCAGAATTGCAAGAACGGCACCATCGGCGATCATTGCGAGTTCTGCGAACAGGGTTATTACGGTAACGCCACAGTGGGAACACCGACGGATTGTTTGATTTGCGCCTGCCCGCTGCCAGTCGCCTCCAACAATTTTGCCACCGGCTGCGAGGTAAACGACGAAGGCAATAAGATAAGCTGCGACTGTCTACCTGGATACTACGGTGCACGTTGTGAGGCCTGCGCCGCCGGTTTCTACGGTAATCCTGAGATATACGGCGACTACTGCAAACTGTGCGAGTGCTCCGGCAACATCGACACCAACCAGATCGGCTCGTGCGACAGCATTACGGGCCAGTGTCTACAATGCTTAAATAACACCTACGGCGAGGCGTGCAATTTGTGCGCACCCGGTTACTTCGGCGACGCCGTGGAGCGGAAGGACTGTCGCAGTTGTATGTGCGACGACTGCGGGATGGAGCACTGCGACAGCTACAGCGGCCAATGCTTCTGCCAAGAGAACGTGATCGGGGAGAAATGCGATCGCTGCGCGCCCGATCATTATGGCTTCAGCAGCTGCGAAGGCTGCAGGCTCTGTGATTGTGGTTTGGCCTCGGAGAGCAGTCAGTGCGACGACGAGACGGGACAGTGCAAGTGTATGCCGGGCGTCACCGGTCGCAGATGCGACCAGTGCATTCAGGGATATTGGGATTACGGACTGGACGGATGCACATGTAAAGTTGTTTTCTTAAGTTACTTAATTAGTTGATTGTTCTTATAAATCGTTCAGTTTTATAGAAGCACAAAGAAATCACGTTAGATTACTAGACAATCTTAGATCCTTCAATTATGTTGAGCAATAATTTCTTACGATTAATCGAAATTTGCTCGAATTAAGATTAAAATCGTTTCATATTTATCTATTTTAGCTTGCGAATGTCATACTGGTTATTCCGTCGGCGTATCTTGCAATACAACTACCGGCCAGTGTACTTGTCTACCTGGTGTGATTGGTGAAAAGTGTGACCATTGCCCATATCGACACGTGCTTATTCCGGCACAGGGTTGTTTCTCCTGCGGTTCTTGTACGGGATATCTTCTGGATGTCACGGACGATTTGGAAGATTTATTGCAGCCTATCTCACGCGAATATAGTGTAAGCAAAAATGATCATATCTCTTTTGTAAATATTATATGTATATGCATTAAAAAAAAAAAAAAAAAAAAATATATATATATATATATATAATTTAAAAGGTGTATTTCAATGCACTTTCAGACTGTTGCAGAAGGTTACTTTACAAACCAGCGACTCAAGTTTATCAACGATACGGCCAACGAACTTTATCCCGAAGTTGAATTGCTGGATCCAAGTCGGCCAAATTTGCTGCCGTTACAGGCGAAACTAGAACGATTAGAGCACGACGTGTACAACCAGAAACGACAGATTGATTTCACCGCTGAGGACAGTATCAAGTGGAAGGACAGCGCGGAGGACACGCTGCGAGACATGAACACTCTGGAGGATGACGTGGTACAGAAGATCAATTTGGTAAATCAGATCGTATCGGAAGTGCAATCGTTGGTGTTGAATATCGAATTAGGAACAGGCGCCAAGGTCGACAATGCGCTAAATGAGGCGAAGGAGATTCTAAAGAAGATCAAAGACGTCTCCTTCATCAAGTTCCGAGATAACGCTGTGGATCAAGCGGACCACGCCAACATTTTGGTTTCCGAGATGCAGCAATACAACTTTCCGGTCAACAATTTGAGCTCCGCTGCGTTCGATCTCAGCAACAGGATCAAAAACGCCAGCGCCAAGATGGATGATTTGCTAGATATCGCGCAGACGGCTCAAAGACAGGCCAGTGCGGTCGATAAGTTGAATCGGGAAAACAGAATCGCAGCGCAGACCGGCAACTTGGACGTGGTGAAAAACTCTACGGCCGAGGCAAGGGAAGACTTAGAAGCCGGCGAAGAGCTCAACAGAAATGCCAGCCAATTTCTTGAGGACGCTAAAGCAAATATTGATATTCTGCGTAAGTGTCATCACTTCTTCTCGATGAGCTTTGTCGATAAATGCTTATGAAAGTGATGGAAAAATTGTTGTCTCTTTTAGAAACCAATGCCGTTGCCGACACGGCTGCTCAGCTGAACAACACCATCGTCCAGAACGATCAAATGTTGATCGAGCAGATTGAGCCGGTACAGAAGGCTAAGTCTCATGCGGCATATTTGTACAATCATTCGTTGGAACTGGACAGTTTGCTAACTGACACTCGCAATACTGATGCGGTGAGAGCCGTTTCGGCGTACAGGGACATCGAAATCGCGATTCAAGCCGCGAGAGATGCTGCGGACGACGCTGCAATCGCTGCTAAGAATGCAACATCGCTGGTACGGGTCTCAGTATAATCTATCATACCTTGATTTATTTATTTATTTGAATTAAATTGGAGCTTTGATTAATTTTTTATGTATATTATTTTATTTATTTAGTCCGGTGGAATCGAGCAAAAACTGCTAGATTCTCGGCAAGAATGCTTTAGGCTGTTAACTGCTGCACAACACGCTCTAACAAATACAACAGAACAGTCCGAGAATGAATTACGAGATGCAAGAAACAACGCGACTCTGATCGACAATCAAAATAAACGCAATAAGGAGATTCTCGATTCTGTCGACAAGTACAATAATTTCTTTCATTATTTTAATTTCAAAAAAGAGGAAGTTTTATTTATTTTTATAAATATATAAAATTACTAAAAAAGGTTAAATATATATTATAATAGGGTATATTGTAAAAAATAAGTGCATTGAAAGACTTTTATATAATTCATTTTGTCACAAATAAAATATTTAATTATTTGTATGTTATAATATTTATATAAATGAAATTATGAAATTCTAGGATCCTCAGCAATATTCCTTCACAATCATCTTCAGTCGCGCATGACGCCATGAATCAAGCGGTGAATGTGGAACGCAATATCATATTTGCCATCGACAACATGAACGGTATTGTGGATCGAATTCCGGAAGATCTGCGGGAGACGAAGCAGTTGTCAAAGAATACGTCGGAGTCGATCCGCGACATTTCGCAGGCAAATAAGCAGCTAGATATTGTCGACAAAGTGATGCCAAATATCACCAGTCTATTAAACAGTTTAAATGACAATCAAAAATCGATTGATACGATCGGGAACGATTTGCAAAACAAGATCGAGGCTTTGAGGAACAAGATCGCAAACGCGCGAGAGCTAGCAAATCGATACAAGACTGGCTTGACCTTCTACAGGAACACCACTCTGGAACTGAAGAATCCAGAGAATCTGCCGTTAGTAGCCACATCTACCAAGATATCCCTGTATTTCAGGACTAATAACACCAACGGTTTTCTGTTGTACCTCGGCAACGAGGAAAAGACGAAATTACCGCGCTCTAAGACGGTGAGTCCAATGGCGAATCTGATGAAATAATCGTACAAATGTGGATGAAAAAATAATAACAATATTTTATATTTCGCAGCATGATTTTATGGCGCTGTTGATCGAGAGCGGATATCCTGTGCTTATAGTCGATTTGGGTTCTGGGCCCGAGAGGATAATTCATAATAGATTCGTATCGGATAACATATGGCGGCAGATAATTATCGAAAGGTTAGCATCGATTAATTTAGCTTTAGTTGATTCGGAAAAAGAATTTATATCAATGTTCCTTAAACTTCCTCTTCCAGGACCGGCAAGAACGTTAAGTTGATTGTTCGCGAAGATATCGGTGAAGGCAAGGACATGTTATACGAGAAGGAGCGAGTACTATCGGGCTCTTATTACATCTTCAACGTGGATGACGAACATTCGAAGTTGTTTGTCGGTGGATATCCGTCATCCTTCCACATTCAAGACGCCGTAACTGCATCCTCATTCGAAGGCGAGATGGAAGAACTGGTAATAGGCGATATACCGGTGTCCTTCTGGAACTTTGTCGACGGCGAAAACAATCGCAAGAGTGCGTTCGAGCGCGACAAGCTCATCAACTTTGCGCCGAGCAGAGGATATCGCTTTGATCGACATGGATACGCGATTCTCAGTAAAAGAGCTTCGCAGATTACACTGGACATCAGGAAGTTTATCATCAAACTATCCTTTAAAACCTTTGCGGAAGACGGACTGATTTATTTAATGGGCAAAGGCAGACAATTCTTGTCGCTGGAAATGAGACAAGGCCGAGTGTTGTATCAGTTTGATCTTGGCGAGGGTGAAATTACCATGAAATCCGTCGACAAGTATAATGATGGTAACTGGCACACTTTAGAGGCCATCAGACAAGACACAATGGGTGCGCTCAAGATCGATGACCACACGGTCGCTTCAAGACAAGAGAAAGGAACCACCAAACCTTTAGCCACATCGGATCACATCTATTTCGGTGGATATCCACCTAACGCAAAGCATCATTATCAGTCAGTCACCAGCAGCGGCTTCGAAGGTTGCATCGACAATGTTAATATCCTAGACACTTCAGTCGATCTCACTCGCAATGTCCAGGCATTCGGAGTCATGCCTGGTTGTCCAGTCAGGGTAATTGGACAATTTCTATTTGAGGAACTCTTAACTTCTCGAATTATTATTCGCCTTATTATCGTTAACTCTTGAAATGATCTCTTTCAGTTCGCCAGCCTCGTCTCTTTCGAGAAGCATCTACCCGGCTACGTGAGATGGCGCAACTTGGAATCCAACGGTTTCCAAGTGAATCTTAAATTCCGAACTTTAGCCAATGATGGTTTGATCTTCTACGCGACCAACGATGACCAAGGAAACGCGGCCATCAGTTTCTTATCGCTGATAGATGGCCAACTGGTATTCAACAGTCAGGGCGAGGTGCTCAGGACCAACCCGTCGGACGTCAAATTCAATGATAATGAGTGGCACGTAGTAACCGCCACTCACAGCGAATCGGCTCTCAGCCTTGACATCGATGACATGAAGAGTTACAGCACCGACTCGGCGCCGCCAGCTTTGCACTTCCTCTACGGCAGTCTGTACATCGGCGGACTGCCATTGACTGTTTTGACTGTCGAACCTATCGACGCTGTGCCCTTCGTCGGCTGCATCGGCGACGCGACAATTAACAGCGAGATCATTATCAATTTCGCTAACACGACTGAGAGGCCGCACGCGTTCCTAGGAAAGTGCAAGGGCGGTGAACAGACGCGTACGTTTAAGCTCCGTGAATAGCACCCCCAAATGCGAATTTTTATAAAATTCTGATAGCATTTGTTTGTCCACCTTCCAAAACAAAGTTATGAAAAAAAAGGTTTTCGAAAAAATTTCATCACTAGCACCTCATGAAAAGATTTCTTTAATTTCAAAGCACCAAACGATTATCCAAGATTAGTCCACGTTTGTCCACTAAAAAGTTTTGTTTGTCGTATTTGGGAGTGCTAATTTTACAGAGCTGTATGTTTACACTATTGTGAATCATTCTTAAAAACCATATATTCTATATTTAATTGCTTCGATCTCGTTTATTTTAGCCTTACCTCCGGTCGTTGAACCTGAATTTTTGCCACCGTTATTGCCATCGGAGGTTTCCGAGGATACGGTGGAATCGTCGACTCAAATCAGTAAGCTAAAAATTATACAATAATAAAGCGAAATGATTTTTCTCAGGAAATTAAAGTCATACTTTATTACGAGTACTTGTAATACATAATAAAAATACATGCATTCTTTTAGACATCGTAGACGTCGATATAGACAAAGATGACAATGTGTGGGAAGAACCTAAGTTAGAAGGGCGAATTATTGATAAAGACGATGTCACTACCACGGCTACCACGCAGCAGCCTCAAACTGTCGATGAATGTAAATTGCCATATTACCCAGTAGTGGATTCTGATGTCAAAAATTCTTGGCGATTTGGTATGCATTTTTTTTAAATCATGAAAAAAATCATAGATGGAAATATTACATTCAATTTTGATAAATTTATGTTAAATCAATCTTACAAAATTTTTGCAAATAATTAATAATTATTTTTAGGTGTCGCGAAGAACAGTAGATTAGAATATAGGACGCTGAAGGGAAGATACAAGGACGATTACGACTTCCAGATCGATATAAAGACAACAGAGGAAAGTGGAATTATATTCTACGCTTCCGGTCTCAATAACGTGAATTTGATCGCCGTGTACGTGCACAACGGAAAGGTAAACGAAAGTAATTTTATTTACACAGCAAAATCTTGCTCATCTCTATCGTGGAATATTCTTTAAGGTTCATTATGTATTCAACTGCGGAAGCGGATCAGCGTTATTGGAAAGCGAAAAGAAGATCAACGACAACAAGTGGCACATAGTGGTCTTCAAAAGGGAAGGTAATTTTGGTTCGCTGACTGTGGACGAGGAGAAGCCGATATCGGGATACTCGCTGGGAGACCGCACAACTATCAACGTCAATCCACCGTTCTTCGTGGGTGGCGTTTTGCCGGAAATATCCAATATCGTGTATACAAATATTGTGAGATTACCAGATTAATTTTTTTGAAAAAAAATATTTAAGGATTGCAAAAGTGTCTGATATAAATCTTTCAAAATTCTTCCAGGGTACCAATAGGACGTTTAACGGTTGTCTAGCAAATTTCATGTTGAATGGACAAACTGTCGGAGAACCATCCGAGAAAGTAGGCGTAATACCTTGCTGGAAGGAAGCCGAGTCTGGTCTCTTTTTCTTCCCAGGAAACGGAAGTAACTTGTACAAAGCAGGTGAGCGTTCGATATATCTCAGAAAAACATTTTTGTATAGTTAATCGAAAATTATCATTCAAAACAATCTTAATTTTCAGTCGACAGATTCAACGATATAGGCCAACTCGACATCCAGATGGACATAAAACCGCGCTCAACGTCTGGACACTTGCTATCAATCCACGGTAAGAAAGACTATCTCGTGATAGAGATGATCAACGGTGCCATCAAGTTCCTCATAAAGACGCAAAAGGGCTTAATCGAGACCTCGTATGAGCCAACGAAACCAAACTTCTTGTGCGACGGTAGCTGGCACAATATTAAAGGTATAAAGTTACACATATTTAATTTTGTTTGTTACAAGGTGTAAAAAAGATCAGTTTCGAAAATCCTTTTAAATTTTAATTTTTTAACCACTTATTTTTATTAATCTAGATTAATCTTAAATCGACTAGTTTTACGATTATTGTCCTTTTTTTTAAACAGCTGTCAAACAGAAGAACGCGATGGTGCTGTCAATTGATCACAACGCGGCACCACCCTCAATTAGTGGCAAAAATGTGGGCAGGGTCATGTCACGGCAGCCGATATACATCGGTGGCCACTTGCTGCTGAAAAGTGGACTGCAAGGCAGTACCTCACAGGCTCAATACGTCGGTTGCATAAGGAACATTCGGATCAACTCGAAACCCATCGGCATCAGGCCCGAGCGAGCCTATGGACAAGTCGTCGCCGGTGTGTGTCCGATTAATTAAAACGATCGAAAGAGTGAATTTGAATCTGAAATTATCATCTTTTCTGTTCTCCAAAATATCGTTTTTATTAATCTCTATTAATGCCTATGCATGCAAAAGATAACAATAGAAATAAATCCATGAAAATCTGTACTTATATAGATCCGTTAGTTTTTCTCTTTCTTAGGAAAAATATTTTCTCAATTTTTCCTAAAAGTTATGTGAAAATAAGTTACTTGTACAGGATGAAGAAACTTTGTAATACCAAAGATATATGATTTAATAAAAAAATTTTAGTTATATATACATATATATAGATGGGAAATTTTATACGGAAAAGGACGCAAGTCAAAAACGAGATTAGAATATTTATAAAATTCATAAGCGTTTTATTCTTTATGAATATATATATATATGTGTATTCTGTAATATATTTGTGCGTTATCGCGCACTCGGCACATCTTGTAAATAAATCCAAATTCTAATACATAATAAATTCTAAAAAATTCGTTTTCGGTTCGGAGATTTTTTTTTATTCAGTCTTGTGACACCGTTTAATATTACTTAAAATCATCATTCTTAAATCACACTTGTCTCTTCGTCAAAGTATGTACAATGCCGCTTCGCTATAATGATCGTACTTTAAATTATTTTGTAATTTTATAACGCAATATAAAAAAGGAGAACTTTAATAAAAGTGCAATGAATAAATGCGTGTTTGCCATAAAAATCGTGCCGAATATAGCGTAGATCACATGCAATCTCATAAAAATGCAATCGTGGAAATTATAAAAATGAATTTGTATAAAAATGAAAATTATATCAACTTAACAACAGAATAAATCACACCTTTTGAAAAATAATTGATTAAAAAATGTCATGTAAATGTAATTTAGAAAATGATGCATATATGAATCTTTTTATTGTAAAAGAGTTAGAAATTGTAATGATCGCGTTTGATATTTGAAAAATTCAAGTCTCGAAAGAGTGTAAAAAAAGCATCATTCACTAAACCATAATTCACAGCTATGGAAGCGATTCTTGCAACGTCTAACGCTAATAGCATTCCGTCAATATATTGCTGATATGCTGTATTTGCCAATAGAGGTCACACGTATTACTTGTTTGACCGATTTAGTCATGTTACATATAATTAAGGACGCGATTTTATTGCGAATATAGTGTTCGCAAAGTGAGAAAAAAATAAAAATATAAGGTATATTAAATCACTTATGATATGTAAAAATCTGATTTATTATAATTATTATATATACTATATGCATATAATCAGCCTGTGTTTATCGCGAATTTTCTTACTACAATCTCTAAGATGTATAATATTAAGCTTAAAACTCTAATTTATGTCCAAGTTCGGTATTTCACGATTAGTGATATTTATCAGGCAATATAATTTATCGGCAAAAAAGTACAAAAAAGAGTACACGACTCTCTCTTTTTTCTCTCTCTCTCTCTTGCTCTCTTTCTCGCTTTTTAATATTTAGTATATTCGTATTTGATATCATGATTTTTATTTTGAAGACTTATTTGAAGTAATTAACAGGATGAGAAGTTTTCCCTTTCAACGTATTTAAATATGGCTATCCTATCTCTTTTATTGTGTTGTGAAAATAAATTACAAAATTACCTCTCTCATAAAAAAAATAGATTTCTAACAATATGTTGGCTCCTATCTTGTTTTATGTACCAGTACATTATAGCAAGGTAAAAGAAACGACTACACGAAGAAGCATTTGACGTTACGCGACTCGCAAACCATAAATCAGTGCGTTGTGCAATATAAAAGCTAATTGATATGATGATTAATTAATACAGAGTGCCTCACCGCAATGTCAAGTGATAATTCGATTACAATATTTCAAAGTTTTAATCGATTTTGTCTATTTAGCAAAACGGTAGGACACCCTAGTATGAAGATATGACAAGTAAAATTGTGCCATTGATTCGGAGCAATAAAGCTACATATTTCGCGTGCTTCAACAATTATTGACAACAATCATTAGAAAATGCTTGGATTCGTGCGGTATGCGAAAAAAGAATGATGATGATTGTCTATGACAATATAATTTCGAATTTTTGACGGAAAGAAGTTCTAGAAAGTAAGGGTAAGAAAAAGATTGCGAGAAAAATACGACTTTTTTTGACATCACGCATCAAATGTTTAAAAACGAATCATCGTAGCAAATCCGTACTGCATTTCGAGATCTCATGCTTGCATTATTAAATAACTAGCTCTCTTTCTCTCCCTTCAAAATCTTTGCTTATTTCTAAAGTATTATTAGTAAAACATTCACAGACTTCTAAGTATCCGTAAACGATCCTGAAATGAACTGATAAACGGACTGCCGACGAAAAGAAATGTACAATTCGATCGATTGACCGGCCAAAAAGGAGTGGTCGATCATTTATCACGCAATTTCAGGAGGTTTCTCACCGAAGTGGTATATCACAGTGCAACAATCCAGATACTCGATTGAGTTTTCTTGTGTAGGAGCGCGATCGAGATAATCGATGACGGCAAGCTGAATCAAGCGCGTGTATGTTATGTGTTACTTGATGTTACTTAGCGTCTTACCGCATCGATTACAGATCCACTCAATGTATGTATGTAGCAATCGCGCCTCTAGAGTTGCGTATCACATAGGACGACGGTGTGCGCATCATCGTTTGTGTTTGTATGCTCGACAGCTTCGATTTATCATCATCGGAATGCATTCCGCATAACCATTGTAATCTTGGATTTTCAACAGCGAATACATTAAAGAAATTATTCGAGAAAACCGTCCTTGACGATCAGATTTCTCGAATCAATCCTCCAGAGCAATCCGTGTCAAGTCGCAAATGATGAAGGAGCAAATTCCGAAATGCGAGCCCTCCCCATTTGCAAGACGACATTGACGATAATCTTGGCTTTGTCTTACGTTGAATCAATAGTCGTATTCATCTACGATATCCAATGACCCTATTCGATGCCATGCGCAAAGATCATCACTAACCCCGGCTCGACCATCATATCCTCCGGCATGTGCGTGTTATCACAGTGGAGGACCAGCACCGCTTGCTTGCCGGGCACTCTCTTGCACACGTAGTTGTCGTATTGTCGTCGAGAATTCTGTCTGGTCTCGAGGGAATTCAGACCGGGCGGCCACTTCCGCTCGTGGCAGTTCTCCATCAGCTCGTCGATCACGTGAGGCGGACAATTGTACTCCGACAGAGTTCTCTTTATCATCGTCTGTAATAAAAGCAAAATCTCAAAATCCACGGAAGTTACAACGTTTACATCGAAATATCCAAATAGAACAGAAAGTCAAAATGATATCAGTTTTCAAAGTTGATTAGTTTGGACTTTTCTGTTCTGCTTGAGAAGCATACCTCATTAAACATCAAAATGACGCCATTAGACGTCAAACTAACGTTATTAGACATCAACAGTGTTGTTTAGATGATTTTAAAATTAGCTAAAGATGAGATAAAAATATGTAAATTCATCTTAGATAAAGATGAGTTTGTTTTAAACATATTTAGATAAAAAATGAAATTATATAGCGATTCATCTAGATAATTTTGAGATATTATTTTTAAGATTGTTTATATAAACACAGTTATAAAACAATGTAAATTATAAAAGAAATATAAAAATATATGTATTCACATTTTGATTTATAAATTTTTATCGCTTAGTTCTACTATTTAAGTACTTTTATGTGCTATGATTCTAAACCAAAATTATCTGACAATTATTCAAGATAATACTTTTTTCATGTAAGATGCAGACATAAATAATACATATTTTTATATCTATATAAAGATAAAATGACGCGTTTCATCTAGATAATCATCTATATAATTTTACTTAGATAACATCAAGCACTGGATGTCAAACTAACATCATTAGATGTCAAAATGAGGTCAGTTTACTGCTTGGTTTTTCGTTGACTAGTAAATCAACGAACCTGGAGCAACTCGTCGGGGGTGGAGATCATGCCGCCCCATCTAGTAACTCTGGCACGTGGAAGGGTGGCGGACCATCTGACGACCTCGTCCCGCTCCATTTGATCTGCGATGGCACGCATCGCCGGGTTCGACACCCTGAGGGCACGCATAAAGTCCTTGAGCAGATGAATCTCGCGTTTATGCTCGTTGATCTGCAGCTGCTGCTCGCCGAGCTCGCGCTTCATGTCGGCCAGCTTCTGCTGCTGCGACTGTATCAGATTACGCAGCTCGCGCACGCAGTTGTGATCCTTGAGCTCGTTCTTGGGGATGATCAGGCTGCAGCCCTGCTCGCACAGCATTGGTCTCTTGGGATTGTACTCGCACTGTTCGAGATGCGACGCCAGACTGTCCAGTTTAACGATGGCGTTGCACCCGTACACGATGTTGTCGCAATTGATGCACAAACGGGCCAGCAGGTTTCTTAAAATCCTAGGAACCGCTCTCAGCTGTGCGGACGTAATTGGTGTACGGTCTAAGGGACAAGTGGGCTGACGGTTTATCCATTCGTTGATGCAGGAACGACAGAAGGCGTGCTCGCATACTGGTGCCTGCAACACATTGCTCACCTGCAAGTCCTCGTAAGCTGCCACAATTTCATAGAATAGAGACAAGTGTATATAAATTATCTCCGGTGAGAGATGGATCGGAGAGATGTATCCTTGGAGAATAAAGTCATATAAACTGTTGAAAAAAAAAAAAACGTCATACAATCAAATATTGTACAAAGATTCTCTCCAAGAATTAGTAATGATATATGGATGATAGTATGGAAAATACTCAAGTTATACGTCTCCAACATCTTATATACAAATATATTGTATAGAAAACAGTTAAATTTCGAAACAATAAGTACTCATGTAGGAGATATAAATATTGCACGGATAAGCGCAAATATGCTATTACAAGTAATAGTATGCTATTGCAAATATGCTATTACAAGTAACAGTAGCTCTAAACACTGAAAATGAAAAATCAGATTAACCTATATAAGGATACTTAGCCTCTATTTCGAAGTAAGCGGGATACAACAATGACGGAAGCAATGAAGATGAGAAACATCGACCAAAAAGTAACAAAGAGACGCATCTCGCACGAGTTATTAATTATCTGAATGAAAGCGTGCATCGCGCAAAACCACACGAGATCTCGCCACAAATCTGTCAGTTTCTCAATCGCGCACTGCTGAACTTTCCAGACAAAAAATCCGCGAGTCTCTCCTCTAATTCTTTTTTCCTTTTCTCAATCTTATCCTTCTCTTCGAGAAGAAAAAAAAAATTAAAATATTTCCCTCGTTTCCTCTCTCGCATACAACACAACGCGTAGGAAGACGAAACATTTGTTAGGTTAAGCTAGGTTAGACGGAGATCAGAGGAGGATAAAAGACGGACCGCGACGAGATTCCTCTCCCGAAATCCGGATACGAACTGCGCCCTACCTGGACGGGGTCCTCGAGCACGCCGGAACATATTGGGCACACGAGCTCCTCGTCCACGTCGCCCTGGAAGCGGTTCACGTCGAACCCCATCGCGAGCTGATGCGTGTGTCGCCTCCTCGTCGCCTCTCGCGCAATCCTCCTCAGGAACGGACCAAGGAAAGTCAGAGGAGGGAAAAGGAGATAGGCATAAATCGTCTCTAGGAAAAGTCCCCGGGTAAACAATTTTCCCTCTCAAAAATTTTTCTTCGAATATTCGACAATTTTAGATATATTATTTCTATAATATATATTATTTCTATAATATATATATATATATATATATATATATATATATAAAATTGTAATAAAAAAATTTTAATTGCTATTTATATACTTGTATATAATTTTTTCACGTGATTGAGGTAAAATGATGAGGGCCCAAGTAGCAAGTAGCTGAAACGTCAGAATGACATCTGATGACGTCATCGCCGTCAAAGTGACGTATGCTTGCTGTCTGGGGAGTTTCGCGAGAATTCTAAAATATTTATTATTGCAATTCTGTTTCCAGGTAACTAGAAAACTTTTTCACGTGGACTTAGATGCAGGAGCATGTTTTGTTGAAGAGCGCATTTATACATAAATTTTGACAGGTGCGAAGACAGCACTGGAGGAGGACCCCTTCTCTCCAATCCGTCTCCCTCATTCTCTAGAGTCTAGAGCATGCATGAACTCTTCAGACTGTCGCTACTTTGGCGGATGGCGATACAGGTTTACCGTTATATTTTCCCGGTTCCATAGTCGTCCCGTTCTCGCTAATCGGTCTGCTGCTCCCGAAACGCATGATTACGAAATTGAAACGTCAACATTAGAAACGATCAAGAGAGAAAGAGAACTACTCCTGCGAAATTATTCTTCACCACGAAAAATTCTCAGAATAGATGAGGAACTGATAACGCTCCAGATTCTAGCTGTAGATAGATAAAATGCGATGCAAAGGAAGGAGTCTTCGTGAAATAATTAAAAGTAAATGACATATTTTAATTATTATATATTGAATTTTATTTTCGAGAAAAAAATATGCATGACTTTAAAAAATTGATATTTTTTTCTCGAAACGCATGATTAAAAGTAAATAATTAAAAAGTTATATTAATATATATTAAATATATGTATATAATATATATTTATATAATATATTCAATATATATACAATATTTTTAAATATATTAAATATATATATATATATATATATATTATTATTTTTTATATTATTTATTATTATATATTTATTTAAAATATATAACATATACTTAAAATATATATATATATATATATATATATATATATAATCTTATAAATTTACAGATTTATTTTCGAAAAAAATGACTTAAAAAAATTAATTTTTTCGTAATTAGAGTCGCATGTAAAATTTGTTGTGACTTGCGTGATATCCTTGATAATGAATAAACTCGTTAGTCGAGTTGGTTCAGATGCCTCGATGATAAGGCTTAATTCATCGTATCCTGCTCTTGCTCTTTAAATTCTACAAATCGCTGCGAGCTATGATCTTTCACGTCGATCATTTATGAAGATAATTTTTAACATTAATACTGTTAATGCAAGATTGATCGAGCCTTACTTAGTTATTAGCTTCATTCTATATAATCGGAGAGATTTAGTCGTTGGACATGTTTTTCTTACAGATCGCTTTCTTAATTACGCCCGTCATGGAGAAGATGAAGAGACACGTTCCGTCTTTCATGAAAGAAAAAGGATCTGCTGTAACCTGATTTCAAACTCTAAAATACTCTTCATTGAGACGAACATATGCTACTTCATTTCATATCATTCATAAGGTAGAGAATATAGAAAATTCATATAATGATATCATCATGATTTAATTCATCACTTAATTAATTAAAAGTGTCTAGACAAAAATAATTCATAAATGATTAAAGATGACGAAAGGTATCATAGATTTAAAGCTCCCTAATATAAGATAATTATTTTATATAATTTTCAAAAAATTTTAGTAATATGTGTGAACAATATAGAATAAATAAATAATTGTAATACATTGAAAAAAATGAATTTTAAGCGACGTCATGATATGCCATTATGAATTTTATGTTTCTACTTGAGAATGATAAATGAACAACTTTCTTTAATTATATTGCAGATAATAAATTGAACTTGATATCGTTGCAACAGATAAATTTTAATTATCTATTATTATGTGTAAAATATAATACAAAATTTTGACGGCAGATTCTTCTCTTTCAGATGCAGCAGAAAATGAGGAAGACTGAAAAGTCACATGATTCACACCGTGGAAAATCCAAATCCCCAGCGCAGGATCTCGAGAGATTTTCGAGCAGAAGAACACTGCGTGCGATAAACTCACCACGTCTCTGTAATCGGATTTGTTCAGACAGGTTTTGATAGATAAGATGGGGAGAAAAAGATATAGATCTACATGGTCAGTATTACAATCGAAACGACTGATCAGTCATTCTCGCGAGAGTAAGCTGAACAAGAAGGAGACCAAACTTGGTGAGGATGGGCACTTCGGATATAAAGAAGGAAAAAAGCAATCTCGACCACGAGATTCAAGGTATCGAATCGTCTAAAGAATACAACAATAAATACATATTATTATATAATTAAATTTTCGCCATCTGCTTTCGATCTCCATTGCACAAAGAGATCAACTATATGTATAGAGATCTTTTTTCTTTTTACATTGAATTAGAAATATAAAAATGAATTTAAATGATTAAGATCGATCGTTGTTTTCTTAGTCTTTGTAAAGAAATGATATTCGTTCGATCGCGATCGATCTATTGCATATGTTTGCTTTCTCTCGCATCTCAATCGATCAAATATCCACGCTGCTGTTTCTGGAACGAGGACGAGCTTTCCTTCGGTAAATTTCCGTTAATCGTGTTATGTGCTTTCGAGATAATGAAAATAAATATCTTTCCAGTCGCGTAAATCAAGCATTTTTCCATAATTGTATTCGATCGTTTTTCATATCGATTCTATCAAGTTTTATAATTCCATTACAATGACCAAGTTTCAATAATAGAAACATATATCATTCATTTATCGTAGGTAATGAATAATTATCAAGTTGTCAATAAAATAATTCTTAATAGATTTATAAATACAGATATGATAGAGAATTAACAATAAGATCGAGTAATAAATGCTAATAAAGCAATATAAAATACATGAGAAACACTCCATCTATGCTTCTAAATGCATGCTAATTAATTCGATCAAATGTTTATTTAGATTTTATCGAAGTAGCTTTTTCTTATCTCTGATGAGTAGAAATCGCAACTTGCCAATCATTCAGATAAATGACTTACGAAATTTCGAATGCAAGCAATAACAAAATAACTCGAGAAATTATGTAAACATAAATATCCTATTGTTAATATTATAAGAAAGTATACGATTTTATTTCGCTTTAGACTAACAATAAGTAGATTATTACAATAATCGTTTAATTGTTTTAATTTAAGCACAGAGATTTAATTTATATATAAATAGATCAAACGATAATACTTAATTTAATTGAAGTAATAATTGAATTAAAAGTCCAGTAGAAATCTTTCAAATGAATATATGGAACACAATTTTCTTATCTTCTTCTCAAGAATGTTGAGTATATATTTCATCCAACGTCGCCGATCGATCGATATGATCGGCAGTAAATAATTGGGATGAAGTACCCCGATAATACTTATGCGCCTTTTTGTATTTTGAAATAATGCCATTTATCTGGGAATCGTGGTAATGTTTAATACACAGGAAATGCGATAAGAAATTGTCCAGTAATGAGACGAAGACAAAGAATTACGCGAAACTTATTTATTGTTGTTCGAACATTATTGTGCGCGCATTATCTCTGATTAAATTCCCGATGTGAAATTGCAAAAACTATAATTGCAAAAAAAGAACAGATAATGTCTCACGAACCTATTTCTTGATAAATCGAGATAAAAATTTTTAACCGGCGATTTAACCCGATCAGACTCGCGTAATGATTCTTTTAACGGGCGCGATTGGACCATGACCTTATTTTTAACAGCCGTACAAATCTTTCGCCGTTATACTCTTATGAATATTGATGATCTGCGTAAACGGTTGCTTTCTCATTTGTAGATTTATCTACAACTCGTTCCCGCGATTCTCTCTTGCATAATCATTATTATCGTTCAAGTATTCGCATAAGTTTTTACAGAATCGATATTCGCAATTGAATTGACTTACTTAAATTTATTGCTTTATGATATGAGAGACATACATGATATTGAAGAGAGGATTTGAGGACTTTCAGCTCTTAGATATAATATGCAATAAATTATTTTTTTAATATTGCAATTCTCTATCTCTCCTCTTATCGTCTTTCATCTTTGTCTTTCTCTATTTGCACAATAAAAAATTATTACATTATTACAAAGTTATTAAATTGAAAAGATTTTTAGTATAATTTAAAATTATGAAATTAATATTAATTAATTAATTAATTTTGTTAGATATGAAAAATTGTTTCTATCTCTGTAACAGATTAATTTTTCGGTTTATGTTTTTATTAGAAATTTTATATACAATGATTGAACAAAGTCATTGACAATGATTCAGACTAATCTCTTGAATAAAGATGCCACAAATTAATCAATTGATGCGAATATTAAATTATCGGTAGAAAAAACAGGTTTATACCGGTATTTGAAGTTGCGCAAAAATATGACGAATTGAATTATTCAGATGATAGATCCCCACCGAGCCATCAGAATGATATAGTCATTATAATTAATTGATTTCAAAATAAAAAACAAACTGCTTGAATTTGGCGAATATTAATTTTCTCAAACATCTTGATGGCAAAAGTTCTTAGTATTATACTTCGTCAATCTTGATTTCCATTTTTTTCTTGATAAATCTTCTATCTCGATAACTCCATTGAAAAATGAAATTACACTCCCATTAAATACAGATCTTTTGTGTTTCAGATCATCCGGACATTCAAAATGTGGAGGGAGGAGATAAGGTAATAAGATAAACTTATGTAATTCGTAAATATTGGTAAAAAAATATTAGTAAATATTGGTTTAACGTCAATGCATATATACTTGTATAATTTGTAATGATGATAAGAAAGGGAGATAAATAGGAATACGATCATTACATATATAATCATGTCAGATAATTTTCGCGAGTTTTGATGAAAATATAATACACGTCGCGGTTTACTCTTGCTTATCACAACAATCGTTACTTCAAAATCGAAAAAAATTATCATATTATCGCACATTTAAGCGCGTTGCATAATTCAACAAGAAGAAAGAGGCAACTATGAATGTAAGAATTTCAATAATCCTTTTCGTCAGTGAAACTACGTGGTCTTCACATATCGCATTTCGAAATTGCCAAATAAACATCTCGGATCAAAAATTGCGTATCCCCGATATTTACAACAGATTTCGCAACAAACGTTTCAATTCCAGAATAAATATACGTAAAAAGATAGTCAAAGAGCTGCTTCAAACTTGAGCGACATTGTAATAAATTTTCGATTTTTCAAATTTTTTAATGAATTTCCTTGACAAAAAAATTTAAAAAAATACGCACAATTTAAAAAATTGCAAAAATTAAGCTTGGTTAAAAAAATTCATTTTCTAATTGTTATTGCCTTTTCAATCATTATAAAAATGAGTCTAGATAAACAGATTTCCGATTTTTGTACACAATAACAATATCAATTATCTCTCGATATATCTCGCTACGTAAGCAAAAGATAATATATAATAATAATAATAATAACAGACACGATCGTAATAATAATAATAATAATTCGATTGCACTTGACTAATTGCTTTGTATAAAATTGTTCCACACAATAGATTATTCTACACAATAGATACAATAGATAATAAATCGCGGATAATACATATAAACGAAAGAGATAATGAACACATATATACGATTATATATCTTGAGGAACAGAATCTAAACAATTAATCGACATCACAGAATTTCCTCTGAATCATGATTATTCAACGTATATTGATAATTATACATAAAAAAGGGAGTTCCGGCATTAAGTAAAATCTATTATATCATCAACAAGATATAGTATATAACATAAGAAATGCAATTCTATTATTAGTATCGAAGATGACGTTTACTTTGACACGAATACATTTTTATTTTGCTGCAGCGACTGTATATTACATCTCCCTTTCTCTCTCTTTAATAAATAATATTTATCTTTCTTCTTTTCTTTAAATCTCTTGAGATGAGAAAGTAAAGAAAAAAAAATCATAAATATTATTTATTACAAACAAACAAAAAATTAGTTTCTTAAATCACGATATTTACATCTTTCGTTCAATTTACGATAATTTTGTCGATCGCTAAACCATAATATCTCAAAACTAAGCATTTGTTTTTCTTTTCAATAAACACCGAAATTTATTTGCATATTTAATATAAAAAAATGAAAATAACAAAAATTTAAGAAAGAACAAAAATTTAACTATATGCACTATACCTGGAAAAAATCCTGCGGATGCCCACACCGAAGAAAAAATTTGTTAACTTGACTAGAAACCTTTCAACTAAATTTTATTGTATATTTTATATTTTATTATATACTATTCTATTATATTATATATATTTTGTTAATTAAACATATTTTAGTATTTAAGTCAAATATATATACGTTTATTAGATTTAACATATTATATTTAATTTAAATATATATATTGATATGTTGAACTAACAAAATAATATTAAATTGAATCAATATTCTGATCAATATTTTGATATGTTGAATTATAACAAAATAATTCTAAACGGAAAGGTTTAATCAAGTAAATAAATTGATTAATGAATTTTTAGTGCATCAAGGTATATCTTGCATGCACCCGAGTTACCTGGAGAACGATAAATCGTTAAAGGTTGCACGTGGCCAACGTACAATGTATATACTTTCACACACTGTTCCAAATACCGGGGCACTGCACGACGTGGTGTTACAATACCGTCCCGCGTTTATGATGTCGACTTCGAGATATGTTGTATACACACTGCGTGTACTTGTCCTACCTCGGATCTCTGGCAGAGCGAAAACTGTCTCCGCGCTGTCAGTCTCGACGTAAGAGCGCGTGCGAGCGGAGCTGTCAAACGTGCGCTCGATCGCCGTCATTCTCCGATCTCGTCGTCGGTCCCCAGTAAACGAAGGAATAATCGAGAGCACGATGTTACATAACAGTAATACATAGCTGATAATAATAAATCAAGAAGAATTATTCTTATATGATTATCGCGGCGTTTTATTTCTAAAAATACGCGTGAAACTCGCGAAAATTATAACATGTTTTAATAACCCGAGTGTTTCTTGCTTACTGAGACTGTAAAGACGCGTCAACGTATCGAGACAACTAGATCTATATTGATTATTTGTACAGTCATCAGTTGTGTCATCTGATCTTGTATTCAATATGGGTGTCAATAAGATGCGCGTGCAGCAGGTAAAAACTAATTGTTACACTTACCGCGAGATTCTAGTGGTTCTGTAACTATACTAATTCTTACAACTGCTCGATGTTAGGTAACTTAATCATAGCTCGATGTATCAGTGTTAGAATAAATTAAACTGTAAAGTAGTTTCAAAGTACTGTGGAATTTTCTTAAGATAAAAAACCAAGGAAAAGATATATTTTTATCGTAGTTCCTAAAAATGCATTATGCAGCAAAAATGTAATCGTTTATCTATGTTTTTATTTAAAAAATCTGACGTAACGCTAATTAAGAATTGCATCTGGTTTGATAAATTTGAAAAAGTCTTGTTCTTTCAGCAAAAAGTCTTGATCTTTCAGCAAAAATCCAATTAAATCTGTTGATATTTTTGTTGATATGTACGTATATGCTAATTAAGTATATCTGACGTATTCGGGTGAAATAATTTATATATACAAAAATATTGCATATTACTTTTTAACAATCTCTTAATCAAATCATTAACGAGTATACGGAAGCATTAATACTAATTTCAAAATATATATGAATTATGAATGATAGCAAAAATAAATTTTTGCTAACTTCAGAAGGCAAAATAAATTTAAATGACAATTGTTTCGGTATTTTTGAAAAAAGAGATCTAGATTTATTGACGTATCATTGAAATGTTATGAATTAAGAAATAATGCAAGAGTACGACGTCCTATTTATTTCCATCTCTGTATATTTTTATGTTCGAGGAACGAATGCATGTGTCGATTTAAATGCGAGTCTTAAATCATCTCAACAGCTGAATATGTTTGAAGGATAAATCGGATTTTAAATTGAGCACTATGGTTCACTGACTCACTTCCATTCACTTCGGCATACTCAACTAATTCTTTTAATTGCGGTCAATCATTGTACTTTCTCTGAAACATCTCCTTTCAAGCTTTCCGCTTTACTCAACAATTAACCCGAAATAGACCGATTTCCACTCAGATTTCCGATTATAATGAGAAAATTAGCAATTATTGCTGTAAAATAAAATTTTATTTATATTTGGATTCTTATTGTTAGATTATTCTAAAATCTTGTTAGATAAAAAATAAACGTATGGATATTGCGAATAAAAAATATAATTGTAATTGATCGTACAATTTAAGCGTTTTAATCTTGTCAGAGAAAAACGTCATTTTACTTCCTGGTTCGTATATACAATCCAATTATTTTTTATCGGTCTATGAATGTCTCGTATGGGAAAACTTGATTACGCAAGTAATCGGAATTCCAGCGCAATTATTGTATATAAGGTGTCCTAAAAATCAAATGCCTTGTTAATTTTAAACATTTTTGGAGTAGTATTTTATGTATAAATTTTGCTTCAAAAATTATATCAAATCTTAAACCGAAACTCTATAACTTATAAACAAATTTACTAATAAATTTATTTTAAAAGTTTTAATTATTTTTAATCAAAGAATTTTTTATTTTTATCAGAAAAAATTGATGCAGTTACTTTCTTTGATAGTGACATGTCCAATATTTATTTGCTAACAAAATTTTTATCAATTTTATGATTTTAGAAACGACATTTAAACATCTGTTTAATGCTAGATTATCTTCTTTAACAACAATAATATTGTTTGCTTTACAAAAATTAATTATAAAATTATTACACGTTACTATTTCATATCGTTTTCAAACTTATTGTTAGTCACGCAAATTTTGATACCTTAAGCCTTAACACATTGCCATATACATTATTGCATTGACTGATAGCATATCACAATGCAATTTGCAATGAAATTTTATAACGATCTTGCACGATCACGATCCATCAGAGAACATAGTGTTCAATCATTAATAAAATTTTAAGATGAAAATTCGAAATAAATAGTAAAGAATTTTTTACTCTATAATGATTTCTCTTCACGCATTCACAATTTCCTTCCTTGAAATAAAAATGCATCAAGGCTCTCTATGTAATTCACGAGAGTATCCTTGCTTCTATATAGAAATCTGTTTTACTGCAAAAAATAAATTATAAATATCTGCTTAAATTAAATTCACGTAAATATATGAAATCGAAAATATGAAAAATATTCTTATTCTTATGTTTTAAAGTTTTTCTCTCTTTTTCTTTTATTTTTTTATATGTTTTTCTTGTATCTAAATTTAATTATTTTTTATAAGGAAAAAATGTTAAAAATATGTAACTAGAAGGTATCATGTGAAAAACTGACTTCAATTATTTGAGCGCTGCATAGTTTATTTTGTTATCTCGCATTAAAAGTTTTTACTCAGCCGTTAAACTCATGCTTGACATGCATGATAGTACAGTCGGAGTGGCCTTCGCGTTTTACGCTAGAAAATACTGGAAAATGAACATGCTTACCATAACAATAGATGTTAATCGGGTCAACGTGATCGTACAAAGAAAAAGAAATATTTATTAACAAATTCGAGACGAAATATCTCACGAGCAAAATCTGTTTTATATTAGATTAATTGTTTTGTTATACTTTAATATAAATTCTTTTTAATTTAAAATTTTGTTTAAAAAATATTTAAATATATTTAATTCGAAAATTAATTATTAAGATATTTAAACTACAGTTTTGCTCAAATCTATAATATATATCTATACGTGGCAAAGAATTTTATTACTTTAAAAACTGCAAAAATAATACTATTAATGAATAAATAATGAATAATATTAATAATTTAATTTGAATATTTTATAAGATAAAATTAATTTTTTTTTAATTTTTCAGAAGATAAAGTATCCCAAGTCGGTGTTCTTCATCATCACCAATGAATTCTGCGAAAGATTCTCTTTCTATGGAATGCGTAGTAAGTACATATAATAAAATAATTAATATCAATTTAAGGTATAAGTTTTAATTTATCATATATGATATCATATATGATCGCAGAATATATTCTGCGATCTTTATAATTTAAAAATAGTGTGCTGTGAGACAATTAGAACAATTGCCCCTGCAATTGTTTTAATTATCACAGCACACTATTTTTATTATAACTATATTTTAATTGTAACTGTAATTGAAACTAAAGTAATTTTTAATTAAAAATAGCAAATAGAAAATTCCATTTTGCTACATTATGTAAGACGTCGCAATATATACTAAATTGACAGATTCTTTAAAGCATATCATTGCATAAAACACTAATAAGTGAACATGCCTTATGAATTGTTCAATCGTTCAGTATTGAATATAAATATACATAATGCATGGAATTAAAATAAAATTATTATATATTTAAATGTACATATACAGGGTGATTCAGGAGGAAAGGTAAAGATTTTAGTGGGTGATAGTATAGGCAAATGCGAACAAAAAATGTCCTATTAACATGTGTCTTATTTTTATTGGTTACAATAAACCACTCACAGCAGAAAAAAGTCAAAGGCACAAACAAAAGTAGACGCAAATGACTAAGTTAAGCGTTACCGTTGCAAAAACCGTACACAAATACCGTACACAAATAATAAATAATATATTATATACTATTTTTTGTACATGCATTTTCAATATGATTTAATATTTTCAACGAGACAATATATGTCAATTTTCATTTGATTTTATTATAATAGTAAAAGCTCAGTAATTGAGAAACGCATTTTGATGTTAATGTTAAATATAATCAAATATCACTTTAGACTGTATAGAATAACATGTAATTAATTTTTTCCAGCCATCCTGGCGCTATACCTGAGTAATATGTTAAAATACAGCGAGAGTGCAGCCACAATGATATATCATGTCTTTATTTGTTTCGTCTATTTCTTCCCGCTCGTGGGTGCAATCGTATCTGATTCTTGGCTTGGAAAATATCGCACCATTTTTTATGTGAGCATTATTTACTCGATTGGACAGCTGATTTTATCCGCAAGTGCGGCACCTCCTTTCGGACTGCCTGCAAGGTCGGTATAAAATTAGTATATTTAAAAGATGCAATCACAATATTAAAAATATACGCATTAAAATCCATACGTGTATTTAATAAACATTTTTTTACTATTTAAAAACTTATATATTTTTTATATTTAATTTGTATATACATATATGTATATATATATATATATATATATATATATATATATATATATATATATATAAATTTTTTCTTTATGTTAAAAATATTTCAATAGTATTAAAAAAATTGATTCTTTTTAAATACTATTTAAATTTTAAGTTATCTGTTTAAATGCTACTTGATTTAGAAATTGACTTTCTATATTGGCAAAGAAAAAAATATAAAATCTCAAGTTTTAATTCTAATTTTCCAGGGAATTATCTATGCTAGGCTTGCTCCTGATTGCGCTTGGCACAGGCGGGATAAAACCTTGCGTATCTGCTTTTGGAGGCGATCAGTTTATCCTACCTCAACAAGAGCGATACTTGACGATGTTCTTTTCCCTTTTCTACTTTTCCATTAACACGGGCTCTCTGATCTCCACTTTACTCACTCCGATAATACGTGACACGACATGCTTCGATGATGAATGCTTCTCTCTGGCATTTTTGGTACCAGCCATTTTAATGATTGTATCAATTGGTAAGGAACGAAAGGACGAGATATATTTTATTAAGAGAATGTTGCTACAAAGAATACATTCCCAGCAAACACCAAGTAACTATTATATAACTGTTAGTTATAATTTCCCACTCAACAATGTAAATGCATATATAACCAGGGTTGGGACCGATTTTAAAAAATAACTCGTTACAGTTACAGTTACTCAAAAAGTAACGAGTTGTTACTTTTCAGTTACTTTTTAAAAATAATTATACATTATTTTAAATATAAGGAGCTTACATTTTATGCACAACCACAATCAAGTATTTAAAAAAATTCTTGAATGTAATATTGATCGATTTGCTTGCGACTTTGCGATTACCATCAATGTATGAATGATCTTTATATACAACAGTAAAAATAGTTATAGTAACTTACTAAATGGTAATCGCAAAGTCGCAAGCAAATCGATCAATTATTACATTTAAGAATTTTTTTAAATATTTGACTGTGATTGGTCGATCTTAATTATGTGTTATATTATTTTATGTACATAAAATGAAAATTTTAGGTAAAAGATTAAATTATATGAAGATCCATATATGCTACTGTTATCAAAATTTAATTTAACAATATAACGGCTACCATACTTAAACGATACTTTTGGCGGATGTTTTCGAAAAAGTATCTAATAAAGTAACTGTTAAAATAGTTACTAGTTACTAAAAAAATATAACTAAGTTACAGTTACAGTTACAGATGGAGAAAAGTAACGAAGTTAAGTTACAGTTACCGAAAAAAGTAACTGTAACTTCGTTACAAGTAACTCGTTACTTCCCAACCCTGTATATAACACACGTGTTATATTGCATTTATATTGTTGAGTGGGAAATTATAACTAACAGTTATATAATATAGTTACTTGGTGTTTGCTGGGTTTTTTCGATTAAACGCGAATTTTATTGACAAGTATTTTTCTTATTTTTCAGTAATATTTGTCTCGGGAAAACGATTGTATAAAATAGTACAGCCTAGGGGTAATCTTATCGTCAAGGTTTCCAAGTGCATTTGCGTAAGTTCTCGTATTATATCAAAGAATTTCCTCGATTGCCTTAATCATCTAAAAAATGACATTAAAAATTGTCTATAATCTATCACACAAGAGCAACAGAAAAATTTTACTCTTGAAACGAATAAGATTTAATTAGATGCATAGCAATATTTAAAAAGGAGAAGAAAGATTTTCAAATGTAATAATTTTTTCTTATACATAACTTTGTGTGACAGATGTAATTTATAAAATAAGCTTATGTAACACTTATGCGCATCTTAAAATCCAAGAACCTATACAGTTTTTAGAATTTATGGATCTTCGCAATTTTATGAATCCTTCCAATCATTTGTATTATATTCTTATTGTTAGTTACAAGAATAGTTAATCTTATTTAAATATAGGAGTTAATCTTATTTAAATTTTAATTTCCACCAATTTTTGAATTTAAAGTCTTTTCTTTCTGTTTCAAAAAATTAGCATGCGATCTCTAATAAGATGAAGGGCAAAGAAAGGAAATGCGATCACTGGCTCGACCACGCCGACGATACGTACGAAAACAAGCTGATCGAAGACATCAAGGCCGCATTGCGGGTCCTGAAGCTGTTCATACCGCTGCCAATTTTCTGGGCGTTATATGATCAGCAGGGCTCTCAATGGACGTTTCAAGCAACGCGGATGGACGGCCAGATAGGCAGCTTCGTACTGTTGCCGGATCAGCTGCAAGCCGTCAATCCATTACTGATCATCATCTTTATACCTATTTTCGAAACCTGCATCTATCCGGTTTTTGAAAAGATACACATTATCAACACGCCTTTGAAGAAGCTCGTTGTCGGCGGATTCTTAGCCAGCGTGGCCTTCATCGCGGCCGGTCTTGTCGAGATGGAAATCGAGGTATTGAGAAAACAATTTTTTTCGCCTATTATGTAATATAAGTAGTTTTTATATATCATTATAAGATAATCAAATGGATGAGTTTTTAAAATTTTATCTTTTTTCCACAGAAAACTTATCCAAAATTACCGTCTGAAGGATTGACTCAAATTCGAATTTTTAATACGATGAATTGTCCCGTAAGTCTAACTTGGACAAAACAAAACAAAAAAGTTGAAATACCATCGTTAAGTATGTGGGCAGATTTAGAAGTGGAAGCGCACGGCTCGGTTTCATTACCCTACGTAGCGAATTTCATAGCGTGCAATGATAAAGGCTACACCAATTTTACTACTAGTGAAGAAACAGGTAAAATCCAGATAGAATTGCATAGATAGTGCAATCTTCCTGAATTTATTACACATATCGCATTGAGTACCTTTTTTTATCAGGAACTATTACGGCCACGGAGGCTACCGCGTCGTCTTGGGTTTTAACACCTTTGGGACTGCAGTATAACTACACAGACGTCGTGGATAAACCTGATCAGGGCAAACCGGCTATTCGTAGTCTCTTCTATCTAGCACCTGAATTGAGCGACTCCAGCCTGAAATTCGTCGATTCGTCGGGCAAAACTGTATTGTCAATAGCAGTCAACAGTTCGGTTTTCGCGCATTCGGAGCTGAAACAATTCGAGAAACCAAACACGTACGACATCTTTCTGAACGATTATCTACTGAAGAAGGACGTGTCCTTCAGACTCGGCGGGGCGTACACGATAGTGGGTAGTTATTTGCCCGAACTCAAAGAAGAAATCACCGGTGAAATAATCACGGTCACGCAACCCAATTCGCTTCACATGGCCTACATGTTGCCGCAATACATTATCATCACGATGGCCGAAGTGATGTTCTCCATAACCGGCCTGCAATTCGCCTTCACCCAGGCACCGGAGAGCATGAAGTCTTTACTAACGGCAGGTTGGCTGTTGAGCGTGGCCTTCGGCAATCTCATCGTGGTCATCATAAAGGGTTCGCGTCCTTTCGAGCGGCAGGTAAACGATTCACCTCCTCCTATTATGCGAGCGCAATTTTCTGGATTCTTTGTCCATCTATTGTCTACACTACAACTCTCATAGGATACAATCCATCATAGTTAAAATAAATTGTTTTTTTTCTATTATTCACGTGTGTGGCATCTGAAATATTACTTAGATTCTTATATGTAGATGGCTGATTATATTAAGAAAGAATTAATTAATTAATTGAAAGGACATTGTCAGATAAATTGGTGAATTTTAGAAAATATTTATATTATTTTTTATTCCACAGGTCTACGAGATTTTCTTGTACGCCGGTCTAATGGCGGTAGTTATAGCGATATTCGCTGTGATGACCATGTTTTACAAATACGTGGAAATGCCAGAGGAGGAAGAAGAAGACGATAAGACCATACCTCTAGAAGAACAAAACGGAAAAGTTAATCCGACTTTTAAAGAGGACGAAAAGTGACGATAAGAACGGGCCGATTGAGCTAGGAATCATAAGTTTTACGTGTTCTCTTATTCGAACGAGGTAAGGAGCGCGCGACATAGCATGTCGAGAATAATTATTGAGATTCTGTTTCCATCGAACGTCTGAACACATCGTCTTCGAATGCAACAAAATATAGGAACTCTTCGTAAACTCATCTCTCTACAATAAAAGTTGCATAAAATAATTATTATAGACTGAAGATAGATATACACATTGCATTAAATAGCAACTCGAGAATTCTCGACGAAAAATAGTGTCTTTTAACTATAAAAAAAGAAGATGAGATAAATATCTTATATTGTATATAATATTTTATTTTGAGATAATATTTAAAATTGAGATTTTGAGATAATATTAAAGAGAAATTAACAAAGTATTATAAAAATTGTCTGAGAGTTGTAAATGAAAGATGAGTCGCCTAACTTGTGCGGCAAAAATTATAAGATTAGAAGAATTGTTAGCGATTGAAAATCGTGTGGCAATAATTATAAGTTTAGGAATTGTTAAATTATATGTATGTTGTGAATGAATGTTATTGTATATGAGAAATTTTAATAAGTAAATGAGAATGCTATATTGCTTTGTAATTTACGATGACTAATGTTTAATCAGAGATTTCTGTTCGATGTTACCAAAACTTTTTAAGCAAAAATTATATACATATATAAATTGTTTTACACGAGAAGAGGGAACAATAATGAAATTAATGATAGTTGGACGATGATTATTGAAATTGTACAAGACACAAAAGTAGAAAATTGGGTACACTCGAAGCGGTTCAGATTTCAAAGTCATCAGAGAACTGTAAGTCTCGGTGTGTTTTTGTGTCTATAACATTTATTTCTACAAATCCGGCTAAAGTTTCCACAAGCGCTAGCGGAACATAACAATGCGTGTGTCGTGTGATTTGATACTCTCGAGGGTGCAGTAAGTCGAGTAAATATTTAGTGTCGCTGGATTATTATTACAGAACGTACACTCGGCAACAGAAATACCTCTACACATAAACTTGGACGAGGCACATACGCGTTATATACATATATAATACATATAAACATAATACATATATACTAATATACATTATATATATATAAATATTTATATATTAAAATTATATAACGCAGTTAAAAGTACAGTGATATAACATACAAGTATATACATACATTTTTAATATATCATTTAATTATACATATAATTATACAACATATAATTATTCTTTCTAACATCAAACTATTAAAAATATTAAATGTTTCTTTCAGTTGCTTTGAAACAGCGTTGCTAAATAATAATCATCAATCATGATGCGTGAATGTGTAAAATTGGAATATGCCGATACTCGTGTAAAAGTTCATGTGTAATGACATCTCTGTTGCCGAGTGTACATACATACATCGTCTCGCAGAATATGCTGCACATGTTGCAGATAAATGACAATTTCGATTGATTTTCTGGATTGAAAAAACTCGTCGGGTCGGCAGCTACAACTTTTATGCCAAATTCCGCATATGCAGGGTGATACATATATTTATCAAGGGTTGAATCGCGCAACTATATTGCGAAGATATCGCAAAATCATCCGCATAAGCTAGCAATGACGATTGAACCCTAAATATAATGTACATCCTGCTCTCTTATTTCAAGATTGATATCAATATTATTTCGGATATATCCTTAGGTTTATTCGCGAGTAAATGAAATTTTGATATACAGGTTGCTTTTTTCCGTATTTTTATCATTGGAAATTGCATATATTGAAATCATTTTGTATTTCAATCCTCACCGAAAGAAATGCACAAGCGGAAGTACATCCATCTAGTCAATTTGCCTCTATTAGCCATGCAATACAGAAATTCTCTTTCAAAAATCCACCCTTCCTCCTGCCGACTTAAAATTATTTCTTGTTCTCTTTCAATTTGCATCATTTCATTTTCATTTAACGTTTAAGTAGGTTTTTAATTCTAAAAACAGCTACGATCAGTTTTGACATTCTATGATATAGCGTAAAACTATATTAAACCATTACTATATGAGTACTATCACATATACAGTGACACTTAATTTCACGCGATAAACACCTTTTCTTGGAAGGGGGGACGTTTTTTAGGAACTTCTATTTATCGCGCACAATTAAGAATTACTTATATACACAGAAAGTTCCGGCACCCTCGCTATTTCTGTCGAAAATTGTCGCTCCATCGATTCGGTTTTCGTTGAAATTTCTTTTTTTCATCAGTAAAATGGAACATCCTGTACATTCGACATCTTTCAAATAAGTCGATTGTCGGCGTACAAAACTCAATTTTATTCATCACATAAACTACGAAACTCTTGAGTGATGTAAACAACTAGAGCGCCGTTCCGTATATGTACCGTGCTTCAAGTATATCTGTAGGAAAAACAATTTCGCGATCCGCATCTCGCATTACTTACCCATCGTTCTAACAACGAGCTTATTTAGTAATCTTATATAGCGCTTAGTGTATGAGTCCTATAAACAAAGGGTCGTGATTAGCGGTTCGTTAGTAAAACGGCGGATGATTGGGCTTTTTGTTCTCCCACTTTACTCCGCCGCGGTTTTTTTTAAGAGGATCCTCCTTCTGGAACAAATATTCGACAATATAATTTCGCGAGAATTTTTTTTTAGCGGAAGTTTAAGCAGCTATATTAGAATTTAACCGCATGTGTCATCTATTTTTGAAATTTCTACATCTTTTTGATATCAATCATCAATATACTCGCTCACCGTATGTGCACGTATCTTGTCGAACATTTCACGCGCGGCATCGAAAGCGAACGAGCCGACCTGCGCAGCCGCGCTGACCAGCGTTTCCGGTAGGATGTGAACGGAATCGCCAGCCGATATCTTGCTCGCCATGTGTGCTAAGGCTATACTGGAGTCTATGGAGTCTATGTTATCGGAGGCGGTAATCACTCTGGTTATGTCTTTAAAAGACTGATACTCATCATCGAAAGAAGGATCCCACGAGCAGGCATAATTGTTGTTCAATGCGCATGAATATTTTGGATAGATTCGTTCTTCGTCATGGCAAAGTTTTTTATTCGTTTTAGTTTCTTTCGTCCAGTCGCCATCCGCTCGTGCGTTGCGCTCCTTCCATGGGTTCTGGGGTTCCATTAATGGAAAACACGGCGGCCTTACATCCTGTATTACATTATTGGCTGTCGTTGATTCATTATACTTGTTGGCGTAAGCATGGGCATACATGTCGGTGGTGTCGGTCACCGACGTGGTATGCGAGTGGAAGCTCTGCGTGAAATCGCTCGAGTCGGTCTGCGACTGGCAACTGCATTGTGACTGCGTCTTCGAATCGCAGTGATTTTGCACAGTCAAATAGCTCGCGTGCGAGTTTCTCACGTCGTCGCACGAACCGTCATCTCGAGGACTCTTTTGCTCGTTCGACTGATGCTGTGTACACGATTTCGACGAATGAGCCTCCTTCGTCGACGGAATATATTCATCCATTATGAAGGTATCAGGGATATCGAGTTGTTGAGCCTCCTTCGTCGACGGAATATATTCATCCATTATGAAGGTATCAGGGATATCGAGTTGTTTCTTCGAATCGACACCGACGCATTCATCGACGTTCACAGACTGATTTTCGTAATTGAAGATGTTCTCTTGAATGATGTCTACATAGATAGAGTTCGCCGAATTTGTCTTCCTAGACTGCTCCTCAAGTCTTTCTTCGTCTGCCGAGAAGTGGTCTTCGTTCAAATGAATGGAGGACGGCGGCGAGGCTGGCTCCGAGAGTAGTTCGAAGCTGGGCGAATCTCGACTGCTGTCGTCTTCTTGTGGTTTGGTGTCTAGAAAACGTGTAAATCCATCATTCGAATCAGGCATCTGGATGATCTCGAAAGCGTCATCATCGGAAGAATCCTTTTCCTCCTCTCCCTTTTCCTTCTGATTGTTTGACCAACAACTGTTTAAGTTATCTGTTATAAAATGGAAATTGTGCAAGGTGTCTTTACTAAGACGACCCTCATCCAACATTTGATTCCCGGTGACAGAGCAGCTCATACGGAGATCTTTCTCGATCGGCTCCAAATAAGCTGTCTCATTTGATCCTCGTTCTGTCCGTGATTGGTCAATGGAATCCTTCCACGGCATATCCTGAGTGCCATATATATTCTGAGCGAATTGCTTATTATGTAACTTAGATTCTAGAAGTGTTTTCTTTTCTGCGTGTTAAACAGGTTTGACTTGCTTATAATATTGCTCATCTCCGCTTCGTTTCGCTCTAAATATTTTCGATTATTCGATGTCTGGGGTATGGTTTTGAGCAAGCTAGTCGGCTGCAATGTTTTCTCATCATAACTGCAGTAGTTTGGCCGTATCAATTCATTCGTCAAGTCTGAACCGTTGTCATTCGGCTGCCCCCAAGCCACAAGTCTTGTTTTTAACACTTTTGGGTTCTTCTCGCTCGAATGCGAATCGAAGGAGTATCGGGGAGATGTCGAGGAAGGAAGTTGCGATTGACTTTGGGATTGGTCTTCAGGCGGGACAAGCATAAGAGGATCCGGAGGAATTATCTCCACCAAGTTCGATACTTCGTGCACCACTCCATTAGTTATTGTGTACGTCTTTTTCTTTATCTGCATATCTTTCGCGTTTCGAGATTCGTCCGTACGTTTGATCGGCACAGAACTCAACTGTTCGTGAGACTCTATCTTCTCCTGGTTCTTCTCGTTCGAGTCCGAGCTGCATTGAGGATATCGTTTCGCAAGAGAAGACTCCAAGTCCTTAAGCAGCAAAAGCGCAAAGGAATCCAAGCGTTTTTCTAGTACCTCCGACACGTTTTTTACCACTTCGGTAGTCATTGTGGACATCATATCTTTCTTCATCTGCAAACGAGATCAATCATTTAGCGACTATATACGTCTATATTTTATTTCAATTGTATTTTATTTATTAAAACTATAATATATTTTTTATGTTTTTATTTAAATATTAACATTCATGTATTGGAATGGAAACAAGTGAATATTTACAATTGCTTACCGATTCCATGTACTCTGTAAACCACAGAGGAGGCAAAGTACAGTTCGAACATTGCAGTGACGAAGCGTTCGCTTCCTCTTGAGTATCCACTTTCGATTCCACCTGTTCGTCGATTTGTAGAATTTTTGTTTCGTTCGGTTTATCATGTTCTGCATCGATTGTCAACAACACCTTCTTCATTATACTATTACACTCTTGTTTGAGAGCAATCTGTTTATTTAAAAATAAGCTTTTAAAAAATTTATGGTTTAAGGTGTACCAAGACTCGTAAGGATTTTGGGTATCGATCATCAACGTCGATTCGGTATTCTTTGATTGCTTTTTCTCGGATAAATACGTCTCGTCAAACCAAGAATATTTACTGCTTGTCTCTTCGAATGAACCGACGATCAACTGAATTAGGTTGTTGAAGCACTTGCGAGCGAGCTAAAACGGAAGATTTGCAGTAATTCTAAATAGCTTGCTTGAATTCTCTCCTTCAATTTTTAAATTCGAAGTGACACGTGTTATACAAAAATTGTCTCGAAAAATATTACTTTAAAAAACTATGTGCAATCGAAAAGTATTTAACGTATTTAAAAATATATAAATTATTAGGTCATGTTAAAAATTAAAATAAAAATTAAATAAAAGCAAATTTTTTATGTTATAATCAATATTCGATCAAAACGAAAAATACGTATAATTATTGTTTTTAATTTTATTGTATGATATTTGTGTATTTTATATTTTACTTGTTTAATTTTATAATATTTTTATAAAATTTAAAGTCAATAAAAATTTATTTTAGTCTGTCTAATAATAGCGTGAGGCAAATTTCGATTGAAAACCGTTAGATTTTTTGAACGAATAGGTAGAACTCTATTTTACGACGCATTATACAAAGGACAAGATGTTAGACTAGAGGTACTATAGTATCTTTAGACTAGGCAAAGCCTCTTACTTTTGTAAGACGAAAACAGTCAAAGATCAGTTTTTATTCTGAAAGGAAATAAAGAAAAAAAAAAGTAAGAATTCTAAAGAATTCCAAAGAGATGAAAGAAGATGAAATTTAAAAGCTGAAAAGAAAAAACGTGAAGAAATCATGACCGACACATTTTTCCGAATTGACCTTTTATTTCGTGTTTCTGGAGTTTACCTCAAAAATATATCCGGAGACTACCTGTAAAATTGTTGAAAAAGTCTCGAAGATATCAGGCAATTGACAATGTTAGCGGTAATTGAACAATTTATTAATAAAAAAGATGTAATATTGAGTAAATAATATATATGTAATTTGCTTTATTTTTTGCAGTTTAAATTTTTTTAAATTATGTCAAACATGCTTTTATTAGACAGATTTGCATATATTGTATATTAAAAATGCATTTAGTTTTTACATGATACATTTTCATATATAATAATACAAAAAAAATATCTTTGTTTTCTTAATATTTTTCAATTGCACACCAAATGAATACAAATGCTGCAGATATAGATTCAATTCTCAAATAAAGTCTACGAATTTCACAAAAATATTAAACGATGACAAAGGGAAAAGTTAAACTCGAGAAAAATAATTTTCCTACACATCTTAATATAGAGTTAATGATATCTCTTATTATCTCTTATATAAAGTGCATATACCTTTAATGCTTCTTGCAATTCGCAATCCGAATCGATCGGAACACTGTCACCGTCATCGTCGATGTAAAAAATGCGTCTATCCTTTGGCACCTTGTATTCTGTCCACTACAATAAACACAAAAGTGTTTATATCCTACTTGATTTACATAGGAAATGCAGAAAGATTTGTGCGTTAAAATAAAATATCATATTGCAAACGCACAAATCGCCATTTGCGCCGTATAGAATGACTTGTCATTCGTATTATTATTACGCATTGCATTAAAAAATATTGATATCTATATATATATATATATATATATATATACGCAATATTTCTTATCACTCTTTGTAGGCGCAAAATTCAAAATATCGTGATTCCCGCGAGAGTAACAAATAACAATCTTTTCTCTCAAACTGCGATGTATAGAAACATTCGATGAACCGATATATATATTTTTTCGAGAAATATATGTATAGAAAATATGTTGCATGCGGTTGACGCCATAATGACGCCGTAGAGTGACGCTAACAAAACGAAATGGCAGGATTTTTCATGAAAATTTTTGCTTCAAAATTACAGGTCCGCAAAATTGAGCTCCGCGCTATAAATAAAAAAAAACAGAGAGAGAAAGAGAGGACAAGAGAGAGAACTTACCAGCTTCATCCGCAGCAGCTCCAAGGTCTCAGTCGACTGCCACGGGATGTATAAAAGGCTCTTGGACGCACTGTCCGCTGAGTTCTTCACCAGGAAGCAACACGAGTATTTCATCTGCGAGCTCGCCCTCATATTGTCAAACTGAACGGCAATATATATGTAATATAATATATAAGTATTTTACTTTCGCGTCCTCGCGAGAGCCCGGGAGGGGAGACGCAAAATGGAGCTACTCCGAATTCTCAGCTGGTCGGGTGACTTTTTTGCCTCCAGAAACGTCAGCGAGCTTTCTCTATCTCCTCTTCTCCTTCTTCTTCCAGTTACGTTCCTCCCGGAACGCGCATCGGTGCAAGCTCTTCTACGACGGCACGGGCTTCCCGGATTGTCAACTCGAAGAGAGTGTTACATCACGACGCGAGCAACGGCATAACAAAACTGCAATTGCATGCGCGCGACAGCTTGATGCAACGTATATAATAACACGGAACCCTTGCGGAAACGATAGGTCGAACGAGATATCGATCGAGTGACACGTGACCTCCTGAGCATGCGCGGACGCGACGCGCGGAAGAGATAATTAAATTTGATTTTTTAATCTTTGTTCGCTTCGCGATGTGACATTTATCGATGTGCATGAAGGGAAATGCTTTATAAAATAAATAATTTATTTTAATAAAATAATAATACATTATTATATCTATATAATTCATGTGTATATATATATATATATATATGTATATATGTGTATATATTTTTTTTCTCTTTACACTCTCTAAGATTTTTCTTTTTTTTGATTAGAGTAGAAGTGAGAAAATAATAATATATAGTAAGAATATTGTGTATATGTATAATTCGCTTTTAATCACAATTGAAGTGTAGACGGATGTTGCAAGGGAGAGAGACTGTATAATTTTTTTTTCAATGCGATATATCAGAATTAAATTTAATTCAATCGACAAATAATAATCTCCTACTTCGGGATGTGGACATACAATACGCACAATCATGTACTACAAATCGCTATATGCCAATAGTCTATTTGTACACAGATTGTCCTTTCATAGTATTCTCTGCTTTTTTTACACGTCTTATATATTTAATATAATAATGTATATACTCTCTGTGTATAATAATTATAATATATGTCGTTAGTATCGATAGAGAAGACTAGAAACGTAGACTCATGCTTTTTTTTAACATATCGTCACACTCATCAGCTAAGAGAAAGGTACATTAATCCGCTTAATGATATATATATATATATATACAGGGTGTCCGGTAACTAACGGATCAATGATTAAGAGCGGATTCTCTGGCCAATTTGGAGACGATTTTTCCTTAGCAAAAATGTTGAGAAGTCAATAATTTTCGAGTTATAAGCGATTGAAAAAAATGGGTTTTTGGAAAACTAAACGTTTTGGAGTTAAAAGTCTAACATAATTACATTCTTCAGTTAATTTCAGGTGGAGTTTACTATAATAAAATTTTAATTTGAGGCTTAGTTATAAAGATACATAATGACAAATATTGGAAAGTTGTAAAAAATGATGACCTTTTTCGACATTTTCGCTGAGGAAAAATCGTTCCCAAATTGACCAAAGATTCCATTTGTAATCGTTGGTCCATTAGTTACTGGACACTCTGTATATATATATATATATATATATGTATATATATTGTATAGTGATAGAGGAAAAAGAGGAAGAGCTCTTTATATCTCATGTATCATTTTATGCCCGTCTTGTCCAGCATAAACGGCGAACATAGATGGATCTTGTGTAATAGCGATAATGCAAAATGGAGCTACACATTCGCTCCTACTCGCACTTATTTGCATTATATATAGATATACAGATATACAGATTGACATCTGCTAAAATAAATATATAATAGCTCTGCACTTTGGACTTAGAAAGATTAATAGCAGTTTATAGATTCTCTTTACACAGCTAACAATGACGATTATCATAGAAAAATAAAATATATTGTCCTTTTAAGCCAACAAATATTATACGTGTATGTGTGCGCGTGTGTTTATATGTGTGTGTATGTGTATGTATCTATTATGCAGTGTTAAGCAGACTTGAGATTGTTGATTGTAAAGAAACGTTGCATCTCGAAAGGTGTAAAAGTGAGAAACATACAAACTTAATTTGTATGTTTGCACAGCTCATGCTATATTGACTTTCTTATATCACATAAAAGCAGAACAGATAACTTGGGATAACAATTATTAAAGACGAGAATAAAATTAAACGCAATATGTATAATTTAAAAACATTATCCTTGTAAACAATTTGCTTCAACTCGGATAAAACTATATTTATAGTATCACCATTTGGAACACATTGCAACAAACAATATTCTTGTACACGAATATAATGAAGAAAAGAGCACAGACTCTCAACATATATATGTTACAACACATAATTTTTTTTTCGAAAAATCCATTCGAAATATATTTCTTTTTTTACGAGAAATATCTCGATAAAATATTATCACGCATAAAATAGTTTGCGAGGAACTCGTTAACTTTGTCGTCAAAAATATATATATATATATATATATATATATATATATATATATATACGTATATCTCTCCTTAGAATTAATAACAAAATAATATGACATAAAATTGAATCGCTCTTGTAGCTTTATGCTTGTTAAAATTTCGTTGCTATTCTTCGAAAGGAGATATTTTCACATTTCAATAGAAATCATCCGACGTAATCGCGTTCCATTATGCATATTAAAACGAATATACTTTGCAAAATGTCGTTTAGTGTGGTATTAATGTTTGTATTATTCTAAGAAGGGAATGTATGTACGTGTGTGTTTCAAATTTCTCCGTGAGATTTATAATCAAATTGTATAATTAGACAATAATATTGTATAACTTTTCTGTATACATTTCGGCCAAATTTGGTGTTAAACAGATTCGAATATCATTCCAAATTAATGTAGTCATTGTTTTTTCGTTCTTTACTTTCAAAGGAGTATAGTACAGTCTCGAAGAATAGACTTTGTACACCGTTGCAACACGCATACCCGCATATTCCGGACGTTTTCTGTCGAACACCCATCCAGAGGAAGATGTCCATCAGGAATGTTCGAGCTGCGTGAGCCACGGATGACGGAGTCATAGAAAAATAATACGACGATCATACGGTAACTCTGTTCCTGCTATGAAAGTACAAACTATAGTACGTCGCGACGTTAGAAAACAGTTGGGTGTTCTCGGATAGACGAGCGGCTTTGCACGTCAATTAAATTTTTCGTCGTCCTCTTCAGAGAATTCTCGTTACCTTAACTTATCAAAGCCCTGTCGACAATTTACTAATGTTTTTCGATGCTAGAAGAACCGATATATCACGATTCAGAAAAAAAGACTATACAATTTTTTTTTCGTTCGAAATATAATTACTTGAAAAAAAAAACTAGTTTTTTAGGATTACATTTTTCCTTGAAAAAGAAACGTTTCCATTTGATCGACTGCCATTTAAAACAGCTTACTAAATCTACCCGCATAAAATCGCTCACGCATATCTTCGTCGACTGTGTTGCTCCGATTTCACATACTAACATAGGTAAACGTTAAATAGGTGTTATTTTACTTCTGGAACGAAGGGCCGCGAATATCGGTCATTCTAATATCGAATTCGTCACATCTCTTCTTCCTCTCCCGTAAAACACATTGCCTCCCGCACCGTATATAAATATTAAAGTTGTGTATACACTCAAATATAATAATAGATAAACATTTTCCGATATGGTACATTAACAGTGAGCTAAGCACCAGGGAAGATTTCTTCGAAATTGCGCGCGCGTGTAGTTGATTTTATCTCTTTTTCTACTTTACTGAAACTATATGTGGTCCTCTTCTGTGTTGTTACTTTGCGCCGGCGTCGCCGGGGTAGGATCATCGTGGAACATCGGATTCTTCACCTCCATCTCGCCCGTCTTTAACACACGAAAGCCGCTATTAGAACTTAATATTCGTAATCTGAGATTTTGGAAATGTTTGGGATTTTGAGTCCAAAAGAATTAGTAGCGAAATTTCAAGTGATAAACTTACAGAAGCAAGTCCCGGACACTCATAAACGGTGTAGTCACCCTCCTCGTTTTCCTCGTCGCTCTCCGCTTCTGAGAGGGAACCCGGGTCTCTCGTTGCAGAAGTGCGACTGCAACAATATTTACTTTATAACATCTTTCTTTAAAAAAAAATCATAAAATATTTCTTCATTTTTCTTTCTCTTTATATATAAATCATGATTTTACTTTTCCATGGCAATAATTTGTTGCTTCTGATGTTGAAAATGATACATTTGGGCGGATTGGGCGAGCCTCTGGTCACCGGAAGGCGACACATCCTTGTTCGGTCCTGTTACGCCGTAAGCAGGATACTCTATGTCTGCTGCAGCTTTCGCACCGCGTTGCAATCTAAAAAAAAATAAAATAAAATAAAATAAAATGCCGCGAAAAGAAGCATAAAAAACGCGCGAATTATCGTAACCGGCGATGATTAAAATTACCTGCACCACGTTAAACTGATCAATACCAGAGCAAACATCGCTGCTGCGCTGCAACCGGCAACTATGGCTGAAAGGAAAAACATATCAATCGATTTTCTTGCAATCGTCATATCATCTTCACATCCACTCTTCACTTACCGATAAAATAAATGTCATTGTTTAAATCATGTTTCATGGGCACCATCAATGGATTATATCCGGTTCTTTCCGGTCGAGTCGGTGTATTAAGTCTTACAATCAATTCCTCTGGTGCCTTTTGGTCGAAATTTCGCGTGTCGTCCTCGTGCTTTGCAAACCTTAGCTCCTTATTATCCTCTTCCTCCTCCTCTTCCCAAGTACTCAACGGGTCCTTCCGATTTGTATCGTCTACGAGTTATGTAAATTTCAGAGATTTTAATTCTATTCATAGATAGTGTCTTTGAAGAAGAAGCAAAAGAGACATCAGCTGTATATATTTATCCGAGAAATTATAAAAGAAACGTTTAAAATAAAAAGAGATTAAAAATAAACGGCTATAAAGATTATCGATGCTTGTGTAAATGTATGCTGACGTAACTTGATTCTTTTAGTCTTGAAAAGCAATGTTTCTCAAATTAATCACCTTTAAACTAAGGTCAAGGTATCCGCGAGATATAAAATCTAATTGCAAATTAAATCAGGACTATATACACAATCTGCATATTTAAAAAAATATATAATAGTACATATCAAAGTCATTCCATTGAATTATATTCCACATATAAAATTTGCGTAGGAGAAATAAATATTTATTGAGTTTATCTTTCTGTATTTATATTATTAGAATTTCAAGGGATTAGCAAAAATCAGATGTAAATGTCAGAGTATCAGTTTTAAGGAAGAATTAATTTTCCTTGAACCTGATCAATATTATACACTCTTTGGTACAAAATACCAATAAATTAAATAAATCTCAATTCGAGATAATTTTTCATAAACTTTCTGTCCCCTTCTAATGAAACTTAGGTAAAAAAATATCAACAATTTTATCCTGATATTTACCTTGCCTAGACTTTTTTAAGAAGAAATAGAGAAGCAAAGTTATTGATATTTTTCTCACCTACGCTTCTTTAGGGAAAACAGAGCACGTGATTTTATTAAAAATAAAAATCTCGAATTAAAATATTTAATTTATTTAATTAATGTCTTGATATCATATCAAAGAAAATTTATACTTAATCAGTTTCAAAGAAAATTAATTTTTCCTTAAAACTGACGCACTACCATCTGACTCTTGCTAACTCGATGAAACTTGCAATTAAATATAATTTTCATGAAAAGTTTTACTAAAGTTTTAATCGTTATATTATATTCGTTATATTATATTATTATATATAATATTTTTACATTAAAATATCAAAAACTCAACTTTGAAACAAGAGGAGATGCGTGGGAAGATAGAAATTCCTTTCAATAAATTGTATTGCATCCTTTGCAGAATTTTGTACGTTAAGATAGATGAAGAAACATTGCTCTTTCTCTCTAAGACTCAAAGGCAATTATAATAAATAAATATAATTCTATTAAATAATTATAACAAGATCAATCGGTTTGATGCGAATGTTTACCCGATGATAACGGCTCATTGTAGTATCTGGGATCGTTTGGCCTCACCGCAAACGGATGTTTCTCCTGGAGGTTCGAATCGTCAAACTTATACGTAAACTCCGGCTCCATCGCCTCTGCCGCTGATTCTATTCCACTCCCGTGATGGTGATCCATATATTTGTCATGAAAAGTGCCCACGACAGATTCATCCCTCATTGCTCCCCCGCTATCCACATCAAAGATCTGTTTAAATTCGAGATCCTTGGAGAAGACTGGACCGTCATTATTGTCCGTCTCGTCCGGCTCCTTCTCCTCGGGATAATTGTGACGCTGATTGTAAAAGTATCCCGAATTCCGATCCCGGTTCTGCGCGTGATAGTGGGACGACTGGTATAGGTGATCCAGAAACGTTCTTAATTTCCGATTCAGCCTGCTCTCCTGGGTGGCCTTTAGAAACTCGATTCTACGCTCCTCCTGATGATCCAGCTGCTGATCGCTGTGCTTTTTGTGCACGGGCGACAGGAACGTGGCCAGATGCGAGCGATGAAGACGCTGCTGGAATCGCTGCTGCGCCTCCAGGTAGCGGGCCAGCTGCTTCAGCGCGATGTCCTCCGGCGTTTCCGGGAGCGCATCTGCCATGTTTATATTTCCGCTTTCAATTTCAAGAAATGGAATAAATACAACTCTCCTCGTTCTCGTTTCCGCCCCCCGCGTCGCGCTTTCGCCAATCGATATCAATTACTTTAGCTCTCTCTATTCTAATGGCTAAATCTAATATGAAGCTCGTAATGTGCATGTGAAGAGGATAAAAATTACATGCGGCTATACATATGTGGAATTATAAGTGGATGTCGTGAAAATGAAAATTCAAGTACGCCCGAGTATTATCTGCATTTAATTTTCAAAACGCGATATGAGTCTGCGTATGATTCTACCTAGCTATATATATATATCGTTCTTTATTTCCATTACTATTAGAGTATAATGATTCTCTTTTGTTGAACAATTATTTTACCTCTTCAATTGTATCGTATTTTTTCGCTCATTACAATTTTTGTCAAAGAGATACTATTTCCCTTTAAATGAAAAATTCTATTACATTGATATTCCGTAATCTGTCTTTAATACTCGAAGAATACACAGAAAATAAATTCTCCTCAAATGAAAAAGTTTTCTATATACACGACGAGATATTAATCTATGAAATTGCACAAGAGAGTAAGAAATTCTGCTTAAATGTCAGAATCTGTAGTGGCGGATTTATTTATGGCGGATGAAGAGAGTATTCAGCATTTTCGCACTTACTTAGTATATAGAACAATGTTTTATCAGGCAAATAAAATGCACGAACTATAATAATATCATCTATTGATTAATATTAAGTATGAATTTCAATCTAATTGCTTGCTTAGGAGTCCCCCCCTCGAAAGAAAATTCTACGCCATTGTATTAGCTTCGAAGTTTCTTCTAGTTAATTAATATTACAAACTGGAATCGTAAATTAAACTGGAGTTGTATCGAACTTGGATATACGTTATCGTCGAGTTTCCTGCTGTTTTCGTTAGCACGTAGAAAAAAACGGGTTTCCTGCGGTTAAGATACAACACCCATCCTGCGATAACGCCACTGGGAAAACTAAAGCTTTGAAACTTCCTCGTAAAATTCTAAACCTAGAAAAACAATTTCATTACACCGACCAGTCATCAGAAAGGATTGAATCGAGCTTTCATCCTATCGCAAACAATCCCCCACCGTAATTTACTCTTGACCTTCAAGTCTTAATTATGTGATATGCTTCGTTGATGAAAAGATTCTTTGAGGATAATCCTGCGGATTATCTTCTCATTATTCTCACACATCATAACAATAAGGTACAAAGTTCTTTTATTATATAATAAAAATAATTAGATCTTATATTGTATATTCTAAAATTAATCTTCTCCCTTTTTCTAAGTTATTTTTAAATTATTTTGAAAAATAAATAAAAAAAGAACGGATTCTTTATTATCGTGTTAAACTTTGCGTTTCAGATAAAACTTTCGTATTGTTAATAAAGTAGAAAGAGTTTCCTCGTAAGAAAAACAATCAAACGTAACGATAATAATTCGTCATATTGCAATTAGCTGCTTTCAAGTTTTCTGTTTCTCATCTATCAATCTAAAACAAAAATATTATTTAGAGAGAAAAATATAGTTTATATTTCACCTAACAGATCTAAAAAGATCACCCTCTAATCCAGAGATCGTTTACAAAGACCCCTTTCCTCGTAACATATTTTTTTCCTTGCAGACCGATCGAGCGTATAAATTCGCAGGAAATACTTTGTCAATATGATTCCAAAATTCAAGGGACTCAATCGCTCGCTGAACTCAACACCAAAGGCTACAAGTGGCCGTCCTTCGACAGCGTTATCGTGTCATTCCCCCTGGAGATATTGTCTCTCGAGAGCACGGTGAGACCTCTCTGCCTTACTCACCCCGATAGAAGCTGAGCTCGCCGGTGGACAGGCTCAGCAGGAGCGGCAGCGTCAGCCAAGTGCAGCTCCACCGAAGGAGCATCCTCTCGTGGTAGTCGTCGTCACTGCTGCTGGTCGGCTGCCGAGGCTGCTGTCCGCACACAAGATGTACGACGATCCTATCGTCGCTCTATTCGCGTCTCCATATGCGAGGAGCACGTCACTTCATTCAGGGCGGATGACGAGCTTGCGCGGTTCGGCGCTCGCTTTCACGTTCAATCAATAAAACCGACCACCGCCGAGAGACTTTCGCGCCCTTCCACGTCCCGCCTTCGTCTGATCCCTCGACGTTTCGTTCTTTGAAAACGGCGCGACCTCCTCCTGTTTCGCCTCCAGCGCGATTAACATGAGCGCATTAGGTACCATTAAGCATGTCCCCACTATTCTGCACACCCGCATATGCACATGTGCGGATTTGTTCCGGACGTCAGACGACGCTTCCGATTCGTATTCCGTCTGTCGAGACCTTCATTCTTCAGAGTTCATTCGCCGGTTCGGTGTTCGATGACAATGAGGAATGTTTTACTCCATTCATAATGTACGGTTCGATTGTGGATGCTGTTGTGCTCCGGAACTATCGGGAAAAAAGGACAATGATAGTTAAATAATGATAGTAACGGCGAATTTTTGAGTCGATATACTTTGGATGTAATACCCGATCTGATGATACGCGTTTGAATACATCATTGTTCTTGGAAACGTTTCACTTTGTAACAATCATTTATTTAGTCAAGGTACAGCGATCCAAGTAAAGGTACATCAGTTCTTAACGTTCAATATAATCTAATTCTTTTTGATTCTTATTTGCAATATTTGATTCCCGATGACAAAAATTACATTAATTCATTACTTACTTACAGATAATCATTATCTTTAATGACATCGACGGATTAAGGTATCTAATTAATGTATCCCACATATGATGTTTCGATGAATCCTCATCCGGAATTTACAATCCGACATAATTTTCCGCTTTTGTCAGTTTAATCGGCTTTCATAATGGATAAAATCAAAGTTATAAAGTGGTACAAAAATTCGATTTAGTTAGCACAGCTAAATGATCAGCGCCTCAATTGTCGTCCATGAGAGATTCGCCCTTCAAAAGTAACCGAATCGGCTTGCGCTTCTCGTCGACCTTCTGCTTCCTTCTGCGGTTTATCACGCCGTCAGAAGCATCCATCATTCGCAATATCTGCGTCTGATCCGAACAGTCGACCGGTGCGACGGAGATGTCCCGTACGGCTCGAAACTTTCCGCAATTGTTCAAATGCTCGTTTTCCAAGCGGAAGAAATTCCACACGAAACGCCTATCGAGCAAACATTCCAACATTATGTGACAGTTCAATTTCCCCCAACTCAATCTCTTACCATATACACACACATATATAAATATGTAAATATATAAATATATGTATATGTATATATATTTGTAATTTATCTAAATTGAGAAAAAATCACATATATCGTGCAAACTATACAATACAAAACATCCAATGAGATTAAAGAATATTATGCAAATCTATATATACATATATATAGCGATATTTCATCAACTTCAGAGATAAGTCGAATTTAAATATACATCTTGAAACAAACAAATTAAATATCTTTAAACAAGATAAAAAAGACAAATTACAACGTATCAAACACTGCAATCATCAGACTCCACTATTCGTTTTCATTGTCGTTGTTGTCATCTGCGTTGTTATCATCCATCAGACGGATCATGTTCCTGATACCATCGTCCTCGTCGCGTCTGATAGGTCCTATGGAGATGTCCCGCACTGCCCGGAACTTGCCTACGTTGTACAGATGCTCGTTCTCCAGTCGAAAGTAATTCCACATGAACCTTCTAGCGACTTATTAGTATAAGGCACATTGATAAGCGATTAGATCGGCCGGTCTATCGTCGATTAAGTCCCCAGATAGCCACAGTAATTATTATGACATTACTTTGCTGTCAAAATGACGTAATTTGACGTCAGAATAATATTACTTTTGCTATCTGGGTCGTAATTTTCTCAACGATTATTTCGTAACTATTATACAGAGCGATCGACATTAGAATAAAGTAGCTTGAAACAATTTCGAGTGCAAATAATCATGTATGCATGCACATTTCTTAAACATTAATTATCGAGAATAACGATATAACGATACAAATTGACGACTTGCATTGAGCTAATTCAGCAAATATCTCTCACATCAATTCCTACAAATAATTGCACATTCCATCGTGCATTCGCGATTGAATTTAAAGCATATGCTTACCTGAAGACTTCCAACGGAGCGACTATGGAAACCATAAGGTCTGCGTGGACGTAACCCATCTCTGTCAGGGACAAGGAGAATGCCCATCCAAATCGCAAGATAAAATCTTCAATCATCGCGAAATAATAATAATACTGCAAAATAAAATTAAATTAATCAATTAAGTTACTTGTGTTACTAACGTTACTAATATAATATTATTTATATATAATATAATTTTGGATGGATGAAAACGTACAGGTGACGAGTAAACTATCTCTTCTCTGAGAAATTTGTTCTCCCCAGGATTGCTGTCGAAGAGGCCCCAATCTAACTTCACGTCCCACGTATACGTGAAGCAAGAGCTTACTACGCTGACTGTGAGCCACAAGTAGAAGTAGGGATTTTCAGTAGACAACGCGTAGTATTCTGTAAAAACAACATCAATTTTGACAAATAAACAATTTTCTGAACAGCTTTATGTTAGGAAAAAACAAAGGACGTACTCTTGTTCGTCAAGTGCAAATAGGAGAAAATGACCACGAAGAAACTCGTTGCATACTTGACCGCATTCAGCAGATGTGGAAAGGCCTCCTTCGTATCCCGATAGCGTCTTAAACACTGCGCAAATCGAAACCAAGCCGGTAGACACGCCACGAATGGTCTCATTGATAATTCGCGCATTATACAAGTTTCTGTATCTATTTTAAAAAATAGATGTTTTACGAAATTGTAGAAAGAAATAAACAAGATTTTTTTTATTAAAATGTGGTAAATAAAATAAAAATACTAGTATGTTTATTAAAAATAATTATTTAAATGAAGTAATTGAAACATTTCTCGTGAATAACGATTAAAAATATTCAAATAAATCTAATATAATAAAAAACAAGAAAGTAGATAGCAAAAATGTCAGGATATACATTTGTAAAGTACAAATTATACTAACCCGTGACATCAGTCCAAGAAGAGTTCTGGATATAAAAGCAAACGAAATACTGAAAGTCCAGGAAGACTGTGTGAAGAGAATTGAGTTGATCAGCGAGCCAAAAGTCTGCAAAGCCCACATAAAAGAAAGGCGCGCAAAAGACGCGACCCATAACGCGTAACGCCCAAAATCTGGCCTCGTGTCGCAACGTCCTGGTGGGATTGAACAGAAACAGTGCCAACAGTATGTAGAACAGCACCTATAAAAAAACTGAAATCAATTCCTTGAGATAAAGAATTTCTTGCTCTATAAAATCGACCGATTATTCGCGCTTTAAAATAGGCTTCTTAAACAATATAGTAACGCTTAGAAATTAATATGAAAAACAGAAATGTATAATCTTACTGGTTGAACAAACGGAGGTACACCTAACGTGTCGCTGTATAGAAAACCCAGTATAGATATGGACCAAACCAGGCCAAGTATTGTTGCCATTTCAATTATATGCTGAAAGCATATGCTATGATGAATTTCGATTCTTTTTTTAAATTTAAAATGTTAACGAAATGATTTGATGGTGATCTATAGAATATTAATTTAATCTGGGTCGCAAGACCTGCTCTGATAAATGATTGCGTGGATCAAGCTCGAATATCAGCACATGATTCACACCAGAAGACCTCCAGCCATAAACGTTGACTCCCATGAGAAAAAGGAATTCTATCATAAGAAGTGGTCCACGATAAATCCGACACAGTACTTTCCAATTGTCCTTCTTGTTATATCGCATAGCTGAAACACGACATGATAATATGTTATACAGTTTAAATAAAACAAAATAAGAAAAATATATTGATCTATATCGAAGGTAAAGAAAAAACAAAGTGTTCTGTTTTTACCAGACAACACCACAGCTATGAAAAGTATGATAAAGGCGCCGGAGAAGAGACCGACTTTAAATGTGATCCACGGAGAGAGATGTTCTCCAAGGGGGGGTACCCTGAGTCGCTTCATGGCTCGTTGACGATCACCGTGTTCCAGATCACGAGTGACCAGAGCTTCGGTCTCCGCGATGAGTCTATCTATATCCTTACGTGTATGGAAAACTGCTGTATCAACGTGCTCTGCACGCCATTTGGCACCAATGTCAACATTCAAAAGCTGCAAAAAATATCATATATATCTTGTACATGTCAGTCTTCCACAATTCACATACAGAATTAATTACAACAGCTCTTTTCTGATTATTTTTACTTTATTAAAATTATGTATGTGCTCAATCAATGCGACTAAACTTACATACTTTATCATGCTTCTTCAAGATTTTTCGGAATCCAGTGAAATTGAGATTCTGGTAGTTTTGAAGCAAAATGAGGAAAAGATAAAATTCGGAGAAGGCCAATTTCAGCTCCTGCAATTTGCGTGCCGATACCGTCTTTTTGTGCAAGATGTGACTGCGATAGCGTGCCTTACGACTTTGACCATCCTCCGAAACTGACAGAATCTCGCTCAAGTCATTATTAAGTGTGGAAAATCTGCGTGTAGCCTCTGCTAATTTTTCTGAAAATAAAGATCAATATTATTTACACATATTATATACCTCACTGATTAATAACTATTGGAATATTTCTTATTAGAAAGAAATATAATATTAATAGACCTCACCAGAATAGAAAGTATTTATTTTGGCCAATTCCTTGTCACAATAGTGGAAAAACTTTTCATCAAATTTGCTGAAGTAGCTTTCCAAAACATGCGCTTCGCTTACATCTGGCGATGGAGCCTGCTCCACTGCAGCGTACAGGAGAGCCTTCATTTCCTTATCGCACAGATATAAAACAAAATGTTATACAAATATATCAAAAATATAATAAATGTTAAAAGATATTTGGTTACAAATTTTGCAAATACAAAATATATATTTATAGAGAGTACATATATATTTATATACATAACGTCAAAAAAGTATATATTTTTTTTATTTTTTCATTATTTTGCATTCTACGTTCATCATTCAAGAAGTGACTTTTACATTATATAAAACTGTATTTATGCATACATGAATGGTGGTATATATAAAACTTTCTATATATAAAACTAAATAAAAATCAACGCCAAAAATAGCATATATTTTTTTAATTTTTTCATTATTTTGCATTCTTTGATCATTCAAGAAGTGACTTTTGCATTATATGAAACTGTATTTATGCATACATTAATGTGGGTATATATAAAATTTTCTATTAAAACTAAATATAAGAATCTTTTCTATACAGAGTTTTGCTCGAAAAAACATACCTCGTAATTGATATATTGTTTTCTCCATTCTGGTGTAATGTGAGCGCTCAAATGCTCCGCGAATTTCATGTCTGCCGTCGAGGAAGCCTGGTCAGTTCACGGGATGATTCGCTGCACGCGCGAACACAATCGAATTGTTGACATTACACGCGAATAGGATTGTGACGAGTTATTTTTAGAGCTTTGATACATTCGCCGCGAACGACGACGCATGTTTGTTGTGTACGTATTTTTACTTAGGTTATGCATGCGCGGTTCTTTCGGAGGGAACCTGGCGCAGTTGTCAAAGAGCCTTTTTTTCGCGATCTGGTCACGAAATGTCACATGTTTGCTTTTACACATGTTGTTCTTTCAGCAGACGTTGCGAATAATTTTTTTTTTTTTAAAGGGTTCTGATATGGTAAACAATTCGCGATCCACGTGATAATTTAACGTTGCACGTGGGTATTAAAAATATCTTCTCTATCTTCCACAGAAATTCGATGAGGAGTAGGCAAAGTGTTGACTGTTGCTTGTTGATATTGTAGAAAAAAATTTTAGTGGAAGTATGGTGAAGTTAATTGTATCAAGGATGCAGTACACAAGAATTGTATCCCGCTGTGTGAGTATAATGTATCATTTATTTATTAATACTGTTTTTATAGATGTGATTGAATGAGATTTGTATTTAGTTTTCAGCAAAGTCAAAGGCTCTACTTGACGACACAATGTCCACTTTATTCTCTAATAATGAGATTAAATACAGACATCATCCAGGTATCGTCATGCCTAAAACACCAGTATTCCCAGAATGGGCTGCAAAAAAAATCCAAACAGTTTTAAAAGGTATACATAGTTTTTACTGAGCACTGAAATATTTGAAATAGAACTACAAAATTTTAAACATTTAAATATACCATTTTATATATATTAATCATGAGAACATTTGTAGAGAAATCTATAAACTTGAAAAATATTAATGAAAGTGCAAAGAAGTTGGTCCAGCACTTGCATCAGCGCTACCCACCATTAGAACAGTCTGAGTTACCAGCAAAATTACGGAAAGTAGAAGAACGTTTGAATACTAATAATGATGGTGATAAAATTTCTATAGAAGATGTAGATTTCAGTAAAAACGTAAAAGCCAGAAATATTTTGAGACAAAACATTTATAACTGGCAACCAATTAATTTTGATACACTTACCTGTCTGACATATATGGCGGGCAAAAGTGTGCAGAACTATGCAGTTTCACATAGGATCCTGAACGAAATTAAAGCACGTGACAAGGATTTCAGGCCTAAGACATTCTTTGATTTTGGCTCTGGTATTGGAACAAATGCATGGTGAGTATAACTGCTTGACACCTAAAATAAAATGTAAAATTGATTAATATAATATACAGAGAAACAAATAGAAATTGTTACACAGGGTAGCGTCTGAGATGTGGTCTGATTCGATAAAAGAATACTTTTGTGTCGAAACATCGGAACCCATGATTGAATTATCAGAAAAATTAGCTGAAGCTGCCAGTCCTAAAATTGAAAAGCTTTTCTATCGCCAGTATTTTCCGGCATCCATGAATGTAAGAATAATATATACAATAAAATTTTTGAAAACTAAATGTATAGTGTTTGAGATGTCTCTGTATTGTTTCTAGCCTACCTACGATATTGTAATGAGCGCATATACTTTATTGGAGTTGCCGAATCTGCAATGTCGCCTTGAAGCGATATTAAAGCTTTGGAAGAAGACTAACAACTACTTAATTATTATAGAAGAAGGAAACACCACCGGTTTCAAGGTAAAGAATTGCTCAATATATGATTTTACTTCCCTGATTAGATTTTGTTTGTAAAATTTTCATTCTTATCTATTCTCTTCTGAAAGGTAGTGAACGAAGCACGAGATTTCATCCTCAAATATGTAAAGTCGAAGTATAGGAAAGAGACACAATTTGCCCACATTTTCTCACCTGTGAGTATAGATTAGATGAAGACACAGATGATTTCGAACGCGATGCATCAGTTATATTTTTCTTTAGTGTCCACATGATTTGCCGTGTCCACAACTCGCTTCACACAACACTCCATGTAACTTCAGTGTTTTGTATCATCCGCTGCGATTTCTGGGTGGCAAAGAACATCAACCGGAATTCTATTCCTACGTCGTGTTAAAAAAAAGTATGTAAAAAGAAAAATATAATAATTCGACAGGAATTGCAAGAATTTGACTGAGATGTTACATGATATAAATCTTATAAATATCAAATTTTCAGTTAATATATTCTTCTGTTCTTCTCTCAGGTGAACGTCCCGAGAACGACGAGTGGCCAAGGATCGTACGACCAACGTTGAAACGTTCCAACCACGCGATCTGTCGCATGTGCCTCCCTAATGGTGAGCTGAAGGAAGAAATCTTCACAAAAAACAAGCATGGAAGGTACGTATACAGACATTAAATCTCAATCAACATTCGAATTTCTACAACAATTACATGAGTTCTTTTGTCACCAGGCATATGTATCGTTGCGCGAAAAGCAGTAAATGGGGCGATAGATTACCAATGCATTACGAACAACAGGAAGAGAATCCAGAAAAGAATGACACACTTGATGAAACAAGTCCTACTGTAAAATAAAAAAATAAAGTTTTGTTAACTATAATTTGCTTTTATCTTTTGCACGTACAAATGTTAGCCTCTGAAACCTAGATAGCTACAATAATTATGACATTTTGACATCAAAATGCATCGTTTTACCGTCAAAATGACTACTACTTTTACTATCTGGGAATCTGATTAAAATATACAAAAACTAAACAATGCATGCATATTTTTTCTTGATTTATAATAAATATGTAATTTTTTTAATAACTTATAAGCTAAAAATTATTAATAAAATAAATCTGAAAACGTTTTATTAATTTTTTTAGCTTAGCTGATATTGGTTTTTATCGCTTAATGAATTTTTTTAAATTATGCGTGTATAGTATATATACACATGTATATAAATACTACATAAACTATAATAATCATTAAACACGAAATAGAATTTTTAATATGCACCTGAATATATATATATTTCTTTCTCCTTTTTTATATTTTATTATTTACAAAAATTAAAAATATTAAAACCTGATTTTACTCGCGCATATTGCGTTTAACAGAACGATGGAATGTGCGTAACAGAATGTCTGCTAAAGAAAAAAAATAAAAGCATGCACATTATAAAATTTAATAGTAAATTCGTTCTTTCCAAATAAAATTTTCGTATAATTATTAAATCTTTAAGCATTTGTCGAGTTGTCTCAAAATCTACACAATTTCTAATATATTCTCTAATATATCTTCTCTTTTTTTATGTCGAGGTTTCAATTATCTTAAAAATAACAGCATATTTTAACATTATTTTAAATAATAAAGCATATTTTTTCAATTATTAAATTTTACATCGCCGAAATTTTGTTTCGCAAGTCGGAAACTTTCCAAAATTTGCCATTTTCCCCGGACGAAGTTAATTAAGGGCCCACCGAGACATCGGGTTTTTATTGCTCATACATCGGAGAAACGTAGGGGACGAAGAGGGGCATTTAAAAGCGAACCGAACGTTGGTCCACGGCCAGTTCCGCTTATACAACGGACGAGAAAATTTCTCCAGGTGCAAGGTAAGATAAATTCAAGGATTCGAGAAAGGGAGAGTGCGAGTAACATCGGTGTCGCCGACTCCTCCGTTCCGGTGACAAGTCTTTCTCTTCGCAATGTACTCGAGCAGAGCGATTTGTGCTTTCTTTTTTTATTTACCCGATTTATTTTAAATAATCGCGAAATTTTCGGGGATATAATCAATAAAATTTAATAACATTATTTAATTAATTTAATAAAATGATAGTCTCAAAATTATAAGAGTGTTATACAAAACGTAACGAGTGTTATATACGGTAACGAATTATCGCATCAAATTTCGTTATTATATGTCAAAGAATCTTTTCTCTAATTTAAATTATTTAAAATTATTGATTTAAAAATGGTTTTACATTTTTTTCTAAAGTTTATCTGTAATAAATAAATATACTTGTTAAATATTGTGGAAGTGTGTTACATAAAAAAAATGTAATATTGTGCGATTTATATTTGAATTATATTTTAGTTGTTGGATAATTTAGAATTAAAAAAAAATAATTTTGAATATTTTTTCGCATAAATTTTCACATAAAATGCAAAATATTTAAATTAAAAGATACGCGCATTGCGATAATAATGTATCCGACAAATTCCAAAGTAGATACGATCGAGACGAGGATGGGAATTCGAAAGCGACCACGAACTACTTTGTGTACACCATAATGAAATGCTGTTAAATGTACATCGATTACGCAACCGCAGTTATGGGATAATACGAGTGACGGCGCATTTGCGCGAGTAACGCGCCAGGGTTCTTCCGTATGCAACTTTCTCTCATGAGAGTACCACGAGTGTTTCACTTTCTTCCCAAGACTCGTTTAACGTTTGTCATATATACACATTTATTAAATGCATGTATGTGTGTGTGTATCCGGCCGCAAATACCGATTGCATGGACTTAATGTCTATAAACGAGCTGAAGAAAATTATACAGAAACATATTCTCTTTCTCTGTGAAATTCGCATTTTCTTATTTTTAAATTCAAAATCGCCAAAAATTTTAGTTATATTTTTTTTATATATATTCTATATTCTAATATATATATTCTTTTAAATATTTATTTAATATGTTGTAGAATAAATTTACAAGATGCTCGCCACGGCAATGTTATTGCTAGTACTGATACTATTGTTGCTATACCTAGGCTGCCACAAACCAAAAGGATACCCACCTGGTAAACAATTAATTCCTTTTTAAGCAGTTTTTCTTCTCAAATCTTATGACTAATATTCTTCATCGTCATCTTCAGGTCCAAGATGGTGGCCTATTCTGGGCTGTGCGCTAGAAGTGGCGCGTATTCGTCAGGAAACCGGATATCTCTTCAAGACCTGCTCAGCGCTCTGCAAGAAATACGGCCCGGTGGTCGGTCTAAAGATCGGAAAAGATCGCATCGTCGTTCTGAATGACTTGGAAAGCATGCGAGCGATGCTGACTAATGAAGACTGCGATGGCAGACCCATCGGACCCATCTACGAGGCCAGAACTTGGGGCGCTAGACGTGGTAATTATCTAAAAAAAATAATAAGATAAAATATTATTAGTTTTAATTTATAAATATTAATATTAATAGATATTATTAGTTTTTTTAATAAGATAAAACATTTTTTGAGTGTCAACAACTAATTAAATAACAATATTTCAGGTCTTATCGTCGTGGATGAGCGGTTGTGGGTAGAACAACGACGATTCGTTTTGCGACACCTGCGGGAATTTGGCTTCGGTCGTACCAGCATGGCCACGATGATCGAAGACGAAGCAATGAAGCTGGTGGAGCATTTCAAGAAGCTGCTTCGAGACGGCTATAATTACGAGATCGCTGACGTTCGAAAATCGACGCTGGACAACAATAATACCGGACAGATATACAAGCTGCAGAAGGACTCCAAGAACAATTTAAACAAGTCGAAGCTGAGCGACGAGTTCAATATAATCGAGAATCAGATCCTCAATCGTAAGTCTTGGACAGTAGCAGATCTATACATGAAGGCCGAAGACTATGCGGAGGTCAGAAGAGTCTCCCAATCGGCAGGAATGATTATACCTATGCATGACGCCTTCGGTGTGACTGTATTGAACACCCTTTGGAGGATGATGGCTGGTAGAAGGTTCGTATCAATCACTTGTTTCCGTTTCTTCTGTAGTCTAGAAAAAAAGCAATGTTTAAAAAACAAATTAATCTTTAATACCGACGATTTCTAATTTTTCAGATTTGATACTGGTGACAAGGAACTTACATATTTACAGCGAATTCTCACGAAACTCCTGAGAGAAATCGACATGATCGGCGCACCTTTCAGCCACTTTCCGCCGTTACGCTTCATTGCGCCAGAAATGTCCGGCTATAAATCGTTTATACAAACTCATCAAGAATTGTGGGCATTCCTGAAAGTGAGCAAACATTTATTTATATTATCGGGATATCGTTAGACCTCATTTTAGAAACAAGTGACTTGCAAAGATAA